TTGGTCTAACCAATACATGTTTGGTCTGCCTAACCGTTTTTCTCACTCTCTGCTCGAACACTTTCCACTCTATAGTATTGTTCTTCAGCAATATGTCCGAGAACCTCCGTTTGTTCGGTCTTATCGTCGGCATTTTCCCTGCTCCGTAATATATCCGGTAACCCGATACCAGAGACGATAACTGACTCCCTGAGTCCGTCATCGCAAAGGCGTCCGATGCAGCACATGCAATGAAATCGAGAACAGCTAGCTACACAACCGGAAGAAAGCAAAAGATTATAAATCTTGCAGCTCAGTTTGGATGGAAAAGTTCATCGATAAACCGAAAAAGCCGTTAGTTTACGCGGATTTTTCATTTTACCTGAGATGAGAAATTTCTGAAAGGCTGTAGCTCTGTTTCAGAGAGTACATTCTCTTTGGTGACTAGATTCGGATAGAGACTCGTTAAAGCGGCTAACCGTTTATTCCCACCGTATATATTAGCACCGGCCACGAAAACACGGGTCTTTCGATTAAAACCGAGACCTGCAAGCATAAGCACAGCTTCTTCAGGTGACAACGGGCAAAGCCCTTCTATTCTCAGATCGTCCGGAGATGGCATTCTGCAAATAAAAAGCATTGTGTGTAACAAAACTGCTATGATTAAAAAAATTAAAGAGAGGAAAGGAACACACTTTTTCGTCTTTGTTAGATTTGCTAGCGTTGGAAAATGCTTTTCCCGGTAAGCATCAAGTTCTGTCTTTTCTGCATCGCCTCCTCCGAAATAACATAGAGAATGAGCCACCATATCGATTTCAAACCTGAGATGGACTGCTAGATACTTAGAAGCCTTATGGAGAGGACCTGCCTTCTTGTCCAATATAAAGGACGCATATTTTGGACCAACAAGATACGGATCAACCGGTGCGAGGTGTGATCCGCTATCTCGTAATCTCCTAACAAGAACCGCAGCCATTTCTTGTATCTTTGGAACGAAGTTTAGCGCATGAAAATTACATCTACACCGCAGCCTCTACTCCCCCAAAAAAAGTTGGATCATTACGAGGCAGAGATCGATATGCACGGTGCTAAAGGAAAAGTCTTTTACCTGTAACTCAAACGGTATCGGGTCAAAGGCCAAACGGTTTCCGAATCCAAAGAAATGGACAACTCTGTTCTTGAGTAGAAGAGGTAGAATGTGCTTCATATAAAATCCTGGCTTGGCTTCTTTCACAACATCCATATCCGTAACCTTAGAACAAAATAAATAAATGTCAATCTCTCAAAATATGAACCACTTTTGAAATTAAACGCGGTATAAGGAAAACTCACAAGGCTGCCAATGGCTTCAAGGTCTAGAGACTGAAGCTCTTTTGGTAGTTTCTTTACAATCCGTATATCGGGAGAGAGATACTTAATAAAATGTTCCACCTGATAGATATCTCCAAACTGACTATAAAAGCATACATACCAAATCAAGAATGTCAGAATTTCGACCATGACATAAAGAAAGCATCAATAATCAGAGAATGAGATAGAGAACCGAGGGACCTTACAATAGTTACCTTGCATCGGTCCAGACATCACTGAACATGAATTTGGGAACAACGAGTGTTGCATTGAGCATCCGAGCAACAACGACGATGTTACAAACCTGTTTTAATAATATCCCCGTGAAATCCAACACTTAGTGAATTAAAGAGCGGGACAAAGTGATGTGTGAAGCTATCACAACTTACAGCAACTCTCTGTTGGTTGATCCCACCATTCGCAGTTACCATTATATATCCATTTTTCCCATCTACACAAAAAAAAGAAGAACAACAAAATCAGGAAAACTTATAAATACCGAATTAGCACGAGAAGTAAACTCATTGAGAGTTAAAGTAAGAGACCACTAGGCTTCCAGGAACGTTGATCAGCACAAGGCTTCCAAGCCAAAGCTTGATCCTTCGGTTCTCGCCATAGCTCTTTCGGCTCAAGCTTATTTTGCCCCTAACGAAAACAATGTGGCGGTAAGTAGGATTTTCGGTTTAATATTCGAAAAAGACGAAAGCGGAAACTATATTTAACAAATAGTAGTAATACCTCAGCCAAAGCATGAGAAGCATAAGCCAACAGTCTACCATATGTTCCATTATATTTCTTCTTTGGTTTCCCCATCTTTTTCTTCTCTCCATGCTACCAAATCACAACATCAATTCCAAATGCAAATACCATGTAATGTACATTACATAACTTACCACTTCCCAGAATAAATTTCATTCTAACAAAATCTTAAACATGTAATAGAATTCTAACTTCGTAGTTTCCTAACAATTTTTTTTAGTTACATTACCATTTACTAGTACTACCACAGTTTCATATCATGCTTCATCTAGCAATCTCCGACATTATCATTCTCTGTTCCCTAACCATTTGGATAAGATTAAAGATCCCATTTTTTAACTATATTTGGGGATTTTAAATTGATTTGACAAGAAACAGACTGTTAAAAAGTTAAAAATCTCAAAAAATAAATTTGACCAATCACATTATTTTCAACTAATTTACCTACCTGTACAGACGCCGACACTTTAACGGACACCCGTTTCACACTCGGGTTCGGATCCGGGATTACTTTCGGGTTCGGTTTCGGGTCAAGCTTCGGTTTTTTGGAGAACCCTCTTCGTAGCCAAGCTCGACCTTCATGGAGCTGAGAGAGCATGAACCAATTAACAAAAATGAAGAAAGCCACAAGCCCGATCACACACGCGGCGGTTTTGGCCGTTCGGATTCGTTTCCTCTTCGCTCTCTTAACCGGATTTTTCAAACTCCGGTTCGGATCTCCGTTGATCAAAGACAAAACCGACCCGATAAAATTCGACCCGGTGTTACGAATCTGGTCTCCAGCTACTTCTGAGAACCGGGTTGGACCAAGACGTGTCGGTGATTGAACCGGAGAAGCTCCTCCTCCACCTCCTCCATGGATCAGATCTTGGACTCGAGTCTCTGGTTTCTCTTCGTCAGGTCTCTCCGTAGCCATCTTAACTAACACAGAGCTCACTCTTTCTCTCTCTCTCTCTCTCTCTTTTTTTCCGGTGAGAGAATGATTTGTTGAATTTAACGAAGCTAAGTGAAGAAAGAGAGAAGAGTAGTGTTTTTGTCTGAACGTAATTATTTAGTTTTGTTTTAATCCTTGAGATTGACGCTGTTATTAATTTAAGATTCCTGTCCTTTTAACTTATTTAATTAATTTTTACCTTTTAGGATTATTTACGAAACTATATATTTTTAATGTAAATTTTGATATAAAATTATCTCAAATCCATATAAAATAATTAAAAATCATTTTAAATTTAAAAGATATAAGAAAATTGAACATATTTTTCTTAATTTAGGTGAAAGGTATCAATTAATTATAACTCTTATTGGAAACAGATTATTATCATTTTCTTGAAATTAACGGTTCATAAGATAACTTATAACACAGATTAATTTTCTTGATTATTAAATTATCAGTACTTTTTTTTAATTAAGTGTGGTATAAAGTTGGATTAGCTCCGAGTCCTACCAACTAGGTAATTAATAAATTTGATTAACTGACGATCAGTGTTTTAATATTTTCTACAGCTTGGTGAAAGCTATATTTATGAAACTTGTAAAGTGTAATCGATGAGTTCAATTATGTCTCAGAACATAAATAAAGAAACTAATCAGTGTCAAAATACAAAAATAGTTGCAAAGCATGTGTTAGTAATATTGGGCTTTTATGGATATATGGGCCAATAACATGTGACTATGTGGGCCTTTTAAATACGCTTTCTGCATATCAGAGATATATGTTTTCATTTGGGGGCCTAGACATCTGTTTTTGGTAATATACATTATTATTGAATTAATTAGATTTAATTTTATATTTTTGATCAAAGTTAAGAACTTATTAATTTCTTTTTGTCAGGCCCTTATCTGTTTTTATTAAAGAAATCATAGCACATGCATATAATTATTAATTCACTTTTCTTCAAAATAATTAAGTTAACTATTTTATATCGTATTCATACTATCTTTTTGTGTGTTAAATAATATTAATGTATTATACATATTTTGATAAAAGGTTTACCTTTCGGACATGATTACTAATAAGAGTGTTATAAAAAACTTCAATTTGATACAATACAATGTAGTCCTAACGCACGTCTTTAGATATTTTTTGTGATACAGTATGTACACTCACTGTGAGGTGGTCATTTAAATTTTAAAATAAAATAAAAAAAACAAATAAGAGGAATAATATAGCTAGATTTACATTGATTTGGACGTATGAATAAGTAATTCATATTGGGAATAATATAAAATGTAATAATGTATAGTCATTCATACTGATATTTTTTGAAAAATATGATTGTAAAATATAACCGTCAACGTGATGGCACGCTATTTCGCAAAACGCGAATAAAATGAGAGGAAAAATTGTTGCCAAGGAAAAAAAAGAAAAGAAAACGACGTCGGAGAGCTAGAAGTTACCGTTACGTTCTCACGTGGCATTTGCATCAAGGTTACTGATTAATGATTTTTTTATTTTGTTGTAAAAGATTAATGATTATGACGAACAAAATCACAAGTTCCAATCCGATGTCTAATGTCGACAATTAACAAAAATACATTTAGGTTCATTATGTAATTATTATATAAGCTTTTTTTTGATAATTAATTTGAGTCAACTATGAAGTCATTATCTTATTTTGGCAACAAAGTCAGATTTGTAAATTGTTTAAGTAATTTTAAAACACAACTTAGGTTATTCTAGAACTACATAAAAATAATTATTTTCAACTCTTTAGAATAAGTCTCTGAATTAGATAGCTGACCAACAACATTAAGGTTTAAAAGGTTCAAACATTTTTTTTTCATCTGTCCGTGTGTTTTCAGCGTTTTGAATCAACAAAAACGGCATGATGTTTCTTCTCTTCCCTTGCCTATTTGTTTGCTGTTAACAAATTACAGAATCGATCTCTCTGTTTTTTCGATACTCTGTTTTTTTCTTCTTCTCATCTCTCTGTTTCTAATTTCAGAGGAAGGAGGAGAAGAGAAAAGCTAAAGACTTTTCCAATGCGATGAAGCTTCTATACAATCATCGCATGTTCTCACTTTCACCAATCTGATTTCTGGGTTCGTCTCATATAGTTTTCTTAATTTGTTTTCCTTTTTTAATCTGATCGCAGAGAAAAAGTTAAATTTTTATTTTGGTCAACCACCAAAGACTAAAACTTTTTTTGGGTAATGGGTTTCTAAAAGGTGAGATTTTTCGATTCAAAGTGTTGAACTTTCTTGATATCATACAACATCTTATTACTTGATCTTTGAATCTAAAACCCTCAGGGCACTGTTTTATTAATTTTTATAGGGTTCTTAAATATTTTTGCAGGTGAAGAGAGAATTTTGAGGGGTTTATACATTAGTTTGATGATATGGCGACATTATCAGATATTGGATTAGCAGCAGCGATCAACATTCTAAGTGCATTGATATTTCTTTTGCTATTTGCGATCTTGAGGATCCAACCATTCAATGATAGGGTTTATTTCCCTAAATGGTACTTGAAAGGTGTTCGAAGCAACCCGCTGACTTCGGGTGCTTTCGTGAGCAAGGTCGTGAATTTGGACTTTCGATCTTATATACGGTTTTTGAATTGGATGCCTGCCGCTTTGAAGATGCCAGAGCCTGAACTTATTGATCATGCTGGTTTGGATTCTGCTGTCTATTTGAGGATTTACATGATCGGGTAAAACATAAATGTTCAAAGTTATTTTGTTTATTGCATATAATGTGCATTTAGATACTCTATTGATGTGTAGTTTGTGTTTTGTTTGAGAATTAACAGTTCATTAAGCATTGATCTTGAGAATACTAATAATAGTTATGTTCTTTGTTTGTCATGTTTTTTTCTTTCTAAAATAGGCTAAAGATCTTTGTCCCGATCGCATTACTTTCATGGTCAGTTTTGGTACCTGTCAATTGGACAAGTGATGGATTGCAGCTAGCAAAACTTCGTAATGTGACATCGAGTAATATCGATAAGCTTTCGATTTCAAATGTTGAACGTGGATCAGACAGGTTTTGGGCGCATCTTGTGATGGCTTATGCATTCACATTCTGGACTTGCTATGTTCTAATGAGGGAATACGAGAAAATAGCTGCAATGCGGTTATCATTTCTTCAATCCGAGAAGCGGCGTGCTGATCAGTTCACCGTAAATATGTTTCTTTTCATTTATATATAATCTCTATGCTCTTTGGTCTTAGCATTAGATATATATGATAAAGGTTATCATTTTTATAAAGTTGTTTGCATTTGACAGGTGCTGGTTAGAAACGTACCACCAGACTCAGACGAGTCAATTAGCGAAAACGTTCAGCATTTCTTTCTGGTTAACCACCCGGACCATTATCTTACACATCAGGTTAGATCATAGCCCTCAAGAAATGAATCTTTAATTCGGGTTGTAGCTATTTTCTCAGTTAAGTCTTTGAACATATATCTAGGTGGTGTACAATGCAAATGAATTGGCTAAATTGGTAGCGGACAAGCAAAAAATGCAGAATTGGTTTGATTATTACCAATTGAAGTATACAAGAAACAAGGAACAAAGACCAAGATTAAAGGTAAATACACTTGGAGAAACCCGAAAAGCCGAAACACATATGTGTTCTAACTCTGTTTTATCTCGCAGTTGGGATTTCTCGGGCTATGGGGAAAGAAAGTAGATGCAATGGATCATTACACAGCTGAGATCGATAAATTAACCGAGCAAGTAAGTATTGTTACCTCTGCGGTTTTCGGTTAATGAAATAATATAGAGATCAATTGGTTACTAAATGTTTTGGCGTGTAACTATCTAATCATATGATGTTTTCACAGATAATGGAGGAAAGGAAGAGAGTAAAGAAAGATGACAAGAATGTAATGCCAGCAGCTTTTGTATCATTTAAAACACGTTGGGGTGCTGCGGTCTGCGCGCAGACACAACAGACGAAGAATCCAACAGAATGGTTAACCGAATGGGCTCCTGAGGCAAGAGAAATCTTCTGGCCAAATCTTGCGATGCCTTACGTATCTCTCACCATAAGGAGATTTATAATGCACATTGCGTTTTTCTTCCTCACCTTCTTCTTCATCATTCCAATCGCCTTTGTGCAATCCTTAGCGAGTATTGAAGGTATCCAGAAATCAGCTTCATTCCTCAATCCCATCATTGAAAAGTAGGTAACGTGTGCTCGAGTTTTTTTTTTGCTTACTGGTTCACCTGAGGACATGCTTGATTCAGTTCCATCAAAATCTTTGTGTGTGCAGCAAGTTTATGAAATCGTTGATCCAAGGTTTTCTTCCCGGTATTGTCTTGAAGCTCTTCTTGATATTCCTGCCAACAATTCTAATGATCATGTCGAAATTCGAAGGGTTTATTTCGATATCATCGTTAGAGAGAAGAGCGGCTTTTCGATATTATATATTCAACCTAGTGAATGTTTTCCTCGGTAGCATAATCACTGGATCTGCATTTGAACAACTTGATTCTTTTCTTAAACAATCCGCAAACGAGTAAGCTCCATCACTTTACACACTCAGCACTTTCACTCTCTCCAAACTCTGTTCTCATCTTTTACATTCTTGGTTTTTTTAGCATCCCCCGGACAGTTGGAGTAGCGATACCGATAAAAGCAACATTCTTTATAACGTATATCATGGTGGACGGTTGGGCGGGTGTGGCTGGAGAGATTCTTAGGCTGAAACCACTCGTCATCTTCCATTTAAAGAACTTCTTCTTGGTGAAAACTGAAAAGGATAGAGAAGAAGCTATGGATCCGGGACAAATCGATTTCTACGCTACCGAGCCTCGGATTCAGCTCTACTTTCTCCTTGGCCTTGTATATGCTCCTGTCACGCCTGTTCTACTTCCTTTCATCATCTTCTTCTTTGGTTTTGCCTACCTCATCTTTCGTCATCAGGTATATAAAGAAAAACACGTTATCTTGTTTTTTATGTTAACTAAGTTGTACATTTGATGTTCTTGGTTAATAATCTAACTATATAAACCGGTTTATTTGCAGATTATAAATGTGTACAATCAGGAGTATGAGAGCGCGGCTGCGTTCTGGCCTGACGTTCATGGACGTATAATAACAGCATTGATCATTTCACAAATCCTTTTGTTGGGTTTAATGAGCACCAAAGGAAAGGTTCAGTCCACACCTTTCCTCCTTGTTCTATCGATACTCACTTTCGGTTTTCATCGGATTTGCAAAGGCCGGTACGAATCCGCATTTGTCATTAATCCTTTGCAGGTTAGTACCAATATCGAAAATTCTCGGTTAACCGGTTTTTTGGATTCATAATGTGTGTTGTTTGATTAACCTCTGTGAGTACCGGTTTACAGGAAGCTATGATTAAGGATACATTGGAACGAGCAAGAGAACCAAACTTGAATCTTAAAGGGTTTCTTCAAAATGCATATATTCATCCGGTTTTCAAAGACGAGGAATATGAAGAAGATGACCAGTTTGAGAGATTAACCGAGGATTCAGATGATGAAGATTGTGTTGTTGTACCGACCAAACGTCAAAAACCCCGGAGAACTAGTGGTGGTTCGTCGCAATCACTGCCTTTTAATCGATTTGATACGGATAAGGCTAAACCGAAGCCTTGATGATTAAAAAAATTTGCTAAACCGGATTGTTTTTTGTTTACGGTATAGAAGAAACAGAACCAATACGTTTTTGTATATTTGTATGCTCTATTCATTGTTTTGTTTGAGTTTGTTGATTGTTGACTGTATAAAAAAAACAAAATTTCCGAATAAAATCGATTTTGTAAAACTCTATGCATGATTGGTAAGTCTGACGAACCTCTTGTTACTTTTTTGATGTTTAAAACGTATTATTCTGACTTTTACAATAAAATAAAAAGTAAAATAAAATACATATTATTCTGACACACCAGTACCACAAGCATGAAGCATCTTTGGCTTTGGTCAGGACTTGTACCTATTGTGCGTGTTTTAAGGTTGTGAGAATCCAGAAACCAAGATAAGTAAAAAACAAATCTATGTGAAAAAAAAAGTGTAGTTTAATGAATCAAGAGGCCCTATATATCAATTGCCAGTTTTTGCGATAGAGTTAAAAGAGTTTAATTATTATCGGGCTAGATTTTTCGTATTTTTCATTGATTTTATACATAAATTATATAATGTCACGAAAGTCCAGAAATGCTAATAAAAAGTCCAGAAAGACTCAAAGACAGACTAAAGAGGAAGTAAATTCCAATAAATTAATAAAATCATTTTAAAGATTTTTGTTGAATAAAGTAAGAATAACAATAAATCAATTTATTTTTTTAATAAAAAATCTCTCTTTAAATGCTAATAAAAAATTCAGAAAGACTCAAAAACTGACTAGAGTGGAAATAACTCCGGAGAAATCAATAAAATCATTTTAAAGATTTTTGTTGAATAAAGTAAAAAATAACAATAAATCCAAATGTGTTTTATATAAAAAATCTCTCTTTAAATGCTAATAAGAAATTCAGAAAGACCCAAAGACCGACTAAAGTGGAAGTAAATCCCTAGGATTTTTTAAGATTTTTTTTTGAATAAAGTAAGAAATAACAATAAATCATTTATTTTATATAAAAAATCTCTCTTAAATGCTAATAACAAATCCAAAAAGACTCAAAAACCGACTAAAGTGGAAGTAAATCCCGAGAAAATAATAAAATCATTTTTAAGTTTTTTGTTGAATAAAAGTAATGCTTATTCATAATTCAAATATGAGTAAATAAATACATAAAAAGTCATAAAGTGAAAAAATCTCTCCTTTCTTCAGACAGATGAAGAAACCGAGTGATTCGGTGAAAGGTACTTATCCCCTGCCACACGGTTATTTTATCACTTACGCTCCACGAGTCTAATACATATCCTTAAAACTATTTTAACGGTGAGATTAGGTTCAATTTATATTTCTTTCCTTTTCCTCTATTGGAAATAAAATTATACTTTTTTTTTGGTTTGCTTAATATGAAAAAGGAAAGCTAACTTTGAGAATCCAAACTTTTTTTTTCTTCTCTCTGAAATTAGTAAAATCTTGTGTGTAAGTACCTGGAATCTAAGGTTTAGATTCTTCATCTTCGCTGGAGATTCGTCGTTGCAGAGTTTGTCCTTCGAGCTTTTTTGGAGGTAACAATCTAGTTATGATCCTCATCACGAATTCGAATTCTATACTTGATTTTGGTTTTTCAGGAATCGTTGTTGTTGTTGTTGTTGTTGTATCATTTTGATCGGATTGGATTTTTAAAACAATGTTCGTCTTTGGATTTGTATATGTTTGTTTTAATTTTGATCAATTGGTTTAACAATGTTTTATTGCGAATTGTGTGATTGTGATCGAAGAACTTGTGCATGTTCACTCAAAATCAAACACAGTATAGAGTCGTTTTGTGTATATTTGTGATACTTTGTTTGATTTTTCAATTTTTTTTGGGATTTTTTTTGGGATTTTTCTTTATTTCCCTAGCTAGCAATGGAGTTTGGTGATGCTGGTATCGAGGGAACTCTTTCCTGGACGATTAGGAAGAAGAGGAGTTTGAAACCGTTTAAGTCTAGAGGTTTTAGCAGTTGTAGAGGTGATAGTGATGGTTTAGTGGTTGAAAGGAATATGAAAAGAAGGATAAAGACCTGCAAAGTAGGAGCGAGTTGTGATGAAGTTGAAGTGATTCCTAAATCTGATGAGAAAGAGCCATGTCCAGAAGATGATGATTGTACATTAGGTGACTGGATGCGAAGGAAAATTTTGGAAAGGGGAGATAAGCGCAAAGAAAACGTTGTTGAAGTTAGGCATAAGATAAATTCAGGGAAACATTTTGATGATGATGATTGTACAGTAGCCAATAGGCTTAACAGTAGGAAAAAGAGGGGCAGACGCCAAGTGGAACTTGAAGAAGAAGAGGAATGGGAAGAACAACTTCACCTGTGTGAATTGATGAGGGCGATATCGTCAAGTAGGAGAACCCACAATTTATGTTCCATTGGTCAAGAAAATGTAATTGTTGTTGGTCCTTCTCATTCACGTTCGCCAATTTCTGATGTATCAGATCCCCTTCTCAAAAACGGGGTATCTTTTGACTTCACAAACATGAAGCAGGTAAACATGTCTTTGTATTGGATGAAAGAAGATATATAAATGTGTTACTGTACTATAATATATATATTTTTGTGTTGGCAGGAACCGAAGGAAGGCCGAGTTTGCCATCAATGCTTGAAAGGGGGAAGGATAACTATTCTGATGTGCAGTGCATGTGAAGAGAAGATGTATTGTCTTCCGTGTGTAAGAAAATGGTTAGTTTCTGTCCTAAATCTATACTATATATCTGTATCTCGTTACAATATATCCTTACTCTATTATTAATTTGTTGTAGGTATCCACATCTATCTAAGGATGATGTTGTTGCTAAATGTCCTTTCTGCTGTAAAAATTGTAATTGCAGCAAATGCTTGCATTCGAATGGTATAATCGAGGTATGATGAGGTTATTTCTAGGAATCCATTTGTAGAAGATTTGGTAGTTTTAGGTTAACTGGTATTTGTGTTTTCTGACTTTATAGACATCCAAGAGGGAACTCTCGAATTCTGAAAGACGCCATCATCTCCAGTACTTGATTACATTGATGCTTCCGTTTCTGAGTAAATTATCTGAATCCCAGAACAAAGAGATTGAAATGGAAGCAAAGGTTCAAGGTATGAAACATACACTACTATGAGTCTATGACATAGTTTTTGTTACTAAATGTGATATTTTTGCTAACACGAACTGTTTCCGTAGGAGTACTGCCTTCTGAAGTTGACATAACTAAGGCAGAAAGCTACGCTGATGAACGTGTATACTGGTAAGGATGCACACCTAAGTTTCAATATTTTAAATTTCTCGAGGATCTTACTAAAATTTTCATCTGTGTTGCAGTGATCATTGTGCAACTTCGATTGTTGACTTGCATCGAAGCTGCCCAAAGTGCTCTTTTGAACTTTGTTTGAAGTGCTGTCAAGAGATTCGTGAAGGATCACTTTCTGAACGCCCTGAAATGATGCTACACTATCCTGATAAAGGATACGGATATATGTATGGTTTAGATGTTGCGGAATCGAGCTCCTCTGTCACTTATGAAGACAAAGAAACTGACCCATCCAAAACTAAGTGGAGCCTTGGTGATGATGGAAGCATCACTTGTGCACCAGAAAAGCTTGGTGGTTGTGGTGATTGTGTGTTAGAGCTTACGCGGATCCTACCACAGACATGGATGTCAGACTTGGAGCACAAAGCAGAGACTGTCTTGGCATCACACAATATTAGCCCCAGAATGTTGAACTATGTGTGTTCTCCTTTGGAGACTGAGATGACAAGGAAAGCAGCTTCGAGGACAATATCAAATGACAACTATCTTTTCTGTCCTAAATCTCTTGATGTCTTGAAGGAAGAAGAGCTTGTACATTTTCAAGAGCATTGGGCAAAAGGTGAACCAGTAATTGTTAAGAACGTTCTTGATAACACACCTGGTTTAAGCTGGGAACCGATGGTTATGTGGCGGGCATTATGCGAAAATGTGAATTCACCTGAAAGTTCTGAAATGTCCCAAGTCAGAGCAATGGATTGTTTAAGTAATTGTGAGGTGGAGATCAATCCTCGTCACTTCTTTGAAGGTTACAACAACGGAAGAACATATTGTAATTACTGGCCTGCGATGTTAAAGCTAAAGGACTGGCCTCCTTCTGATAAGTTTGAAGACCTTTTACCTCGTCACTGTGACGAGTTCATATCCGCACTACCTTTTCAAGAATACAGCGATCCTAGATCAGGGATTCTTAACATTGCAGCAAAGCTTCCTGAAGGAGTTATCAAACCAGATTTGGGTCCAAAAACTTACATCGCCTATGGGATTCCTTATGAGCTCGGTAGAGGGGATTCAGTCACTAAGCTTCACTGTGATATGTCAGACGCGGTAAAAAATTTCATTTAGTTTGTTTCATTTCTTGTTTTTGGTTTTAATTGTCCAAAGACTCACTTTTCAATTCATGTAGGTGAATATTTTGACACATACTGCTGAAGTAACCCTAAGTCAAGAACAGATATCCGCAATCAAAACCATGAAACAGAAACAAAAGGAACAGAACAAGTTTGAAGAACATGGCACTAAAGACTGTAGCGAAATGGAAGAAGAAATGAACTTGCTAAAGATTCCGGGGACTGAGAATGGCGAAAAGGGCAGTGCTCTTTGGGATATATTTCGGAGAGAAGATGTTGCTAAGTTAGAAGAGTATTTAAGAAAGCATTGCAAAGAATTTAGGCACACATATTGTTGTCCAGTTACAAAGGTAAACAAAACACTCACATCTTGCCACATTATTGAATTTACTTTCCGGTTACTGATGATTTCTTCTTTTCAGGTTTACCATCCAATACATGACCAAACATGCTATTTAACCGAAGAGCACAAAAGAAAACTCAAGGCAGAGTTTGGTATGTAACCTGTTTACTTGGGGATGATGTTTTTGAGTCAGTCGTTTGAGTCAATATTGACAAGTTATAAGTTTTGTTCGAAACTGTAGGGATCGAGCCATGGTCTTTTGTGCAAAATCTAGGTGAAGCAGTGTTTATTCCTGCGGGCTGTCCGCATCAAGTTCGGAATCTAAAGGTAAACTGAATGGTTTTGCTTCTTTTTCTACTCTTACAGTTTGTTGTGTATCGAAAAATCTAATACAAGTTTTGTCTTTGTGATTGGGACAGTCGTGTACAAAAGTTGCAGTTGACTTTGTGTCACCGGAGAACATCCATGAGTGTATGCGTCTGACTGAAGAGTTTCGCCAACTTCCAAAGAACCACAAGGCCAGAGAGGACAAACTTGAGGTAATTCTTCTATCTAATTACTATTTCGTTTTGGTTGTTTTCTTTTTTTTGGATATTTGAATATGAGAATTAAGAGAATTGACCAAAGAAAAAAGAAAAAAAAAAGGAGTTTGGGCATTGTAACCAAAACCAACTCATAAATCAAACTAAAAATGACAAAACTTTGATTTTTTTCCTATTATGTCTATATATATAAAGATTGACTTTAAATATTAAATTTGAACCAAAAAACAAAATCAAATATGAAGAAAACACATTAATTTTTATATATATCTTATATATTAAGATAGAGTTTAAATAATTTATCAACAAACTAAAACATTTAATCAAAATATTGGATATATTTTAGGATAAAATATCCTACATCGTAAGCTGTGAGATAGATTTATGTCCTAGTGATCTTTCACGAAAATTATAATAATGAAAAAACGTAGTTTCTATTAGAATAAAATATCCCACATCGGAAGCTGGATTTGAAAACCCAACACTAGCAACCTAGGATATCTAATAGATGGGAGATAGACTTATGTCCTGGTCTTTCACCAAAATACTAAATAATAAATAACACGTAGATTCTTTTAGCATAAAACATCCCACATCGGAAGTTGGATAAGGATTCTGACAGTATATAAGATTATATGGACTTCTCCGCTAATTTCCAATTGGTTGGAAGGCCATAATCTAATATAGGATCAGCGTCCGATCCATGTGTTGTCCAGCCCAAGCCACTATCTATTCGTCCCAAATTTGATTTACCGATCTTTGCCCGAAAGTGTCGAATGATCATTGATTAAATAACAAATGATCTAAATGCCATTCTACCTCACAAGGTAATGACGGGTTATCGGATCTAATTGATAACCTAACCTTATTTAAGGTTTTATTGTTTTTCTTCCTCTTCTAAATAAGCTTTCAATATATGTTTGTTTGTCTGTTTGTTTCCACGAAAGCGTTTCTGTCTGTTTTTAGTGTGTATATTCACAAATCTAGTTTATCTAGTTAGGAGTTTAGGTACTGCATTAGTACTTAGGGTGTAAGATTGAGATCCAATGGATCATACGATCAATCTCGTTGGCCAAATGATATAACACTATTACGTGGTGGGGTTGTTGGTACGTATAAGGGCTTCAATTTATTCTCAAGGATCAATAAATTGAAGATAATGGAAGAAAATTCAACAATGGGAGAGCAAGTCTAGATAATGGTGGAAATATCTCGAGATGATGATGCTTCCTCGGGTCATGATCATAATCTTAACCCTAGGGAGAGGAACCTCAAGTTCGTGGAAACAAAACTACTTAATGTTTTGATATATGTTTTACCTACTTTTATTTGCTTATGTGTAAATTCTTTGTACGTGTATAGGAAAGACAGGCTAAAGCTTTCGATTAACGTCGAAATATTTGGTTGGTGATCTTAGATCTTGTATGATGGAAAATATTTTGATTTCACAGACTTAGGTTTGGTTACCGTAGATTGATGATCCTAGATCTTGGATGATACCGGAAGGTCCAAAATTCATGTTTTGGTGGAAACATGGCTGCTCAATAGCATCTGAATACGAGGTGTAATAAGCTTAGATATTCTTTGATGACTATCGCGGTTTCCACTTACAACAATGAGATTCCTATTCGCGGAAAGAAATTGGATGAGTTGCCAGTGGATGGTCTGTACATGTTTGGTGGGTGGTCTTTACATGTGGTGGTCCGTCATGCTTTGAAGTTTCCTAAACTACTAGAAAAAATGTTCACAAAGTTAAAGCTGATAATTAAGCAATTTAACTATTGTAGACAAGAACATATCGGGTCCATAGTCTGAGGCTCTGAGCACTGCAGATTCCTAGATATTAAAAAAGAAGTGATTGAATGATTGATGAAACTGCGGATCCTTAACTATCCAAAGAAAGAAATGATTGAAAGTTTGACGTTATTATCCAAATAATAAGAGCTATTGGTTGGGACACCAAATCAAACAATCCAAAGAACGAAAACCATCTGAAACTCCAGGGAGGAGCCATTATTTGTTCATTGATTTCTATATCCATATAGGACTTAAGAATATGCATTAATTTCGAAATCATTATGAATTTTGAAATAATATGATTTATCAACAAATTTGAATCTTTCTATATTTTTCCCAATTCATTTAAAATAGAATGTGGATTTTTAAATCCAACGATAAATCTTTGACTGAATATATACATGATTATTACTACTATTAAGAATTAATGAATAACGCTACTTTTAGGTTTTCACGCTTTGAGTACGGTTCTGAAGGTTGTTGATTTGATCATGTGTGTCTGGATCTGCTCGTTTACGAAAACATCATTTCTAATTGTCTTTTTAAATAAGTTGGGAGATAGATTTATGTCATGGTGATTTTCACCAAAATAATAATAATGAAAACACGTAGTTTCTATAGAATAAAATATCCCACATCGGAAGCTGTGAGATAGACTTATGTCCTTGTGATCTTTCACGAAAATTATAATAATGAAAACACGTACTTTCTATTAGAATAAAATATCCCACATCGGAAGCTGGATTTGAAAACCCAACAGTAGCAACCTGGGATATCTAATAGCTAGGAGATAGACTTATGTCCCGATCTTTCACCAAAATACTAAATAATGAAGAACACGTAGATTCTTTTAGGATAGAACATCCCACATCGGAAGCTGGAAAACGATTCTGACACTATATAAGATTATATGGACTTCTCCGCTAATTTCCAATTGGTTGGAAAACCATAATCTAATATAGTATCAGAGTCCGATCCATGTGTTGTCCAGCCCAAACCACTATCTATTCGTCCCAAATTTGATTAACCGATCTTTGCCCGAAAGTGTCGAATGATCATTGATTAAATAACAATTGATTTTGCTTTGGATTTCCAAAACGATTAAAATACATGAATTAAGAAATTCCTTGCATTTGTTTTTTTGGTGAAATAAACTATATATACCTAAATCATCAAGCTAGAGAATGAACTCAGAAAAACTGAGCTAAAAAAAAAGTTTACACCCAAGAAGATCAATAGGCTAGGATTCTCTCTCCTTTGTTTTATATCCACTGGTCTGACCATTTTATGGTTTTTGTTTATACTTGTGTAACAGATCAAGAAGATGGTTATCTATGCAATGGACCAAGTGCTCAAAGAACTTGAATCATTGCCGGAAGAGAACCAACCGATGCTCCAATAATTGAAGACTGCTGTTTCTGTAAATCTCCCGACCTAATTAGCTATATCAGGTCCTTTGTTGTGCATTAATCTGCGTACAATTCTCAGGTTCTATATAGGTAATAGACTAAAAAATCCATGGAGATAACCAAGACTTAATCTGCATTTGGCATTTTGTAATGGATATCTATTTTTAGGGGAGGGGGTATAGACTTTGCTTTTGAAATTGAAGGATAATTTGTGTTTGCGACTAGTACTTTTATATATTGATTTAAATTATTTAGCATCCCAGTTGTTACGAAGGTTATGTACGTACACATAATACATAGCATGCATCAAATCACATAAACGCATCGGCATGTTAAACATAATATAACAAGTAAGAGGACTCGACTAAGTATCAAATCTACCTAAGGGTTGCCACACAACAAAATCCATCAACGTAAAAAGAAAAATTCACACTAACACAATCAAGTTGATGTCTAAGTCTTTAAAGAAATCATCAAATATTTATACAACGATAACTATTCAAATTCACACTAACACAATCAAGTTGATGTCTAAGTTTTTTGAAGATATAGTTTCCGACTAGAGCTTCTAACTTAGTTATTTGTACTAGTGTAGGTGTGTCACACCACAAGAAAACATAGTAAAATCCTATGAAAAATTTAGGCTTTTATTTTAAACAGGAGATTTGTTAGATCAGAATCAGCTTCAAACACACAAACATAACCCAAGAACTGATTATCTATAAACAACAGTGTATTATTAGATCTATAAAAGTTTCATAAGTTATGTTTTAATTCTACATGGATTCATCCCACCTAATAAATCACACATATATATATAAACAAGAGAATGGGAAGAGTAACCTTTTTTGGTGAAAAGTATGATCTACTTTTCTTCTTGCAAAACTTGTTTATATCACACCAAAAACCTCTATAGATCTTTTTTGTTGATCAAACAAACCTTTATAGATCTATATCTCTCAAACTTGCTCCAAAACAAAACTGATTATATATATAACAAACTGATTAATTTGGAATTCATACTTTTTACCACAAAGATAATTTGGAATATTAACTTATCACCAAACATACCTAAAAGATATTCTCCGTTATATAATATGATCAACATTCCAACCAATTTTTTACAGATATTTATTTATTTATTTTTAAGTTTCCAAAACAATCTGCTCGTTACAAAATTTGTAGTTGTGCAAGATTCTAAAATTGATTAATAATATATTGAAACCGAGCAAATCGGGACTTGAAGAAATACAAAAATAAAATTTTAAACTGTTGACACTTGTTCAAAAACCTTCTTTTCATTTGTAACTAAACATTCTATATTGCCTAATGCATATATTCATATGTTTTCTCTTTTAGTTTGTAACATTTTATTTCTCAATTCCTCAACAAGTTTTATGAACTATATAAAAAATGTTATATTAAATAATAAATCTAGATGTTAAAATAAAACAAGAAAAAGCTTTATTAAAAATAAAACAAATTATATTTTTAAAATGGTGTGCTCCTATGAAACATAACTAAAACAACACAACGAAAATGAACTTTAGGTGTGTTTTGGAAATTAAAAAAAAAACATATGAAAAAAGAAAACAAATTACATTTATCGCAATTAAATGCCTAAGTAACGTCTTAAAACAAGCTTCACACTCTTTAATCCTCCTTTTTTCAGTCAAAACAACAATTTAATTATCTCTTAAATGTTTTAATATTTCTTTCCTAATCAAAAAAAAAAAACTCATACATTGACAACGACACGTCGTCGTTTTAATGAGATTCTTCTTTAACGTCTCTTCCTCCTCCGTACTCACTTGTCTTCATCTCCTTCACTCTCTCGTCTCTCTCACACATTGGAGGGGACTACATGCCAAAATCTCGATTTCGAAAAACCCTAGAGATCTTTCGAATTCGAGTTCCTGATTCTTCCTGATTTCGGATGCAGATCGTTCTTCGGAGCTAAGTTTTCGAGTTTTTTACTAATGCCGCCGCGGCTTCCGTCGTCTCGTCGCGGCGTCGTGTGGTTTCGATGGAAGCTAATTATCACTTTCCTCGCCGCGTTATGTATCCTCGCTCTCTTCAGTATCAATCGTCAGTCAAATTCGATTGCGACGACGACGGTGTCTTCGTCGCTCTCCGTCGCGAGATCTCGTATCCCGCGGCGGAGCACGTACTCCGGTGATCGTCCGAAACTCGCGTTTCTTTTCTTAGCTCGACGTGATCTGCCACTTGATTTTCTTTGGGATAAGTTCTTCAAGGTTCGTCTTTGAGATTCATTCGTTTCAATTGAATCCGGAACAACAAAAAACTGCTTATTTGTTTTGGTGTTTTTAATTGTTAGGGTGCAGATCAGAGGAACTTCTCAGTTTATGTACATTCAGTACCTGGTTTCGTGTTTGATGAATCCACAACGCGATCACAGTTCTTCTACAATCGACAATTGAAGAATAGCATTGAGGTTAGATGCGTTTTCTCTTATGTTTTGTGTTTTTTCCAATTCCAAGTAATGTGAATGTAGAAGATTTGAATTTTGTTATCAGCTACTGTTTTGATGATTTTGGATGAATGATTGAAAAGTTAGAATTGAATCACTTACACAGGTAGTTTGGGGAGAATCAAGCATGATTGCAGCAGAGAGATTGTTGCTTGCATCTGCTTTAGAGGATCTTTCGAATCAAAGATTTGTTCTTTTGTCTGATAGGTCCGTTTCTTTAGTCATTCGACAGTGAAAAGCTTGTATGATACCTTATTCTGTCTGACCAGATCTTTGTGATGCAGCTGTGTTCCATTATACGACTTTGGTTACATATACAGATATCTAATGTCATCACCGAAAAGTTTCGTAGACAGGTAATTTGCGATTTTGAGGTTCATCTTGTGTCCTAGGATATAAATAGCAAAAACAGTGAATGCAATATCATCAGCTAACCTGTTGTGCTATAACTGTGTTACTCTTTGTTTGCAGCTTCCGTGATAAAGATGGACGCTACACCATGAAAATGTTTCCTGTTATACGGAGAGAGAAATGGCGAAAAGGGTCTCAGGTATATATTCTTAGCTTATTGATCCCTGGGCATCCTTTTTAGCTGTGGAAATGAACCTTTGCAGACTTCTTTTTGCATGGTTTTGGTCAATTTAAATTTCTGATGAGAATTAAGCTTTAGAGACAGAGAGTGACAGACTTTTTGTTGTATTTTTGTGAATCTATCTTTGATTTTGTTCAGTGGATATCATTGATCAGAAGCCATGCAGAGGTCGTTGTTGATGATGAGACTGTGTTCCCAGTTTTTCAGAAATTTTGCAAGGTAAAGCAGAATCTTTTGGTACCAGTCTTCTTGGTTTCATTAAGTAGCAGATCACCCTTCTTAATGTATCTGATTTTGTTATAGTTTCATCTGTGCTGTTTTCTTGAAGAAATAACGGATTAGTTGTTCATATCTTTTCTTTTTCCAGCGATCTCTACCTCTGGATCCCAGAAAGAATTGGCTTTATCTTGTAAGTACACTGTCTTCTGGGTCACTTTGATTATATGATGGCTGATATAAGCTGATTGAATCCACAAACAAGCTGTCTCATCAAAATAAAAGTTGTCTCGGTTCACAAAAAAATAAAAAATTGGAAGTTTCTGAGTATTATCCCCACAGATCTCTTATTCATTCTCAGTGAATGACTGATTTTTTCTTAACATTTTGCATTGCAACAGAAAAAGAGACGTCACAACTGCATCCCTGATGAACATTACGTACAAACTTTGCTGACAGTAAGCACAAAAAAAATTATCAAAATCTCTCACTTGGATTATTTCCTTGTTACCCGCTGATTTTAGTATCCCAATCTTGATGATCTCTTCAGATGCGTGGCTTGGAAAATATAATGGAACGGAGAACAGTGACATACACTACATGGAACCTAGGAGCCAGAAAAGCTGAAGCCAGATCTTGGCATCCTCTCACTTTCACATCTGACAATTCTGGGGCAGAGGAAATACAAGGAATAAAGGTAAATTTTTATTTTAACATAGAGGTGTGCAATCTGATCTACGGTTTGGTTTTCCTGGCTAGTGTGTTTGTGCTCATCCCTATTATTTATACACGCCAGTGAGCTGCTGACCGATCTCTGTTTTTGTTTCTTACTTCTGGGTAACAGAAAATCAACCATGTATATTATGAATCGGAGTATCGAACAGAATGGTGTAGGGCGAATTCAGAACCCGTCCCGTGCTTTCTCTTTGCGAGGAAGTTCACTAGAGGAGCCGCAATGCGTCTTTTGAGTGAAGGATTAGTAGACTCATCAACAGATACAACAACCTTATAGATTGGAAAAAGGTAGACACAAAGGTGGTATACAACTAAGAAAGAAGAAACAAAGATTGACATCAGAAAAAAGGAAGTTAACTTAGAATATACAGGCGAAGCATACAGAGACAGTACATTAATTGATCATATGACTGTAGTTTAGTACAAACTACACATCCTTCATGTTATAAAAAATGGTAACCTTATGAGATTCTTATACAGAATTTATAATACATATGTTTTGGAGACATAATGCTATTGTTCTATACGATGATCTATAGAATTGCACAATGGATCTAGCGATGGATTTGATGTTTCTTTTGCCCAATGTAAAGCTCAATTAGTGGTGTAATAATCGCTGAAAGCTCACGTTAGACTAGTCTTTAAGTTTATTGCATGGAGGACATTGATATGCTCTAGTTCCTCATGCATTGGTTTACATAGATATTGTGAAGTGGTTTCCCAACTTACAATACATCATAAGCCTTTTAGAAATGATATTTGTGTGTTCCTTTTGAATATCTACCAAACGTATAAAAACATGTCTCGATCTTACTTGTGTAGTGTTTGATGTGATTGATAAATGCATAGAAACTAGTATAGTGTACCAAACTGTCATCACTTATTTCTATGCATTTATCAATCACATCAAACACTACACAAGTGTAACCTGATACAATTGTGAAAAAAATGTTATATTTTTACATTTCACATATTTACTATAAAAATAATGATTAAATTTGTGGTTGAAAATATATTTAAATTAGACTTAGAATCTAACTACAAGACCCATATTATAACCATTAAACCACCATGAATGGATTGAGATATTAATACAACACAAAGAAAATCCTAACACATACATATGCTATGCAGTATTATATGAATATGATAATGCATTGCTCCTCCTTTAAAGAACATAAAGATCACAATAATCAAAAAGGTTTAGCTTTAATTGTCTTTCTTTGACTGTTATCATTAGACCAAAAAAAAGATCTTTATTTAGATTCCGATGAAATCACAATGGTACATGCATACTTGGACTATATTGTGAGAAAAGGTTATTCTAAAAGCACATGCTAATTTTGTTACTTATATAAAATATATTCCAGTCATGCAGTGTTTGGTGAGATTTAGAATAAAGTTACAAGGAAAAAAAAACAAAAAGTGAGTTAGGATCTTATGTTTAGTATAATTTACTCTTTTAAAATTATTTTATGACTTCTATTAAAGATAGTTTAGAAAGCAAACCACAATTGCAATGCATATATTAAAATTATAGTGAATTTGGAAGTGTATTATCAATCACCAATAGTGAAATATCATAGTGTAAACTTGTATTAGATATAGTTTTGAAAAGCATAAAACCATTGCAATGAATGTACAATACATAACAATGTGATCATATGCATTTTTTTCTATGTTAAAAGGGATCTGATCATATGCATTTGACTTAGTATTAAACTCAATATGCATTTGAGTTAAACAAGCTTAATGAAGATAATATAACTCTCATGTCTTATCTCGAACCAAGACTCACAATAATGAAAATGAATCTAATGGCTGGTGCACCATAAGGTATATTGAATTACTTTCTTCTTAGAAAGGGTTTCATAAGCACAAATAAAGTCTACAAATTAGTATAACTCTTCGACCAAATTGTTCCAATTCTTTTTTGGGAATATTGTTTGCTATGCCACTTTCATAACTCAAAATTATATTACTGCCACTTTGACCAAAACCTTCTCAAAAATGTCAGTTTATCTATTTGTGGCACTGTCACAATGACGAAATTGACCTCGCAGGAAAAACAAAAAAAAGATGATGGACGAGATCTGATGGACCAGATCTGTTCCCCCAGAACTGGTTCGAATATAGTCTACCAAAATTAGTTGACCGAATCTTGTCCATCTACTGACAAAATGTATGATCTATTGTGTAAATCTAGCTAGATCATGAATAAAATCTTCTATAAATACATCACTTATTTCATCATATGGTGAATCACTTGTGGTTTCAAAAGATTTACATGATGGACAAGATTAATTAATCAAAATGGAAAGGTTTGGTCCATCGAAACTAGTCCGTTAGATCTGGTCCACCGAATTTGGTCCATCAGATTTTGTCCATCAGAGATGCAACACATAATTTCGCCGATCGGAATCGAATGGATTTCTTTACCGGAGTAGATGTGGGTGGAAAAAATCTCTGATCCAAATATTTTTTATAATTGTGAAGAGTTTTATTTGTGGTTAGATAAATAAAGAGAATATGAAAGAAGAAGAAAGAGAGATGAGACAAGGACAAAAATTGTCTTTTTAATATATCTTGTGGCAAATGGAAAAAGACTAGAAAAAATGTGGCACTTCATAAAATATTTGTTACTGTTCATAGCATACAATATAATTTTCTCGTACGTGGAAAGTTATGTAGAAAACAAATGAGAGCCTTCTTCTATTCTTCAACATGAAGACAAGAATCTTTTCGCCAATTTCGTAAATGGGCAGTCACAATAGTCGACAGTCGTAAATGGCAGACCAAATCCTTTATATGCACTTTGGCTGCTCTCAATACAAACTTAAAAACTTTTTTATTTTTTGGTTTAATTTGAAAGTATTATTTTGATCTCTTTTTCTTTACTTTTGTAATTTCGATATTAAGATGGCAGACATAGTACGGAACCAACCAATGATTCTTTTCGTCAAACCAACCAATGTTTTTTCTCCTCTTCATGTTTGAAGGCATTGAAACTTTTTTTCTTTCTTTTGTCAACAAAGGCATTGAAATTGATTGTGACTTTCGAGAAGCGAATGAATAAATCAACAGTTCATTTTTCTTCATATTTAATATTTGTTAGGTACATAAAATCAAACTTCTCCTATAAGAAAATATGTTGAATCTAATAACAAAACTTGTTTCTAAGAAACCAAGTGGGATCTGGTCTAGTGGTTTTGTAAATCACTAATTCAACATCAGTAGTTATTAGATAATTTGTAATTCAACATCAGTAGTTAAAGATAATTTTTACGTTTTAGATGTAATTTTATCGACGATTATGAATTTTTACCGAGAAAGATTATAAATCAAAAATTTAGAATTCATACGATTTAAAACAAATTGTTTCGGAAAAAGGAGAAAAAAAAAGTTGTATAAAAGAAGATAGACTGTTAATTTATTCTAAAGAAACTACAAATGTATTTTTTTTTTCATCGATCAACAACTACATTTGTATTACATATATTTTTACATATGTCAAATTAATACGAGAACATGTTAATCTCTAACAAAAGATGATAAAAATGATGCATGATAGTATTTTGGATAAGAGCGTATGGTCGAAAAATGAATAGTCAAAATCTTCAGTTTTGTGTAAAACAAATCTTCGTTGGCCAAAAACTAAGACACCTATGATCTCTATGGATCTCTCATTCAGTTGCAATCACGAGGTCTATGTTAGTCAAAATTAGATTGATAAGAAAGTGTAATCGATAACGTCTATGCTAGTACGTTACCTTCTTCTTCCGTCGTTGAACTTTTTGGCCTCATTGCCTTCTACAAGTTATTTAGATAGACCTCTTTTGGACTTATCCACTCTTACAAAAAAAAAATGTCTATATCTATCGTGTATAGTATACAAGTCTTAATATCCAAAATGACTTAATGCCCACAAAAGTCGATGTAAAAGTTTCTATAAGAAACACCGCCATTGATTGGTCCACACTGGTTCATATTAAATCCTTTTGTCTCATCCCAAAATTTAATATGAGTTCGATCCAACTCTCTCGTGGGAAATCAAAATATTGATACCACTCTTAGAGTACATGGGAAAAGTATACAAGAAAAGAGAATTTTGGATGTTTTCACTATTTTATTAAACGCACAAGGTTTCTTCTTCTTCTCATGTTGACGTTATTGGCCAAAGCAGCAGCCAGTAAAGAAACTTGTTCATATACGATTCAAGTGTTTTCTAATAAAAGAGATGTTAGTTTTCTAGTTGGATTAGAATATTATCATATCGAGTCTTTTTCTTAAAACCTATAAACAAATTTTCTAAAATTTTGGTTAAAAAAGTGGTCCATAGTATTTCGTAGTACGCGGCTAATCATTTATGAGATGAACACATATCTTTCATAAAAAGTTCAAAACTCTATTTGGGAGTAAACTAGTAATAGATTAAAATAATATAGAGTCTAGTATAGTAGTTCAAGATAGAAGAACTGTAGACATATCAAATTATTACAAAAGTCCAAAATGTATGAATGGAAATTCTTAAAAAATTTCACATATAAAGATTTAAATTATATGAAAATTTTGATTATTTCACTAAATTTTATTGAAATTTGTTATTTTTTTGTTTATAGTCATATATTCGAGTTAGGTATGTTGCTAATCCTTAAAGTGAAATGTAGATCTGAATAAGAAAAACCTATAATCTCGAATATAATAGACGAAAATTCCATATTTAAAATACATAAATAAATATAAAAGATTTTGAAATAGTTTTGCAAAACTCAAAACTCTTGGCACATTTGGTACTTCTAAACCATTAATATTACACCAATCTAAGCTGACTTAAGTTATTTATTATTTTTTTTTCTAATAGAAGTACAGTATAAGATGAAATAAAAATAAAGAAAAATGGATTTGATATCAATCTTGGACGGTTGAATAGATATGAAAACATTAAATTTTCACCGATGTAGATAATATTTCTGACTACGTCAAAATTTAATACCTTATGGTCGGATTCAAATATAAAACCTCTCTCTCTCGTACATTGGTACGTTAGATAGAACATGTCTCTCATGATCTCATCTAGCTATATGTATATGTAATTAGAAGAAGTACAAGAACGATGTCATAAAATAGAAGTAGTAGTACAGAACCAAAACTATGTTGACACACATGTAGTTAATCAAAGTGTGAAAAGCATAATCAGTTTAGTCAGATGAGTTTACTTGCAAAACCAAAACTTGTATGTCCACAAAGATTTCTACGTCATGCGAACTTGATAGGCCACGTTGTGTAGTTGTTGTTGTTGTAGTCTATCATGTTTTGGTCAACGCAAATCTGAGACAGCTCTGTACATTTTCTTCTATTTTTCTTTGAGTCATTTAATTTTTTTGGTGGAAAATTAAATTGTATTATCAATTCACCCTTAAAGACTAGTACTAAATATTATTTTTTCTTAATAATCTGATTATATAAATCTCTAATTACTTTAATTTTTGTAGTGGACCTGTTTGTTGACATCTTACACGGTTTCTTGGCTCCTTCCTCAGTCTTAAATGTAAAATGGATTTCAATATATAATCTTTCCTACAAGTTAATCAAATCATAAAAGTTCATATACGGCAAGTACTGTGGAGTTTTAAAACTATTAACAGAGTTCTTGATAATGAAGAAACCTTTTTTAGAAAAAAAAAATAGAATTATCATTGACCTGCTCATCTATACATTACTAAACTGAAGCAGAGATTATGCCATATAAATTTATCTAGAGTTAATAATCCGATAAAATGCGATTTTCTGGTTTGCTAGATTGCAAAGAGTACTCGGATTTTAGATACTTTCGAGTTTTGACTACTGATTTGTTTTTGTATTGGAGTAAGAAATTTTCAGCTTATTAAAACGAATTTTTTTAAATTTTATTTTTTACTTTACTATTTTGCTTAAAAATACATGATTTCTAAGATCCTTTCTAATGTAACCTCCAAACAAAGCTCTAATTTTTCTCTAAATATACGTCCAGTTTGATTGTAAAAAATGAATATTATACGAATTATTGTAACTTGATATTTCATTGTGAGATGTATATAATTTTTTTCTTACATGCTAGTATTATGAAAAAACATAAATGCATCGTGAGAATCCGTGAGCTTATTTTTCAACAATCTAATCTTTTTTTAAACAAAAAAATTTATAAAATAAAATAAATTAGTTGCCCATACATTACAGGTAAATATTAAACACGAGGGGCGGAGAAAAGTGCCAAAAAGGTCAGACGTAAAGAAGAAAAATGGAGATTTTCTGTAATCTTATAAAATTAATTAGGTGATTAGAGAGATAATTAATTAAGAAAAAGTCAAAGCTGATGACTAGGTCGTGTTCCGGTGGACAGTCAACAGATCTGTACATCGCTTTTGTCAGTACGTGGGAGCCCTCCTCCTTTACAATAAGATCTCTCTCTCTCTCTTTCTCTCTCTTTGTCTCGTTGTCTCTTCTCATTTCTACGTGTGTGGACTCAAAATATATAATATTTTTTTTTAATTCATCTTCTTAATATTTTTTTATAAAGATCATATCAAACAAGGTGACACGTTTCTTCACAATCTTAGTTATTTTAATTCAATCTGACATTGCATAGTTTTTTTTTGGTCAAATATTTTATTAGGTTAGTTGGTAATTTTATGTTGTAATCATTTTTCTGGTTAAAAGTTTATGATATAATCATTTTTCACTATTTAAATCATTCAAATTTGACGGTAAAATTATAACAAAAAATAAAAGAAATAGTTTTTACTTATCAAACTTGGCGTTGAAAAAATATCAAATTATTGTGATTATCTTAATTAGTGCTATTTTAAAATAACACGAGTTATTATTTTCATAATCTAACAATCGAATAAACGTGAATGTGTTACTTCTTTGTATACTTTGATCAACTTATAATGTATCCTCTAGCTCTTTCTATTTTTGGAAGCTAGTTTTTCTATCGGTGGCTAATCAAAAGGTGTAATATTGTACACCAACTTGGGTTCGAATTTATTGGAAACAGTTGTTCGTTATATACTTTTGTGTACATGTTGAAATTGTCCAATGTGAATTTAGTACATTGCTTAATTAATATATGAATTGTACAATATATAATATAGTCTGAAAACCCGTTTATCATGAATTTATAGGTTTGGTAGGAAAAGTCAATATACTATAATCTCTTATAAATAAAACTTAAACAAATTTATACTTAATTTTTTTTTAAAAAAACCATTTTTTTCTATTCCAAATCTAAAACATGTAGTATGTACTATTATTAGATTATTATAAGTTATAAATTAGAACTAGATTTTAACCCGCGGTATACCGCGGGACGACATTTATAAAATGAATTCTTTTTTATTAATTTTGATTGGTATATAAGAGTGTACTGCTACATTTTGATTCTTAATTCTATGATTTAACCCGTAAGATATTATATGATAATTTATTTATTATATAATCGTAATTTGATCAAATTAATTAAATAAGTATAATATTTAAAATAATGAAATGATATTGACATAATATTTGTTTACATAATATAATTTCATATTAAAATATTTTGTAAATTATACTATAGTAGACAACCCGTAAAAATATCTATAAACATAATTATATAAATTATAACTCGTTCCATCATATGACCCGTGCTACACAATTATCATTAATACTTTAGTACTTCCATTTTGTATCGTTTGAGTAATATACACCCGTTTCTAAAAATTCAAATTGCAACATATGCAAAAAAAAAATTATATTTTTATCATACATATGTTTATGTAATAATATAAATTTAAAAACAAATAAGATCATATAAAGATGTTGGAGAAATATTTGATTTCATAGGGAGAGATTTTAGGAAATCTTGTTAAATGTAATAAATATCGATTTCTAATTTTGCAATTTTATTATGATTTAATTATAAAATTTATCTTAAACTTTTTCTATTTAATCAAATGGCAAGGGGTTAATTATGAAAATATCACAAAATAAAAGGGTAAAACACAAAAGGTACTTTAAAAATGTTAATATAGATATATATATGTACTTTCATTATACTTATACAATGATTTTTATTTAGTAAAGTACATGATTTTTTAATGTCCAAATCATATGTGGTAACCATGATTTACCAAAACTTAATTCGGTGTCAAGCAAAGAACATAATATAATCGATTTGGTCAAAAAAGAATAATAAAAAAGCATAAAATCGACTTTGTTTGGGTTGTATTCAGTATTCAGAGAACCAGGTCTCATTTTTTTGGGGTTTTTTTTTTTTTTGGTTTAGACAATTAGAAAACGAGGTTTACTTGATGAAAAAAGAAACTATGAGCTTAGAGTTTAAGATAATATTATCAAAACTGCCCACAGAAGAAGTAAGACTTAACGACCGGCGTAACCGGTCTCCTGTCATGACTATAACAAGCCGGGCCGTCAAAATCGTTGACTCAGTTAACCACATCATTTTTGTATTTTATTTTTCTTTATTTTTTGTTATATAAAATTATAAATTAATAAGTTTGAAAAACAAAGAAGAAAAGAAAAATAATAAAAAAGAGAGAAAGGTGTAATCACGTGGAACGCGCCGGAGTAAACGGGGCGGTGGATCAAACTTTTCGTCGCTTAGAACAAAAGAGGAGAGAACTAGTCAATGCTCTTTCTTCTTTCATATCACAACACACACACACACACACACACCAATTTAATATGAAACGATTTGATTTACGCCACATAACCATTTTCTCGTGATTTTGACATCAATACTTTCTAATAACCAAATCCCTGTTGATCAGGTCATCCTTGTTTAGAAATTTCAAATGACCTTATTGATTAATGAAAATCTCTTTTAAATCTATAATTATTTATGTTTAATCGGCGATAACATGGTTTTATAATATAACGGTTGAAATCGTTGTTTGTTATAAACTAAATAGCGGTTGAATCATAAAAATATATTTTTTGACATTTAAATTATATTTTAAATTCTTTTTTTTGCGATGAAACGGTTTATATCCAAACTGTAAATTATCATTCCGAATTGATATCTTTATGATTTAAACCATAACGATCTAATCGAACAAAAAAAAATGGAATTAAGCATTTGTGTGTGATGAAATGGCTATCACTTTATTATAGCAAAAGATGGAAGTAAATAATACTTTATAATGAAGAAAAATCACTAGATTATAGATGCTTTTAGGAAAATGTCTTAAAATAAATTTATACTCATATAAAATATAAAATATATTTTGAATACAGGAAATTTATATTAAATTTTAGCATAAGACTTATTAGTAGTTTGCTATCTTGATAATAGATTTTAGTAATATCAACGTTGTTAATAACAAAAAAGCTGTTTGACGAAATACATAACGTATAAATCTATTGTAACTTGTAAGACACATTTGTAAGAAGAAATACATTTTTTTATATAAAATCTAACTCTTAGTATTCACTTAATCAAAAATTTACAATTTATAAACCCTACTAAGTAAATCATAAATCATAAATCCAAAAATGTTTTAAAAGAATTACCTTTTTTTTTTCTTCTAATTTAGACTATTTCTGGTCAACGAAAAATATAGCAAACAAGGACCTTCTTTTTTTTTGTCAATTTCCATGAAAATGAAACGGGTCTATATATTATGGGTCGGGTCGTTGCCGAGCAAATGACGCACTATCTGACGTAAAACTCCCAATGACTTTTTTTTCCTTTCTATAAAGTCACCGGAAAAAATAAAACTCGAACTTCATTAATTTATTTAAAAGAGAAATCAAAAAAAAAAAAAAAAGATCGGTCCACGTCCCAAACCCTTTTTATAGGAGAGTCTTATGTTCTGGCAGAAGACTTCACAAACTCTTTCTTAATCTCTCTCTTTCGACCAAACCAAACCCCAAAGAAAAAATCTTTATTCTTTCGTTAATCTCGTGATCTTCTTTCTTCTTCTATATATGGACAGAGGATGGTCTGGTCTCACTCTTGATTCATCTTCTCTTGATCTTTTAAACCCTAATAATCGTATCATCGCTCATAATAACAATCACCGACGCTTCTCGAATCCTTTGACGACGACTACTATGTCAAGAATTGGCGATGGTGATGAAGATGGTGATCATAATGATCAGAAGACGAAAATTTCAACCAACGGTAGTGAGTTTAGGTTTCCCGTGAGTCTTTCAGGTATACGTGACCGTGAAGATGATGATTTTTCTTCCGGAGCCGCCGGAGATAACGACCGTGAAGTTCCCGGCGAAGTTGATTTCTTTTCCGACAAGAAGTCTAGGGTTTGTCGTGAAGACGACGGTGGGTTTCGTGTTAAGAAAGAAGAACAAGATGATCGAACTGACGTAAATGTAAGTACATACGACTTTTTCAATGAATCATAAACGAATGTTTAGGAATTTGTTACAAAATGGTTTTGTTGTATAATTTGTTACAAATATGAATTATAATTGGAAAATTCAAAAAAAATTTCTTTTGTAAAGTTATTTATTTTATTTTTATTATTTTGAATATAGACTGGTTTGAATCTTCGAACAACGGGTAATACAAAGAGTGATGAGTCAATGATCGACGATGGAGAATCTTCTGAAATGGAAGATAAGCGTGCGAAAATTGAGGTAATTTCTAATTTACTTTTTTACATTTTTGAAGTAATTAATAGATGAATTGAACTAGTCAATAAATTAATTGATTAATATTGTCTTTTTAATTACAGTTGGTTAAGTTACAAGATGAGTTGAAGAGGATGACAATGGATAATCAAAAGCTAAGAGAATTGCTTACACAAGTGAGCAACAGTTACACTTCACTTCAGATGCATCTTGTTTCACTAATGCAACAGCAACAGGAACAACAACAGAGCAATAATAAGGTAAATAATGATTTGATTTTTAAGCCAAAGTAAATAGAATTTACCCTAAATGAACATAGGTGATTAAATATGGTGAAACTTAACATGATATTAGGTAATAGAGGCTGCTGAGAAACCTGAGGAGACGATAGTACCAAGGCAATTTATTGATTTAGGCCCTATGAGAGCAGCGGGCGACGCGGGGGAGGTTTCGAATTCTTCATCCGATGAAAAAACTCGTTCGGGCGGTTCTTCTCCGGCCAACGAGGTGAGAGATAGGAAGAGACTTGCGCGCGAAGAAACCCCCGAAACCGAGTCTAACAAAGTTCAGAAGGTGAATATTACTAACCAGTCGACATTTGATCAATCCGCTGCTGAAGCTACGATGAGGAAAGCCCGTGTATCGGTTCGTGCCCGATCAGAAGCTCCCATGGTAAGTTGATTTAGATAATATGTATTGACGATTTTAAACATTAGACCTATATAATTAAACTAGAGATTAATTATGTTTGCACTTTTGGCTTTATAGATAAGCGATGGATGTCAATGGAGGAAGTACGGTCAGAAGATGGCTAAAGGGAATCCTTGTCCACGGGCTTATTACCGTTGCACGATGGCCACGGGTTGTCCCGTTCGCAAACAAGTAAGTTTCAATCTTAGTAACAAAACATATATTAGTGTTTTCAAATGTATATACGTTTGAGTTATTGGCTTATAAGTTTGATTCGCAATGACTTATAGGTTCAACGTTGTGCGGAAGACAGATCAATTCTGATAACCACTTACGAAGGAAACCACAACCATCCTTTGCCCCCAGCCGCGGTGGCAATGGCTTCCACCACCACGGCTGCGGCCAACATGTTGCTATCCGGGTCAATGTCTAGTCACGATGGGATGATGAACCCTACAAATTTACTAGCTAGGGCTGTTCTTCCTTGCTCAACAAGCATGGCCACAATCTCAGCCTCGGCTCCGTTTCCCACCGTCACATTAGACCTCACCCACTCTTCTCCACCACCTACTAATGGTTCCAACCCTTCCACTTCCGCAGCCGCCACTATCGACAACAACACGCAAAATAACTCATTGATGCAACGTCCACAGCAACAACAACAACAACAGCAAATGGGGAATTTACCACCGGGGATGCTACCTCATGTGATAGGACAAGCATTGTATAACCAATCCAAGTTCTCAGGGCTTCAGTTCTCCGGTGGCTCTCCCTCGACGGCGGCGTATTCTCAGTCACACGCGGTGGCTGATACAATAACGGCACTCACAGCTGACCCGAATTTCACGGCAGCTCTTGCAGCCGTTATATCTTCTATGATCAATGGTTCGAACCATGGCGAAGGAAACAACAAAAACCAATAGAAAATAAAAAAATACAAATGTTTTTTTGGTGTCATCAATTTTTTTTTTCTTTTTACAATTACAACTGGGTTAATAGGAAACAGAGTTTTAAATTTCATTGATTCATATTTGTTCTGTTTCGTAACCAAAAATTCCAGTAAATATACAAAAAGAAAAATATATAATTTAATTTTCGGATATGTATTTTTGGGGAAAAAATGAAATATTAGTTACGTGCGTAACTTAAATTAATACACATCACATGTGAGCGCCGATACATAAACCTAATAGTTTGGCCGTACCTTGAATAAAAAGATAATGTAGAAGATATCATCAAATAAGTGTTCTTACATAATGACACACTTAATAATTCATAACATTTAATAACGTCTTTATAAAAAAATTTGCAAACGGTCAATAAATGCTGCCACAACAATTTGACACGTAATTTGCTGTCTAATTAAGTCACCTAAAAATCTGTACACTTTAATAATCGTTAACAAATAGAAACAACAACTTCCTAGAAACTACGAGCTCTGAAATGTCATGAAAAATAAAATAAAACTGAAAAATAATTAAGGTGACCAAAAATTTAGGCAACAATATAAAAGTAAAGTTTAGCTTAGTCAAATTTCTTCATTTCTATGAAAAAATAGAATTATCAATGATTTTAGCCTAGCCGATATATGTATATAGTTTTGGTAAAAATAATTTAAATATGTGTAAAATATTTATTAATATAGTTTACAAATTTGATTTGATTTGCAAAATTAATTGCTAGTAGTATTTTATTTTTATTTTCCAAACTTTTTAAAATAACAGTGCATATAATTTAGCAAAAAAAAAAATTATATTTACATAAAGAAATTTGTTTTGTAAAATATAGAATGGAATAATAAATTAATAATATGTCAAGCTTTGGAAGGAAGCAATACGCAAAAGTACGTTGTTGACTTTCCGTGCAACTCCTAGTTGACGTGTAGTCATGATCATGATTTGCTACAAGTCTTTATTATGCTTACTATTTTAATATTGCACTAAAAACCAAGTTTCTACATATTTCACACTACAATCAATATTGCTTCCGATCCGAGATGCCTCTCGATCATGCTAGTGATCTCTTGTTTTTTGTACATATTATATTTGTTGGAAGTCCCCCAATTATAATCATGTTATCGTTTCAATAATGGTTCTAGTTAGAGAGCTAGAGGTTATGTTATTGTTTCAAGGATGGTTCTAGTTAGAGAGCTAGAGGTTTCTATTTGAACGTTTCGATTCTATAACTCTTTTTTTTTTTGGTGATTAATTATTTTAATATTACATAAAGATAAACCTTAGTATATGGTTTTAGGTACCTTTTTTTTTTGGTCTGTTAAAGATGATTTTAAGTTTTAAACTCATTTACAAGCTAGCTCATAGAACTATAAGCTAGCTCATAGAACTTTTTTTGCAAAATTTGAAAGATATGAATTCATGTGTATATATATACACTTTCTTCTTGAAATGAACTTTACTAATTAGAAAAAGGGAAGAATCTTAAATGAAAAACGGTGGAAGGGTATAATATATAGTTCTAATTACTTATTTTCTTAAAAAAATAATTAATATGTTTGAACTCTTTGAGAAATCATAATGTACATACTACATATACAGACAATGATACAATATTATTTTAATTAAATGAAGAAAATGCAAAGTCATGGATTTACAAAAGCCGCCATTTATTATTTTGCAAGTTATAAAAAGAGATATGGGATGTTCATAAGGTTAGCGTGAGGTCGAGAAGAGAGACTTCTCTACGACTTTTGACAAAAATGGAGTCGTTGAGTCACATGTATGCATGTGGTCATACTTGTTTTAACCCATTCGTCGTCGATCTTTAAGACTCTTTCCGAATTCATCAAATCTTATTGGTTGTTACAATATGGTTGGTATAACCAATTTGATCAGTCCATTGGAAATATTTAGTTGTCGCGTTGATTAACATATATCAGTCGTTTTATTCATGCAGAAGATTATAAATGTCAAGTAAGTTAACTCAAATTGTAGCTGCGTGTGGACACTTAGTTAACCACTTGGATTTTAATTTTATTTATTTTGTTCGTTTTGATGCTTATCGTTGCAGGTTTGCAAAAATTACTTTAATTAAATATTGTATTGCTCCTAAAATTAATAAAATAATTTGGTGTAATTTGGACATTAAATACTAAAATAATTTTATAAGAAAAATTCGTGCTGAACTTATTTTCGACCACAATTAAAGATATATTCAAAATATCGTATTAAAAATTACAAATTCTAAAATGATTCGAGCATTCGAGATGGGCATAGACCTCAGTTGTCACAATCCTGATTGTCATACGCAGTACTCAGTTTGAGCTCTCATAGCATGTTTGGTTAAACCCCATGGTTGAGGATGGAGTAGATAACCCAGACAATCAAGTGCAAATTCGATACTGAGAAAAAGATGGTTATTCGCTCTTTTTAGATGTTTCTAGCTTTGTGATTCACATGAACAACCTAATATTTTGGGCCAATACAATCATGTAAAATTTGCTATGTTAAAAAATAAAAAATGGTATAACTACATATTTATATAAGATTATGAAAGGTAAAAAACATATTTAAATAGGTAACTTTGTAATTGATAAATGATTAAAAATAAAAACTTTAATTTTGCTGGATGAAGGAAATATACCCATTCATACTTTTTAGAATTTTGTCAAACGTCAACAAGAATACATTAGCTTTTAAATACCATAAGAATATGGTAATATTTTATATCATAGAACAATGGAAGCGTAAAATTTCATAACTAATAAAATTTTAACTGATAAATGATTAAAACTAAAAACTTTAATTTTGCTGGATGAAGGAAATATACCCATTCATACTTTTTAGAATTTTGTCAAACGTCAACAAGAATACATTAGCTTTTAAATACCATAAGAATATGGTAATATTTTATATCATAGAACAACTTGGAAGCGTAAAATTTCATAATTAATAAAAAAATTTTGATGAAAGACATAACTTATTAAAGCTGAAAAGCTAAGTAAATCAATCAAACCAAAATGCAATGCACATAAGATGTACATAAGAAAGCAAGAGACCAATAAATTACTTTATGATTCTTTAGCCTTTGACACTTCTTCTCTTCTTAAACAAAATAAATAAGTTCCAACAGTATCATCCACGAGTCTCAATTGGTTTTTGAAGAACTTATAGGAAGAGTTCTAGAAATGGTTAAGTAAATGCATCCAATTCAATTCTATTTTATCTTTGAGCTCAAGTTTATTAACATATCAAAATTATCGTTCGCCAGTTGTGTATAATTGTTCATAATTTCGTTTTTGCTCAAATCTTCATGTTTGGAGCATTATTATGGAATAATGTGAATCACATACCTAAGACTTATGTGGACATATGATACGGCATGGTTAAATATGGGTTTTTGTTTATAAAGCGTATAATAATATTTTGTTAAGAGTCGTGTTCATGAAACTGTATCTTGTGATAATATTACTAATTTCTCAATTACTTATACTGAATGTAACTGTAGTTGTTTTTATTTATATAAGTTTTATTTAACTTATTGCAAACAAATGTTTGGTGCGTCATATCTTATCACAAACGTCAACGGCCAAAAACAACTCTCTTGTTTAATCTAGTAAAATTCAACGGCTTAGATCAAACGAAACCAAGTGGGTCTCACTCTCAATGTCGTGGCTTCATATTAGTTCCTCGAAATATGAAACCGTTGTGGTCTCTCTGACCAGTCTGATGCTTAAAACATCTGGTGAGTTCTACACTTCTACTCTGTGATCTATCATCTCATTACCATTTCTTCGTTTTCTCCACCCCCTAATATATTCCTGAGTTCTTGATCACAATCTCAGGTTTTCTTGATAAATCTGTCTGTTCTTTCAAGGTTTTTTTTCTTCTTCTTGAATTTAGTTTAATGATGTTTATCCAATATTGTATTTTGCATGTGTGTGTGTGTGTGTGTGTATTTGCATGTCTGTTTTCTTGTCTTCATGTTATTCAAACTTCAAATCTGGTTTGTTTTTTGCATGTCTTAACTTTGATTCATGATGAGTCTTTTGTTCTGCTTTGCTAAAACAGAGTCATTTTGCATGTCTAATTTTTAATCTCAGGCAAGTGAGCATGTTGTAACACTCTGTTTCGATTTGTCACACATTCGTTGTTATTAATCGTTTTAGCTGAAAAATTCATGGTTCTTGATCTTGTTTTCGTTATATTACTTTGATTTTAAAGATTTATTGATTGGCTAGTTAAAGATTTTTCAAGAAATTAATTTGTATATTTTCTAACAGTTATCGTTGTCTCTTGTCAATACTCTTATTTTGCATGTTCTGCTTTGGTGACTCCTATTCTGTTTCAGCTTGTTGATTTCACTGCTTTTGATTATTTAGGTGAAAATGGTTATAGACTCAAGAAAGGTTGCGGTTTCACTCTTAGTGTCGTTGCTGTTGTTTGTCTCCGTATCTTCTGAGAGAAATGACGATGGAACATTCAGAGTTAGCTTGAAGAAACTGAAGCTGGATCCTCACAATCGACTTGCAGCACGTTTTGGTTCAAACCAAGAAAAGGCCTTAAAATCTTCTTTGCGTTCGTACAGCAACAATCTTGGTGGTGACTCTGGAGATACTGACATTGTAGCTCTCAAGAATTACTTGGATGCTCAGTACTATGGTGAGATTGCTATAGGTACTCCACCGCAGAAGTTTACTGTCATTTTTGATACCGGAAGCTCTAATCTTTGGGTACCATCCGGGAAGTGTTTTTTCTCGGTAAGCTCGCTTAAGACCATTTGCTTTACAAATTGTTGGTGTAACAGAGAAAACTTATTGTTTTCTTTATTTAGCTTTCTTGTTTCTTTCATGCCAAGTACAAGTCTTCACGTTCAAGCACCTATAAGAAGAGTGGTACGCTCACTATCTCTTTTGATTCTTTCATCTAGAGCTAGTTACTAAGCAATGGATATTTTTCAGTAGGTCACACTATAGATTAAGTTTCATGCATTCATAGCTTATGTGTAAGAACACTTTGGCTCATGATGGAATACAATGTGTAGGGAAAAGGGCTGCAATCCATTACGGCTCAGGATCGATCTCTGGTTTCTTTAGTTCTGATGCTGTCACTGTTGGTGATTTGGTTGTCAGAGATCAGGTAAAAAACTATACCCTAGCTTCTACTCGACACTACTTTTAATGACTATATGATTTGGTTTTACTATATATCTGTTCATTGCCTATCTCTTCAGGAGTTTATTGAGGCAACCAGTGAGCCAGGTTTAACATTCCTGGTGGCTAAATTTGATGGTCTACTCGGTCTTGGATTTCAAGAGATTTCTGTTGGAAACGCCACTCCTGTTTGGTATGCATGCACTTTTGTCTAGTTTTGGACTGAGGTTACTTATTTTTTCACGCAGTTTGTGATGCTTGATGTGCTGACTGCAAACTTTGTTTCTGACAGGTACAATATGCTCACTCAAGGCCTTATCAAGAAGCCGGTGTTTTCATTTTGGCTTAACCGTGATCCAAAGAGTGAAGAAGGCGGTGAAATTGTATTCGGAGGTGTTGATCCAAAGCATTTCAGAGGAGAACATACATATGTTCCTGTGACTCAAAGAGGCTACTGGCAGGTTTGTTCTTTTATTGATTTTCTTGGTTTGCTATGAATGTTTCATAATCACGTCTCATTCAAGCTACTATTTTGGTTGTAGTTCGACATGGGTGAGGTTCTTATTGCTGGTGAATCTACTGGTATGTGTAATACTCATATCATCATGAATGTTTTGTTTTTACAAAAAAAAAGATAACTTATTTGAGAAGTCACATCTCAAAACTTGATTTACTCTTGCACAGGATACTGTGGAAGTGGTTGTTCCGCGATAGCAGATTCGGGAACATCCTTACTTGCAGGGCCAACGGTAAGCAAATTTCACAAGTTTATAGCATTTTCAATTTGTTTGAGTATCTGTTTGCTGATCTTGAAGTTTCACATTTCTTTCTAGGCTGTAATTGCCATGATAAACAAAGCTATTGGAGCATCTGGAGTTGTTAGCCAGCAATGCAAGACTGTTGTTGACCAATATGGACAAACTATTTTGGAATTACTTTTGGCTAAGGTAAGAATATTGTTACTATGATACAGAACGAGATGAATCTTATATGTTTTTTTTTATTCATGTATATGCAACTCTTTCACTTCTTTCAGACTCAACCAAAGAAGATCTGCTCACAAATTGGTCTTTGCACTTTCGATGGCACCAAAGGGGTCAGGTAATGATATTTTTATGACGTAATGTAACCATTGTGTACATAGGCCTTCTCTAATTTTGAGTGTGGTATTGATTATTGAATAATGTTTATAGTATGGGGATTGAGTCAGTGGTAGACAAGGAAACCGCCAAATTATCAAACGGTCTTCGAGGTGCGGGTTGTCCTGCATGTGAAATGGCGGTTGTGTGGATACAGAGCCAGTTGAGGCAGAACATGACTCAAGAGCGGATTGTGAACTATGTTAATGAGGTAACAAGAAAATTTCCATTACCATTATAATACCAATTTTATTGTCTTCCTGAAATTTAAGCAATGAGATCCGCAGATGTGCGAGCGCATGCCTAGTCCAAATGGAGAGTCTGCAGTTGACTGCTCACAACTCTCTAAAATGCCTACTGTTTCGTTCACCATTGGAGGCAAAGTCTTTGACCTTGCTCCAGAAGAGGTATTTGTTTGAGTGCTGATATTAATCGGATCAAAAACTTGAGATCCAAGTAAAATTTTTGTGACTGATATCATTTGTGTGAACTAACAGTACATACTAAAGATTGGAGAAGGACCAGTGGCACAATGCATCAGCGGGTTTACCGCACTTGACATCCCCCCACCTCGAGGACCTCTCTGGTGAGTCTCGGGGCACACTAGTGTTGATTATTGCCTTATACAAATCTGATCTTGATTCTTGATTCTGGGGCAGGATACTGGGAGATGTGTTCATGGGCAAATACCACACGGTCTTTGACTTTGGGAACGAGCGGGTTGGGTTCGCAGAAGCTGTGTGAAAAATGTAACATCGGTTCGGTATTCTGTTTTTGTGTGAGAGTTTATTGTGTAATGTTTATATGGAAAGGTTTTGTGAGTGAAGCCTCGTTATTGTGAACAATGTTTGAAGCTTTGAGGATGTTTTCTTTCTAACTTGATCAATAAAAACCCTCTTTTATATAATTTTACAACATATATGATTCCATGTTCTTTTAATCGATTACTAAGCAACCTACACATTTGCAAATTACTGAAGTTCATTACAAAACCAAACACAACATGAAATGGTATCAATGATTTAAGAATTCACATTCCTTACTATTTATGTAATTGGGCCTAAACGGTTTTTGAAATTGAATCAAACATGATCGACCTTTTTCTTCATTGCCATTGTCAACAATTGCGTGTGAGAGACTTCCAACATATATGCCACATGACTCATTTTATCGAGTTATCTCCGACCATTTTATACTTTATTATCTCTTCTTTTTTGTAATGTATATGGTGTACAAAGGCAGAACAACTAATATAAGCGTCTACACAAACCCCACATCATAGTGTCCTAGTGAGGTGCTGACCTAAAACAGAGAGAATCTATTAAAAACAAACTCAGACTTCAACTTGGCAAAACAAAATAAAGTTCATTTCCACCTAAAAACTCATACGTATGGGCACTTAAACCTCCTCATAAAGTATATGTGTACTCAAGTCTTATTCAAATAAGTATGAGGTAAGAACTCACATCCTTGATATATCATACATTTCTAATAAGAAACCAAACGAACTGAAAGCACTAATATACTGTAATTTGATTTAAATTCGAAGTTACCCAAGAACTTAACAGTTTTATGCTGCAATGGCTCGCAAAATGTGCGACCTCTTTTCACGAAGTTAGGCATTGGCTCTTGACCTTGATCAATAGGTGAAAACAGCTAATCATCATCAAGACAATATGATTGTTTACCTAATTTTAAGTACATGATCTTAAACAAAGTTATAAGAGACTGAGAACTAGCTAGTGGGTCGCTGCCATCAGAGATAGTGGTAACATCTCGTGATAAGAAAAACCTAATAATCCTGTTTAATTATTATGTACTAGTTAGGTAAAGTAGGAAATATATATTAAAGATTTATTTGTAAATTAATTTTTATGTGTATCCCTATGTAGCTTAAACAAGACATGTTGAGACTTTAATTACTGTACAAGTTATTGAGCTTACCAAAAGTTACTAATAAAGTTGATATCCTTCCAATAAATCCATTACCATTTTTAGGTACCACCTTTGTCCAACACTAACTAACTCCCCCTAAATCACGTGTTTTGTACTAAATAATCTCCATTAGCTTTAATTTATTTCACGGTCTATAAATGTTAACTCTATCCTAAGGTTAGGACAGCATAGAGCCAAACAAGCCATTACCATCTTTTTCATCCATACACAGAGATGACAAGCTTGGAAATTGCTATCAAAGTTGATAACTCAATATCAAGCAGCAAAGACCTTACCGATGATACTAAACCCATTGTCTTGATGTCTATTTTGCGTGGTCTCCACGCAGGATATTTCAGAATAAGCCTCTCTATCTGCAGCCAAGCTCTGCTATGGAAGATAATGATCGCACCTGACTCGCCGAGCATGTCTCATGTGCATAGCAGACTCCCATTTATGGCGTTCCATCTCCTGTGGTACCTAGCACTTGCAACACAAGTTTCACTCTGCTTTTTGTACGCCTTAAAGTGTATTTTCTTATCTGACATGGTGAAGGAAGAGTTCTTGCACTATATTGGAGTGAACTATCTTTACGCTCCATCCATTTCCTGCCTTCTCTTGCTTCAGTCAGCTCCAATGATGGAACCACAAAGCGTTTTGTATCAGACACTATTCTGGGTGTTTGCTGTTCCTGTCTTGACCCTTGACATAAAGCTTTACGGCCAGTGGTTCACAACAGAGAAAAGGTTTTTGTCGATGCTAGCAAACCCAGCAAGCCAAGTATCAGTAATAGCGAACCTCGTGGCTGCACGAGGAGCTGCAGAGATGGGTTGGAAAGAGTGTGCTCTATGCATGTTCTCCTTAGGAATGGTTCACTATTTGGTTATCTTTGTCACACTTTATCAACGCTTACCAGGTGGAAACAATTTCCCAACCAAGTTAAGGCCAATCTTCTTCTTGTTCTTTGCTGCACCAGCCATGGCAAGTCTAGCTTGGAACTCCATTTGTGAAACCTTTGATGCTGTAGCGAAGATGTTGTTCTTCCTCTCGCTTTTCATCTTCATGTCCCTGGTAAGTTTTACAATACACAAAGAAACAAAGTTTAACGTTCAAACATAAAATTGTATGAAAACACAATTACCTTATGTTTGTGTTAAAACATTTTCAGGTGTGTAGGCCAAATCTTTTCAAGAAATCAATGAAAAGATTCAACGTCGCGTGGTGGGCTTACTCGTTCCCTCTTACCTTTCTTGCCTTAGACTCAGTTCAGTATGCCCAAGAAGTGAAAGACCCGATTGGTTCTGGCTTGATGCTTATATTCTCATCCATGTCAGTTTTGATCTTCCTTGGTATGATGTTACTGACAGCAGCAAACAGCAATAGATTACTTAGACGTGATCCTGTCCTGAGTTCCGCTACCGGTCCAAAAGACAAGCAAAAATCATTGCCGCTCAGTGTGGCTTTGTAATAAATATAAATAAAACAAGCTATATTTTTATGTTATGTATTATCTCTAATATTTCTCATCCAAAGACCTCTGTGTGGAAGCATTTTGGAAGCTTTTTAATCACTACATTAAGAGCAATACACTATATATTTTGTACCCCACAAAATTCATTTATTAGTCGAAGGACATGATCAGAAAGATATTTGAAAAAACGAAAGAAAAACAAAGAAACAAACTAGATATTGCTAGAATTGAACCAAACTTGGAGCATAACTGAACAAACGTGGGCTATATGTTTTTTTTCCAATATCTACTTTTCTCCAATATTGATCCTCTCCAATAATGTATACAAAATCGTTGTTATCTTCTTCATTCTCATCACAACACACGATCACTTTATTCTGCTCGTCGATGACAAAACTTACTTCAGTCCCAAACCGATGAATGCTCGGATCAATCTTAAAAAAAGGGCTCCAAGACATGGCTTTGGTCTGAGTGATATTATTTGTTATCCATATCTCCATCTTTAATGTATCTTCGTTCTGAAAGAACACTGAAAGCCGATCTTCTCGTACAGTACTTGATAGGGAGATAGTATCCCAATAAGAACAACCCTTGAACGGAAGGCACACACGTGGACCAAATCTCTCAGTTGTAAAGTCAAAACTTATTAAGAAATCTTGAGTTAGTTCTTCTTTTCCTTTATCTGAAGCTATCCAGTAAGAGTTTCCCTTTAAAGACACACCATCTTCAAAGAATGCTATCGTGAAGTCCGGAGTGATACTACAAAGAACCCTCCATTGATTAGAATTAAACTCATAAATTTCCAAATCAAAAGTGTCAAGATCCAAGAACCTCATGATTTTGTAACTATAGCACGGTTTGTTGTTTTCGTATCCGAGAGCGTACTTATCGTTTAGACTAACCGTGTCTTTGATCCACTTGGTTTGACCAGTACAAGGGTTCCAAACCAACACTCTAGCTACTGTTTTGCATAGCAATAAGCCATTGCAGTGAAAGACTTGAAATACCAAAGTGTTAAGTAAACTACAATAAAGAGGATCTAGGATAGCTTCACCTTTAAGCTGTATAGATGGATCAATATTATCCTGAAGTCCACGCAGATTAAGGCTCGTTGAATAAATATCATATCCCCTCAACATGGCAACCAAAACCTGTTTTTCTGCTTTATCAAAGTGCTTCATGGTGAATCTCTGGTCACTGAATAAAACGTTCCATTGTTTGCATGTAGACCGTAATCGTTTTAGAGACGAAGCAGAAACCCTAGCGAGTATCTCCTCTACCAAATCTAATGGAAGATCGAACAAGGAAGAAGATTGTACGCTCATCATTAAAGTGATCTCCCTAGGAAGGAAGAGAGCTATGTATTATAAATTAGGGTTCTGACTTTCAGGTTTGACCTGGCTCTTTGTATATATATTTGCTAATTTTACTATTTTTCTCTCTTTGAAATTAAGTTAGATAGGTCAAAGACTAGGGTTTTAGAATTCGTGATGTCCAAGTCTCACCGAAACTAACTGTGTTCGAAAGTTTTTTTTTTTTTACTTACATTTTATCAAGTTGAATAAGAAATTATATACATGAAACATGTATCAATGAGCATAATAATACAACCACTTATTAAGTACGACGAAATTATGGGGAAAGTGAATGAGCATACCATTACATGTTTTTTTTTCCGTGTTATTTTGTAACATTTATTTTTAATAAATTGTTTTGTGGCCAAACATTTAAGAGTGATATGATCATATATAGGCCATGATTGTTGGGCCTTCAAAACGCCTTAATTTTATGGACCATTGAGTTGATTCCTACTATCCTAAATCTAAAACCTTGGACACCATGGAGAAAACTTCGACAAAAGAAGTCACGTTAAAACAAAAACATCGGATACCATAGAGAACACTTCGACAAGAGGTCGTCGGACAGCAAAAACGTAGGTCAAGGTATATATAGAGAACTAGCCAAAATAGAAGAGATTTGGAACGAGACAAATCAATCCCATTACTGTCTCTAAGCCAATGGTGAACTAAAAATGGTTCATCCCAACGTCATTAGGTTCTCACCCGTCTGATATATATACTAGGGTAGATGCAAGAAATCCAAGAAAACCAAAATGCCACTCGACATTTTGCTTATACTATTTCGTAAGAGCATTATATATAAGGTCACCAAAAAATTATTCTACAAATTGTTGCCAAAAAAAAAAATGTATCCCATAACTATCAGGCCTAAAGTCTTTCAACGCAAAGGCTAACCATCATACGGCTTTTATGCCGCCTCGGAGGTCGCAATCAAGTGAGCGACTTAGGAGTTAGGATTTGATTGGTAGTCTTGTTTGGTACCACTCTTACAAGTGGGTTAGAGAGTTTGAATTGTTTTGTTGGTGTAACCAATAATAAGAAGGAAAGAAAATGAATTGGTTGAGAGTTGAAAACATTCAATTTAAATACATAGTTGAAGTATGGACCGCTCATACAACTTGTTTGAAAAAATATATAGTATACCATCGTCCATTTTACCAAATGAATATTTTTTAGGAAAAATATCTTTTGTTTTGGAAATCTTCGTACTAAAACTTAAAAAGATATTCAGATTTTGGCTCATATGGATCCATCAGTTGATGCTTTATAATTTGTTTTTTTCTCCCACTTTTTGTCAACATATAAGCAGGACAACAACGACATATATATTAAAAGTGTTGGTCAGTTTATAAAGATTTTTTTTCTAATATGTGTTCGCCGTCGTGACGTAATAGAAAGGGATGTTAGGATTATATAAGGAAGCTTCACATTCAAGCCTAAACATTCTTAGTTATCTCCCTTACTGAGAAGGACGAAAGGTCAACGTTGGTTTTAGATGAAACGAGGATCTAAGGCGACAACTCTCGGAATCAGAAAACAATCGGTTCGAAAGAGTCAAGAAGGAACCTCGACGACATTAGTAGTGGACACTGCCGAAACACTACACTTGAAGTTTTAATCAATTCTAACTTCAGAAAATCCAGGTTTATTCAAGTTATATAACTTAGATTTCATTTAGTATTTTGATATTGATATGTGTATGTATATTAGTACTAGTTTTATTGAACTTGCCAAAAGTTTATAAAAGTGAATCCTATCTTTGGTGAGACTTCATTACAAGTATCATCTTTAATCCAACACTAACTTAACCAAAATAACTTGTGTTTTGTACTAATTAATAATTTCTATTGGCTTTGTTTTCTTTGTCTAATGCTTATGTACATGAACTCTTTCTTTAGGATAGGACAACAAAGAGATATATAAGCTCTAATACATCAATATACCGAGATGGAGATTCCTAGCCAAGAAATTCATATCAAGATTGATAACCCAAGATCAAGTAACAACAAGAGAAAGAGAAAGACTAGCCTCGCTGATGCGGAACCCATTGTCTTGATGTCAGTTTTGAGTAGTCTCCATGCAGGCTATTTCAGAATAAGCCTTTCTCTATGTAGCCAAGCATTGCTATGGAAGATAATGGTCCATTCCCATAGCGAACTACCGTCTATGGCGTACTATATCCTGTGGTACTTAGCACTTATAACGCAAGTATCACTCTGTTTTTTGTATGCCTTCAAGTGTATTTTCTTATTTCACTTGGTGAAGGAGGAGTTCGTGCATTATATTGGAGTAAACTATCTTTATGCTCCATCCATTTCATGCCTTTTACTGCTTCAATCAGCTCCTATGATAGAACCACACAACGTTTTGTATCAGACACTATTCTGGATCTTTGCTGTTCCAGTATTGACCCTAGACACAAAGCTTTATGGCCAATGGTTCACAACAGAGAAAAGGTTTTTGTCGATAATGGCAAACCCGGCAAGCCAAGTATCGGTAATCGCAAACCTAGTGGCTGCGCGAGGAGCAGCAGAGATGGGTTGGAAAGAGTGTGCTCTATGCTTGTTCTCACTAGGAATGGTTCACTATTTGGTTATCTTTGTCACACTCTATCAACGCTTACCAGGCGGAAACAACTTCCCAACCACGTTGAGACCTGTTTTTTTCTTGTTTTTCGCGGCACCAGCCACTGCTAGTCTAGCTTGGAACTCTATTTGTGGAACCTTTGACACTATAGCGAAGATGTTGTTCTTTCTTTCTCTCTTCATCTTCATATCCCTAGTAAGTTTACAACACACCAAGAATCAGAAAACATTATGACAATACATTTTACACTTCTTTTTGTTTAACATTTTCAGGTCTGTAGGCCAAATCTTATAAAGAAGTCGATAAAAAGATTCAATGTCGCGTGGTGGGCTTACTCGTTCCCTCTCACCTTTCTCGCTTTAGACTCGGTTCAGTATGCACAAGAGGTGAACGAACATGTCGCTTCGGTCTTGATGTTTATAATCTCATCCATCTCAGTTTTGATCTTCTTCGGTGTGATGTTACTGACAGCAGCAAACAGTAAAAGATTACTCAGACGTGATCCTGTTCTCTGGTCTGCTACTGGTCCAAAAGACAAATAAAGATCGTATGCTAAAGCTAGTCTTAACCACAAATGAATGTAACATATGTATATGGGTACAGAAAATAAGAACTTGCAACTAGAAAGTTTGAAGTGAAAATCAAACCCGGTTCAATTACTTTAAACCGGTATGAATTGAACCGAATTATTTCCCGACTCAATTTAATCCAATTTAACCCGACTCTAAATTTCAAAGGCAGAGTTTTTTTTTTTTGTTTTGATCGCTGCAATTCGCCGGCGACGAGAGACGACGATGATCCGATCACGAAGTGTCTTGTTGATATTGAGGAAGGTGTATCAATCTTCATGTGTTAAATGCTTATGGGCAAACTCTTTCTCTTCTACTTCAGTTTCGTCAAGCTTGGGTTTTAGAGCGACGAACAAAGAGTTGAACCAGATGATAAGATCGGGTTACATCGTCGAAGCTAGAAAGATTTTCGAAAAACTGGAAGCGAGGAACATTGTGACATGGAACACGATGATAAGTGGGTATGTGAGAAGGCGGGAAATGAATCAAGCACGGAAACTGTTCGACGAAATGCCTGAGAGAGATGTTGTGACTTGGAACGCGATGATTTCGGGTTATGTTTCATGTGGTGGGATTAGGTTTCTTGAGGAAGCAAGGAAGCTGTTCGATGAAATGCCTTCAAGGGATTCTTTTTCTTGGAACACAATGATTAGTGGTTATGCGAAGAATCGGAGGATTAGTGAAGCTTTGTTGTTATTTGAGAACATGCCTGAGAGAAATGGTGTGTCATGGAATGCTATGATCACTGGGTTTTTTCAGAACGGTGATGTGAATCGCGCGGTTGAGTTGTTTCAGATAATGCCTGAGAAGGATTCTTCTTCTTTATGTGCACTTGTTGCTGGTCTTATTAAAAACGAGAGACTCGAAGAAGCTGCTTGGTTTTTGGGTCAATATGGGAGTATAGGTTCAGGTAGGGAAGATTTGGTTTTTGCTTATAATACCTTGATTGTTGGATATGGACAGAGAGGACAAGTAGAAGCAGCTCGACGTCTGTTTGATCAGATTCCTGATGGTGAGTTCGGAGACATATTCCATAGAAATGTCGTATCGTGGAATTCCATGATCAAAGCTTACTTGAAAGTGGGAGATGTGGTCTCTGCACGGTTGTTGTTCGATAAGATGAAAGACCGTGATACGATTTCTTGGAACACTATGATTGATGGATACGTACACGCTTCTAGGATGGAAGAGGCTTTTTATCTGTTTTCGAAAATGCCAAACCGTGATACACACTCATGGAACATGATGGTCTCTGGTTATGCTAGTGTTGGCAATGTAGAGCTTGCTCGTCATTATTTTGAGAAAACACCGGAGAAAACTACAGTATCGTGGAACACGATTATAGCAGCTTATGAGAAAAATAAGGACTACAAAGAAGCTTTTGAGATGTTTATCCGGATGAACATTGAAGGAAAGAAGCCTGACCCACATACTCTAACTTCTCTTCTCAGTGTATCAACCGGGCTTGTAAATCTACGCTTAGGAATGCAGATGCACCAAATCTTTCTCAAGACTGTGATCCCCGATGTTCCAGTCCACAATGCCCTTATCACTATGTATTCGAGATGCGGCGAATTAATGGAGTCTAGAAGAATCTTCGATGAAATGAAGCTCAAAAGAGAAGTAATCACATGGAATGCAATGATAGGAGGGTATGCTTTCCATGGTAATGTCTCAGAGGCCTTGAATCTGTTCTGGTTAATGAAAAGTAACAGGATATATCCTTCTCACATAACATTTGTCTCGGTTCTGAATGCTTGTGCTCACGCGGGACTTGTTGATGAGGCTAAAGCTCAGTTTGTGTCCATGGTCAGTGAGTACAATATCACGCCGCAGATGGAACATTACTCTTCTCTGGTCAATGTAATCAGTGGACAAGGGCAATTTGAAGAGGCCATGTGTGTCATAAAGAGTATGCCTTTTGAGCCAGACAAGACGATATGGGGTGCATTGTTAGATGCTTGTAGGATTTATAACAATGTAGGGCTCGCACATGTTGCAGCTGAAGCAATGTCGAGACTCGAACCAGAGAGCTCAACACCTTATGTACTGTTGTACAACATGTACGCGGAAATGGGACTATGGGACGAAGCTTCTCAAGTGAGAATGAAGATGGAGGGTAAAAGAATCAAGAAGGAAAGAGGATCAAGTTGGGTTGACTCCTCAACATAAAAAACTTCTTTTTATGTTCACAAAAAGATAAAAAATTATCGGGATTCAGAAGTCAGATAGAAACTGATAAGGTACTCTTGATGGTTCTCTGTTTTCTCCTTACTATTCATCAAATTGCACTAATTTAGTGTATTATATTGATTACAATGTCAATTTCGTGAAAGATAATGTTCATTTGGATTTGGCATTTAGTCTATCTTATTTGTTTTTGATATTTTTCAGCCATTCAAATTACTGGTGGCTTCAAATTCTCCTGTTACATATATACATGCATACGTGTATCGATATCGCTGCTGCTTCTCTGAGTCTTCACCGGCGTTTAAAAACCCAAATTTCTCATATCTGAATCTGGGTTTTTCAAAAGGGTAAGTCTTTTTCTGTTCAAATTTCACCATCTAACCTTAGTAGGCAGTAGATGAATCGATCTTATGATAATTATGTAGCGAGTAGGTCTTGTGCAACTGATTATGCTATCGATTAGGAGATTCTTGGAAGTTTTTGCAAGATCGGAGCTTTTAACCTCTAATAGTGTCTTGAGATGAAATTAGGGTTGAATCTGGAACATCAATTTCTTTATATCTTATACATCTTATTTTCCTTGAAGCTTCTGTCTTTTGCTTTAATGGAGTTGTTGCTTTTCTCTGTTTTTGTTTACTGGGGCAGATTAGGGCATTTCTTCATTGATATGGTTCAGAAATGTTAGCTCTGTATCCTTCGGGAACTATCGACAAATTCCAAATTCGTTTTTGCGGTTTCAAAACCACGGTTTTTGGTCCTTTGATTAACTCTTCTGTGTCTCCAAGTTTAAGAGTTGCTTGGAGCAATGTAGAGAGTTATCATTCATCATTCTCTCCAAAAGGCCAAATTCATCATCTAAGGAAATGGATGGTTAGTGATGTTGAAAGTTCTGTCTCTTGATTACAAAGTTTACATCCAAGAGCTTCTAAGCTTTTTGTTTGTTGATTTCCATCAAGTTTTGTCGCTCCCGCAGCAGCTCGGATGATGAGTACCGTTCATCACGCAACATAGCTTTAAGTCTGTTAAGACGTTATAGGACCGTGATTGAACGTGGTGAAGGAGAAACCTTAAAAGTAACTTCCCTCTTTTGTTTTTTTTTTGTTCCATTCTCACTATTTTCTCTATCATATATTCATCGTTCATTGTTATTTTGTTTATCTTAAGGAATTCATTTCCGCTGGTGTGAATGCATACTCGCTCGGTTGCACAGATGAAGATTTGAGAAAAGAACTAATTGCTATGAAAGAATCAGGATTAGAGCTTGAACGAATGGAGAGTTACCATGGAAGCACACAGACTAAATCCAAGATTTCGCTGTCCGAGGTTAGCTTGTTAGTTAGTTGCTATGAACTTGTGATATCATAGGTTAACAATATGAGCTAAGTTGTATTGGATTTTTAGTTCTGCCTCATCAATTTGAGCTGACGGTTTTAATTCCGCAGGTAGATGAATGCATATTGTGGCTTAGCATTGTATTCATCACGATCTTGTGTACTCCACAACCTACAGTCGTGAGATGGTCATCGACTTCTTCGGTTTCCGATGAAATTCTAAGCAAATGGAGAGGCTTTTGCGCGGTTATAGCCAATGCATACTTTATTAGAGGAATGGCATGGTAAGATCATCCACTCTAAGACGCAAATGAAATATTTGTAAAAATTGTAAAATCTATGCGTTGTTATGAAAATTCCAATTTTGAACCATCCGGCGAGTGTAGGCTGCCAGTGAAGACCCTTCAGTTGGAGCAGATGGCGGTTACAGGACAAGCGGAGGAGCCATCGGTTGTGGCCAGCCGAATGCGACTGGTCTTTAGCACCCTCGAGGTTAGTTTATTTTGTAAAAGGAATTGTTATTTTGAATTCGCGCTTCATCAGTCAACATCCTCGGACTGTCAGGGTTTTGAAATCAGTTCTACATCGTATTCGTAGGTAGTGAGTCCTCAATGGCCACGGGTTTAAATATGATCTTCTGCATACTGCAATATACGAACTATAAGGTATCTTTGTTTTGTTCTTTGAATCTTATCTTTGCCAAGATTTTTCTATCGTTTTGTTAACCTGATATTGTAAATTTCTATAGTTTATCGAATTTACGATATTGTAAAATTTCTCCCTGTTAAAACATGATGTTCTTCATCATTTAGAAGTTACTTATAAAAAAAAAACATTTTGTAGAACACATATTGACCCTTATAACTGTAAAAATGAAACATTACACAGTGAGAATTAAATAGAGTATCACCCAATGATAAGAATGTTAACATAAAAGCTTTAGAATAAGGACACACGCATAAGACTAGATACCCATTTTAATGTTAAGAATGGACAGTACCGCTTCCGCTGCCGCTGCCACTGCCACTGCCACTGCCGCTCCCACCAATACCCCCACCGCCACCACCTCCACCACCACCACCACCGCCTCCACCACCTACGCTTACATACACACCCGGGCCACTAGCGGTTCCACTTCCGCTGCCACTACCGCTTCCGCTTCCACTGCTGCTACCACTGCTACCATCAGCGCCACCACCACCCCCTCCACCTTCTCCGCTGCCACCGCCTCCTCCACTTGCCGAATACTCGCCAGTGCTACTGACACTACCATTACCGCTACCATAACCAGTACCGGAACCATTACCGTTAAAGTAACTACCACTACTACCGCCAGAACCGCCACCGGCTCCACCTCCGCCTCCACCACCACCTCCACCTCCAACAACTATGTCTCCGGGACAGTCGGAGCGCCCGTTCCCATTCCCATTTCCATTTGCATCTCCGTTGCCGTTTGCACTATCGTTGCTTCCGTTGTCGGTACCACCTTCAACGGCTACTCCTCCACCACCGCCGCCACCGCCACCAGCGGCACAAATAGGCTCATCTTCTAATTTTTTGTCCGTGAATTTGGTATGTTCAGGCACTCCTCGAAAGTGCCTTGCGCCATTAGCATACACAACTCCTAAGAGAACCACTACAAACAACAACTTGGTGATTTCCATATTTTTTGTTACTTTATATATTTCTGAAATGTATTTTTTCCTTTTCTTCTCTTTTCTTGTGAGTTCTCATGTTCAAGCATCATTGGCTATTTATACCGTCACACACATACATATATTTACATTAATAATATATATATACGTGTTTGTGTTTGTTAATTGTTACAAAGAAATGAATAAATGAGAAAGGGATTTGAAGTTAATTTGTTACCTGAATCACTTGGATACATTTAACCTTGACATAATCGATATTTCAACATCTTATGGTGTGATAAACTGACTGAAGTATGGTATTCATGTTACTTACGTAATGTTCTCAAATAAGATATATATATTAGTAAACCTTATGATATCGTAACTATAGTTCGACAATAGTGTACATGTTTGATACTTTGGGTTTGTTTTGTTAATCAGTAATATGAGCTTTAGGTCCAAACAATTTTATCAGCTAGGATTAGTCTTTTCTGATATGTAGAACTCGTAATATCAATAGAACTAAGCATGCATGCATGTAATAGTACGTAATTTTAGATGTTAATATTTTGCATTGTAATACATACATACATTGTGTAGATAGTCCAAAAACATATATATATCCTTTCAAATATCAATTTATATGAGTTAATGTAAAAGTAATCTACAAGTAAGTCATATTTCTCACGACAACGGTATACTTTTACGTTAGACAAAATAACTAACTAAATATTTGATAGTCACAGAATTAAATCAAAAGGAAATGTGGAAAAATAAAACTTTCAAAATGTAAACATGTTTAATTTGACATATATGTACGTAAGACTATTAGTTATGGGTTAAAACATTAACTATTGCATTAAAGCGTATATTTTTCTTGTAAGAAATGAATTCATAAACTAATAAATACATTTTTGTTTTAAAGAGTGTAGTATATACATAGAGCTAGGTTACAATGTGGGAGTAACACACCACGACGCAATACGTACAAAAAAAAACATATAAATTATAAAACCAAAAGGAGAGAAATCAAAGATGAAAGCCATAAAGTTTGTAGTGCTTCTCTTGATAGGAGTTGTGTGTGCCAGTACTGTTGGTGCAATTAGGCATCTCCAAGAAGGATCCAAAGAGACCGAATTAGGCATCTCTATTCCCAACACTGTCACTACCAACGGCGTTGGAACTCAGCTTACTGTTGTTGTTTATAGTAGCGCTACCGGTTATGGCAATAACAGTGCTAGTGCTAGAAAGGGTACCAAAGGTCCCAAAGGTAGTTCAAATGCAACTGGCATTGGAACTACTAGCGGATATGTCATCGCGGATGGTCCCAACGCAAGAGCTTATTCTAGGAGTAATGCATACGGACGAGGCCAAGCTGATGCTGCAGCGGCTCCCAATGGTGCCAGAGGCAGTGGAGTTGGTTCGGGAGGTGGCACCACCGTTGCATATGGCAGCACCGGGCCTCCACCGTAAGGTGTACAGGCTCATTGCTCCGGCTATATATAATTAATACTCTACAAACCCCAACAATCTCTTTTGTATTCATAAATAAAACTAGAGATTGTCACATATAGTCATGATAAATGCTACTCTTCGTGTGTGATGTCTATTCTTAAATAAAAATAAATGCTATAGTTACAGCATTAATAATCTTTTTGGATGTTGTCAGAAATTACAAATAATAATAATAATATTTTATCAAATTGAAGATTCAAGGTAAGGCCAGTAGATCCTTTTTAATTCAGCTTTCACAAGGGTGGCTCTTGTTTTGTGTTCAACTCTGTCCTCAGCCAAGAACATGGGTTTAATTTGCAACTCTTTTTTGTGTTCAACTTAGTTGTCACTTAAAACTTTCTCCAATTTGAAGCGGAAACTCTGATTTATTATCAAATCATTGTGAATATAAGATAAGTCTAGCAGAACATTATAAAAACAAAAAATACATTGATAGCACAATATGATACGTATATTTCGCTACTACTACTACTATTGAAGATGATGTTAACTTTACACACAATAAATCATAAAGTCACATATAACATATGAAATTACTCACTAACAGTATTTACATTTCTAATACCAAATTACTCGAATTTATAATGCAAATAAGTTAGATTTTTAGTTTTAATGTTTTATTGGATTTCATTTGGAATAGTTAAATTTTAAGGATACATTTGAAATAAATAAATTTGATGTAATAAGATTATTTGTTAGATGCCTAAAGAAAGATTGTATGTTATACTATTAAACTTAAGGGACTAAAATAAAAATACAAACTAGATTTTGAAAAGTTTATTTGAGGTTTAAGTAATCAGAACTTCAAATTTTGGGATTTTAAAGATGTATACATAATTGAGCACAAACACTCTCGAAGTCGAATTTAAGGGTTTGTTGGGGATGCTTTTAGAAATGATCAAAATGAAACAATGAGGACAATATATCTTCAGCCTTAGGAAAATTAAACTACTCTAGTCACAAGATTTTTATAAGCATGTACCTACTCCTGCTAATTGTAGATTAATTACCGCTCACATATTTAGGAATATTTTCTAAAAATTTTCGTTTTAGATATAATTTACATAAAGTATTGATACGTAGATAATTAACTAATATTAATCAGATATCACTATCCATATTACTAGGTGGTTAGATAAAATTTCAATTGATTTTCGCAAGAGGTTTTGATATATTATCATGTTGACATCTTGGTATGACTATTAGTTGTAATATATGTTACAAAAAATGCATTGAAGCATGTATTTTTCTTGTAAGAAATGAACACGTAACCTAATAAATACAAGTGTATCATGTGTGTGTGTGTATATATATATATATATATATATATATAGAGGCTATGATTTGAGAAGAAGAACACAACACAACTCACCACAAAACACACAATTCAATCTAAAAAAGATAAATAAACAAAACCAAAAGATGAATTCCACAAAGTTTACTGTGTTTCTCGTGATTGGTGTTTTGTGTGCCATTGTCACCGCAAGGCAGGTCGAAGAAGTCTCCAAAGAGACCAAACTTGGCACCTCTAACTCAAAAGCTGCTACCAAAGGCATTGGAGCTGAGCTTTCTGTTAATGCCACCACTACAAGCTATAGTGATGGCTTTAGCTATGCTAGTGCTAGTAGGAGTCCGAAAGGTCCACGCGCTGATGCATATGGAACTGGCTACACGGCTACCAGCGGAGATGTCGCTGCTAAGGGTCGCAACGCCAATGCTTCTTCTACCAGTGGTTCTTCCGCTCAAGGCGGCGCTGCAGCTGTCGCGAACCGCAAAGGTGCTGCTGCAACTGGAAACGGTAACGCAGGTTCGGCCTCCACTGCGAAGGGCAGCACCGGCAGCAAAGGAAAAAAGAAGAATTGAGCTGTGAGGTGATTCATGCTCATTGCTCAAACCTACCGTATATAGAAATTACAAACTCACGATCTCTTCGGTGTTCATAAATAAAACCAGAGATTGTCACACCTTTAATAATTATCATTACTACTCTTTCTATGTAATGCCAATCTTATAAATAAAACAAATGCAATAATTACGACCTTATGGTAATCTTCTTCAATGTAAATATGCCGTGCTAACACATATAGAAGACTTAATGTTAATTTGCTGAAAACAATTAATATCATACCAAAGACACATCGTTTGGTGAAAAAATAAAATTTAAGTTATTAGATTCCTAATAAAGGAGAACAAGTATTAAAGGGATGATTAGAGAGAGTTAATTGACAAAATCACATTTCTTTTACTTTGAGATTAGCTTGATAGTGTTTAACATTAGGGAGAGATGCACGAGAGAAATTTGAATTTTCTATGTATATTTTGAGATATAACATGTAAAATATTTTAAGCCATGCAGGATGTGAAATTATTAACGTACGATATATAAGAAATGCGAGAATTAAAAAAAAAAATGTGGCCTAGTGTTTCATGCATTTTTTTTTTTCACTCATGTCTTCTTAGCCTATGGTGCTTATAATATTCAGACACTGCTCAGCATATTCTTTTTTTTTTTATAATTAATCTTAGATGTCCTGTAATGTATACTTGAATATAATTTTGAAATATTTTTTACTGTAATGAAACTAGAATGATCGCAATATTTTCTACTAATTGTTTTTTAATTAGTTACTCTGTAGATTATAAACAAGTAAGTAGTATTATATATTTAGATATCGCAATCTATCCATAATACTAGCTGGTTAGATAAACATCGCGATTGACTATCAGTTGTAATGTTACTAATGCATTTAAGCAAATGTATATTTCTTGTAAGAAATGCTCATATATCGTAATAAATACACGTGTATCGTTTGTGAGTGTTAGATGTAGAAGTATAGTTTTGGGAAGAAGAGCACAACACAAACTCACCACAAACACACAATACAATCTAAAAAGGTCAAATAAAAACCAAAAGATGAATGCCACAAAGTTTGCTGTCCTTCTCGTAATTGGCGTTTTATGTGTCAATATCAGCGCAAGGGTTGTGTCAAAAGAGTCCAAACTAGGCACCTCTGTCTCAAAAACTGCTATCAAAGGCATTGGAGCTGAGCTTGATGTCGATGCCGGAACTGCAAGCTACTCTACGAGCAATGGCTATGTTAGTGTTAAGGATACTCAAGACGCTGATGAACTCTTGATGCATGAGGTTGTCTACTTGAACGAGAAGAACTGCATACCAAGCAAGTACGAGACAAACACCGGAGAAGAAAACATTTGGTATCTAGATAATGGAGCTAGTAACCACATGACAGGCGATCGAAGATATTTCACAAAGATTGACGAGTCATCCCAGATTTGTGGTCTATGGTTTGAGGGGGAGTATTGGAATACAAACCAATATCCCACATCGAAAGATTAGAAATAGAAGTTTCTAATATATAAGTCAAGTCCAATTTCAATTAGTATGAGCCATTTTGGGAAGTAGCCCAATAAATCCATGCGGGCTTGAGTTATAGGCCCAAAGCGTACAATATCATACTAATGAAAAGTTGGCTTGATTTTGAAAACCCAATAATTGGTATCAGAGCCTAGGTCATGATAGTGGACCTAGGGTCTAGGTATGTGGGAAAACCCCTCAATGTGACACGATAAGAAAAGTACCTCGAGATTAGGAGGGCTAAGATTTGTGGTCTATGGTTTGAGGGGGAGTATTGGAATACAAACCAATATCCCCACATCGAAAGATTAGAAAGAGAAGTTTCTAATATATAAGTCAAGTCCAATTCCAATTAGTATGAGGCCTTTTGGGAAGGAGCCCAATAAATCCGTGCGGGCTTGAGTTATAGGCCCAAAGCAAACAATATCATACTAATGAAAAGTTGGCTTGGTTTAGAAAACCCAATAATTGGTATCAGAGCCTAGGTCATGATAGTGGACCTAGGGCCTAGGGATGTGGGAAAACCCCTCAATGTGAAACGATAAGAAAAGTACCTCGAAATTAGGAGGGCTAAGATTTGTGGTTTATGCTTTGAGGGGGAGTATTGGAATACAAACCAATATCCCACATCGAAAGATTATAAAGAGAAGTTTCTAATATATAAGTCAAGTTCAATTCCAATTAGTATGAGGCCTTTTGGGAAGGAGCCCAATAAATCTGTGCGGGTTTGAGTTATAGGCACAAATCAAACAATATCATACTAATGAAAAGTTGGCTTGATTTAGAAAACCTAATATACTAGGAGTCCCAAAGGTCCAACTGCCACAACAAGCGGAAATGGCTACACAGGTACCATCTCTGCTAGGGGTCGCAATGCCAAGGCTTCTTCTACCAGTGGTTCTTCAGCTCAAGGCAATGCAGCAGGTGCCGTGAATCGCAATGGTGCTGCTGCACGTGGAGACGGTTCAGCTGGTTCGGCCTCCACTGCTAAGGGCAGCACGGGCAGCAAGAAAGGGAGAAAGGATTGAGCTGTGAGGTGATCATCATGCTCATTTCTCAAAACTATTAATATATATATATATATATGTTCTACAAAATAACAATCTCTCTTGTATTCTTAAATAAAACCTGAGATTCTGTCACTTTTAATTATCATGAAATGCTACTCTTTCTGTGTTGCAATGAATATTTTATGAACAAAATAAATGAAAATAATTACGACCTTTTAGTACTAATCTTCTTTAACAATTTTTATATATACAACACAGTGCCATGCCAACACATTTAGAGGCCTAATACTCTTCAGTAGTGATCTAGAATGAATCAAGATACAAATATAAATTAGGTACTGATCTAAGTAATGCATATGGGAAATTATATTGGACTACAAGGTTCAAGTAGTTCTTCTACTGACCTTACTTCTACAGAACGTTAGGGATTCATTGACCATGCATGGAAGAAATGACTAGAGAACAATTAGTTCAATTGAAATGGATCTTTGGCAAGAATTAGATTCATAAGAAACAAAAAAATGGAGATCATACTGAAAAAGGAGAAATTCAAAGAAACTAATCTTGGATAGTGGTGTGTATATTTCTTATGGCAAAAACGTTTATGATGAGTAGTGTCTGAACAAACGATGACACGGCATTTGTAAGCACAATAGCTAGGCTAGAAGACATGACGAGTGAAAAGAACATGAAGCAATTTCTAGCCAATAGGCTGCCTTAGGCCAAGTATATTGTTTTAACTTTTTATGGACAAAATTTTAATTTAGTTGAATTGGTTAAGACACTACTCATCATATGACATTGTGTTTTCATGGATTCTAAATCTTGAAATGGTTGTTTTAAAATCTAATTAATGATTTTAATTTTGTTACCCTTCTCAAATCCCAGATTTTGCTCATCTTTTTTTTCTTCTGATTTATGAGATGTTGAACCTCCGTTCTAGCTAGCTATGGCACCGGCTAGTTTCTTTTATTACACGATACACATTTTTTCTTATGATCCTTTAAATTAAATGTATTGCTATTTTTCCTATGATCACATGTTTATTTTTAGCAAGGTCGTAACTATTGCATTTATTTTTACGATAAAGTAGCCATTACAAAGAAAGAGTAACACTTCATAATAATTAAAGGAGACAATCTCTGGTTTTATTTATGAATATATATAAGAGATCGTGATTTTGTAGAATATAGACTAATAGGTTTGAGCAATGAGCATGAATCACCTCACAGCTCAATTCTTTTTTCCTTTGCTTCCCGTGCGTCCCTTCGCAGTGGATCCCGAACCTGCGTTACCGTTTCCAGTTGCAGCAGCACCTTTGCGATTTGCGACAGCTGCAGCGCCGCCTTGACCGGAAGAACCACTGGTAGAAGAAGCATTGGCATTGCGACCCTTAGCAGCGACATCTCCGCTGGTAGCCGTGTAGCCAGTTCCATATGCATCAGCGCGTGGACCTTTCGGACTCCTACTAGCACTAGCATAGCTAAAGCCATCACTATAGCTTGTAGTGGTGGCATTAACAGAAAGCTCAGCTCCAATGCCTTTGGTAGCAGCTTTTGAGTTAGAGGTGCCTAGTTTGGTCTCTTTGGAGACTTCTTCGACCTGCCTTGCGGTGACAATGGCACACAAAACACCAATAACGAGAAACACAGTAAACTTTGTGGCATTCATCTTTTGGTTTTGTTTATTTATCTTTTTTTCTTCTATTGAATTGTGTGTTTGTGGTGATTTGTGTTGTGTTCGTCTTCCCAAATCGTTATTGCTTCTATTTATACACACGCACACACTCGATACCGCATGCATTTACTAGGATACGTGAGCATTTCATACAAGTAATATACATTTGCTTAAATGCATGCGTTAGTAAAAATTACAACTAATAGTCATACAATATTAACACCTCTTACGAGGATCAGTTTGCAATTTTTATCTAACTAACTCGAGTTGCGATATATAATCAATGCTATCCTATTTATTTCTTATCTATAGAATAATACATTTTTGTAAAAATATTGTTAAAACAAAAATAGTATCTAATGTACAATACATTTTTGCAAAATATTGTAAGAAAAAACTGATTTGGCATTTGATTTGATTTTTTTTTTTTTTTTTTTTTTTGTTGTTGCTAGAAGTCAAGAGTGGAGAAGCCCACCGGACGAAATGGTACCTTCATAATAAATTTAAGTTTAATTAATCAAAATATCTTTGTGATAAATTACACGTAACATAGAAAATAGTTCTCAATTAGTATGGGGAAGAGTGATACAACACCATTTTATATTTCTCTTAAAGTTGAAATTTTTTCATATTTGTGAATTTAAAACATTGAACGTAAAAGTGAGCAGTTAGACTTTTAAAACAGTAAGAAACAAATAAATTGCAACTATGAATGGCGAAATTGTGGCTTTTAAAATTAATCGAAATTAGGTAATAAACTAGTATCAAAATACTCTGGACATGTAAGTGTATTTTATTTATTAGGGTAATGCTTTTCAATGCATTATATGATTTTTTTGACGCATAACTGATAGTCTTACCACGATGTCGAATTATTAAGTACCAATCTAAGCACCTTCTTCTTGTGAACGTAACATAAACATGACAGTTTTTTTTTAAACAATAGGGTTTTAAAAAGCTTGTTATTTACGTCGTAAATATCAAATGTTTAATAAGCTATATATATCCAAAGTAATGTCAATGTCTTATATAAGATATTTTCTTTGCAAAAACCGGGATATCTTAACCCTTTAAGATATTCCCAATAATGTTACCCTTATATAACCAAGCAATGTTATATTTTTGTTTCCTGTTATCATCTTTCCACACTTTTACCCCAATATCTATTGGTTATTAAGTGTATTAGTGTATATACTTGTAGACGTGTAATATATATACTTGGATCTTTTAATCTTATGTGTTGCATATATCATGAAAAAAAAAAAACATTGTTTGAGATAACGTTATTTTTGGTCTAAAACAATGGATCGATCTCAGGTTAACACAGTACTCATCGACGCTTTATATTCAGTGATACGTTTTTTTACGTATTATATAATATGCTTTCGACATTATGAGTTATAAAATAATTTGTTCACTTAGAAATTAAAAACTTAATTTTTAATATGGTCTTTTAGGCCTCTAGATGTGTTGGCACGGCACTATATATGTATGTGTATACATAACTAGTTATAGAAGATTAATATAAAGTCGTAACTCGTAACCATGGCCTTTACTTTATTTATAAAATAGGCATTACAACACATAAAGAGTAGCACTTCATGAAAATTAAAGGTGACAGACAATCTCAGGTTTTATTTATGAATACAAGAGAGATTGTGATTTTGTAGAACATATATATATATATATATATATATATATATATATGAATAGTTTTGAGAAATGAGCATGAGCACCTCACAGCTTTCTCCCTTTCTTGCTGCCCGTGCTGCCCTTGGCAGTGGAGGCCGAGCCAGCTGAACCGTTTCCACGTGCAGCAGCACCATTGCGATTCACGGCACCTGCTGCATTGCCTTGAGCTGAAGAACCACTGGTAGAAGAAGCCTTGGCATTGCGACCCTTAGCAGAGACAGCTCCGCTGGTACCCGTGTTGCCACTTCCGCTGGCTGTGGCGGTTGGACCTTTGGGACTCCTACTAACACTAACAAAGCCATAGCCCGTAGAGTAGCTTGTAGTTCCGGCATCGACAGAAAGCTCAGCTCCAATGCCTTTGGTAGCAGTTTTGGAAATAGAGGTGCCTAGTTTGGTCTCTTTGGAGACCACCCTTGCGCTGACATTAACAAACAAAACGCCAATCACGAGAAGCATAGCAAACTTTGTGGCATTCATCTTTTGGTCTTGTTTATCTTTCTTAGTTTAAGTTGTGTGTTTGTGGTGATGAGTTGTGTTGTGTTCTTCTTCCCAAAATCATAGCCTCTATTTATACACACACATTCGATACGTATGCATTAATTAGGATACGTGTGCATTTCTTACAAGAAATATACAAATGCTTAAATGCGTTAGTCAAATTACAACTAATAGTCATACCTATATGTCAACATGAATCTTCATACCTCTTGGCAAGATCAATTGCAATTTTATCTGACTAGCTACGACGCTATTACTACTGATATCAATATACTAAATATCTCCTATAATAAAAGGAATAAATTATAATTTGACATAATGAAATAATCTATATAGGAATTACCTAGTTTATTTAATCTAAAATTTGACCTCCTAAAAAACATGACGAGATCTAAAAAATTTTACTTCCTAAATCTCTATTCTAAGCCAAATCTCATTATCAAAACCAAAATATTCAAGTTTAAAGTGCGGTCTCGCAAAGAAATTATCAGTCGCTCTCCATCTGGTTGGTTACAAAAGGCATTACTGTTTATGCAAAATCTATCTAATTAAGAAAGAGAACAATTCATGCATACAAAGTTAATTATGATTGTTCCACCAAATCTATCACCGTGAATTCTAAGCTTCTACTTTGTATAAAAGTTCTTTCCTCTTTTATTTTCAAACCAAAAAGCCATGCATGTTTTTGGTTTGTGGACACTTTTGGTCTTTTAATCAACAAACGTTATGTTCAATCTTCGTTTTGTGGTCACTTAGAGGCTTTTATACTTTCTTAGCCTTCTTCTTTTATTTATTTTTGTTCCATATACTTGAACTTAAAGAAAACTAACACATTGATTTTGTTTTTAGCTTTAGACTTAATTAGAGCACTTCCTTTTTCATATCAATCCAGAATCCTTAGTAACATAAAATATAATTATCCAACCTTTCTTTTCCAACTTAGATGCTAGCCTTTGTGATTCTAATAACTTGCCTCAATGAGATCTAACCTTTTTCGTTTCCGATACTCTTGAGATTTTCCACATGTTAGCAATATAAAAAAAAGTCTCCACTCAAACGAATGATCAAGAGTCGAAAGAATGCTCAAAATATAGGTTAAGAGAAACATTTTAAAAATTGGAAAATGGCCATTAAGGATAACAAAAGTTGGCAAATTCGCAAAGAAAACCCCGAATGTGTCTTCTTTTTTTATTTTTTTTGGTCACCGTGTCTTTAGCTAAGCATAATACAGTATACACATTTGATCCAAACGGAAGAATCAGATTCATTAAAAGTCCAAATTCATAAAGATACTTTGAAGTTCATGTGAGTTTCAAAAAAGTAGAATTTTTCGAAAGATGCAAAGGTTGAAAACATGGGTTTTCCATTTGTCTCAAAGATGCTTATAAAATATCAGTTAAATGAAATAGTGTATATTAATATTTCTTTATTCAGTTTGTGTTGTAATCAAGTTGTTTATCCTATTATCTGCATGGAAGTTAAGTATCTAATTTGGCATTCTTGAATCGAAATATTAAATACGAGTTTAAATATTTTGATCTTAATCGTAACTTTGAACTTTCTGCAAGGTAATTAGATGTAAATGAAAATGAAAAATGCAACCTAACATGAAATTATACTTAAACGTAGCATATGACTCAAATATATGCAAAATAGAAATTAAGAACACAAAAGTTAAAAGACTATAATCCATTCCCCCTGACTTGAATTACATTGTCTTAGTGTAATTAACAAAGGTTAAAGAAAAGCATGTTAAGATAGCTAGTACCATATTTGCTTATTGATTCAAATTTCAGAATAAGAGTCATATAAAGTAGTAACTATGGCATTTATTTTATTTATTAAATAGGCATTACAGCACATAAATAGTAGCATTTCATGGTATTTAAAGGTGACAGACAATCTCAGGTTTTATTTATGAATACAAAGAGAGATTCTGATTTTGTAGAACATATATATATTAATAGGTTTGAGCAATGAGCATGATCACCTCACAGCTCAATACTTTCTTCCTTTGCTGCCCGTGCGGCCATTCGCAGTGGATGCCGAACTTGCGGAACCGTCTCCACGTGAAGCAGCACCATTGCGATTCGCGGCAGCTGCAGCACTGCCTCGAGCATTAGAACCACTGGTAGAAGAAGCCTCGGCCTTGGGACCCCGAGCAAAGACAAACCCGCTGGTACTTGTGTAGCCATTTCCGCTTGAAGCAGCTCTTGGACCTTTGCGACCTTGAGTAACACTAGCATAGCCAGTGCCGGAAGAGTAGCTATCAGTCCTGACAGTAACATCAAGCTCAGCTCCAATGCCTTTGGTAGCAGTTTTGGGAGTAGAGGTGCCTAGTTTGGTCTCTTCGGACACCACACTTGCGCTGATATTGACACACAAAGCGCCAATCACGAGAAGCACAGCAAACTTTGTGGCATTCATCTTTTGGTTTTGTTTATCTTTTAGATTAAAAACTGTATGTTTGTGGTGAGTTTGTGTTGTGCTCTTCTTCCCAAAACCATAGCCTCTATATATACACACACTAGATACACTGGTATTTATTAGGATACATGAGCCTTTCTTACAAGAAATATTCATTTGCTTAAATTTACAATCTAAATTACAACTAATGTACAAGTTAAACTTGCCTAAATCAATCGCAATGTTTATCTAACCAGCTAGTATTATAGATAGATTCCGATAACTGATATTTTTTTTTGTAAATAAATTAGTAGAAAATGTTTATTTTTAAAATATGTAAGTATACATAATTACATCACATCTACGATTAAAATAAAAATAGAATGAATTTTTGTTTTGAGAAATAATCTCAAGTCTACACTCTCGTGTAATCTTGCATTTGTCCACAGTATTTATTCGATCGAGTTTGAATTCGGATAATGATTACAAACATGTTCGTCTCACCCTAATGAATTTTTCTTACGAATTAAATAAATAAAATGCATAGTATAATTGAACTTAATGTTAATTTACTTTGGTAGATCTTAGCACTGATAGACGATTTAAGATACTTTATCAGATAACTTGGGAAATATGTGCAGATGATATATATGATGTAGCAAATTTTTGTACGTTGACCGAAAAAAATATTCTTGAAAACATTTGAGCCAATATGAATTGTAGACTTTGATACCTATATGGTTATTAGAATTCTTTATAACATACGCTATGCGACTTAACTCACTACAAGCTTCATCTAAGGCTTTAACTATTTTTAATCCATGTTTGTATAAAACTTCAATTATTGATAAACTATTTGTCTTTCAAATATGTTCTCAATCGAGATCTCCATCTTTTAGTAATAGTATGTTTGTTCATAAAAATCCTAATCTAGGATGAACCACTATAAATCGGGTGTGTCATTTATTTGTTTTTGTTTGTTTGAGATTTTGAGTTTCGATTTAGAATCCGCAATTCCTAACAATTTCCTTCAGTAACCGATTCACGATACGCTTTGAGAATTACAACAAGATTAATCACACTAAAAACTCGAAGTGCTAAGGAATTTATTGCAATATACTTCTATACACATATGAATTGGTTTACAAACACACACTTCATCACTTCCTTAACCACATTTATTTTATTTAGTAAGGGGTAGTACTAGTTACACATAATAAGTAGCATTTTCTGTAATAATTAAAGGTGACAATCTCTAGTTTTATTTATGAACACAAAAGAGACTGTGGGTTTGTAGAATATATTGTTAATAAGTTTATGCAATGAACATCGTCATCACCTAATGTTCAAGGGTGAGTCCTGCCAGACGAATGGCTGCTACCACTTGCGGAACCATAACCTCTAGCGGTGGCACCATAGGGAACTTTGGATACTCTTCCAGTGCCACCATTAGCCATGATTGGCCGAACGCGCGAATGAGCTGATGATTTCATAGGTGGTATTGGTACCGGAGTTGGTAACTCCGGTAGTTTTGGCAACCCCAGTGGTGGTAACGAAGGAAGCGGAACGGTCTTTTTATCCATAACATGTTTGGAAACTTCTTCCAGTGGCCTTGCGCCTACGTTGGCACAAACAACCTCAACGACCAAAACCATCAGTAGAAGCTTTGCGACGAGAGTCATTATTTGGTTTCTAGTTTTGTTTCTTAAGATACTTTTGTGTTTTGTGGTGAGTTTTTTTTTTTTTTGCCAACATCATGCATAGGCCTATATATATATTATAGTCATACACCTACCTAAACACATCTTTACAATTTTTAGTATACGTACGTGTGTGTATTTTATTTAATTGTTACAATGAAATGAATAAATTTGAAAGAGATTTGATTTAAATTAGATATCTTAATTACATGAAAGTGTTTAACCTGACGTATGAAAGTGTTTAACAATCAGTTCATCTACAATATTCATTACTCACACTGTCCCATTATATAAAACTTTTTGGTTAAAAGCACAAAAATTAAGAAACAATAAATATTGTATCAGAAGGAGTATATATTATAGGTTTTTTGAATATATGTGATGTCTATTCAATTAATAAATATAATTGTTTATTTTCATATATATACTAAATGAAATACAATAAATATATATATTTCCCCCTTTCCATTAATTATTGTGATTGTAGTTTTATATAAGTTTGATAATGGTGATCTATTAAGCTAAAGGATAAGGACAATCAAAATATAGTCAAATTTCTCTCTTTTTTTTTAAAAAAAAATATAGTCAAATTTCTCTTTATCAAAATTTTTTGTTCTAGATTAGTTTAGTAATATTAAAAATAATGATATTACAGAATTTACTAAATTATATGGGATTGGAGATAAGAAGGTTGGTGAAGAGTGTATAATCATAGGAAAAATACTAAAAAATATATATTTTTAAATTATAACTTGACTTTAATCTAATCTATGTAATAAAAACAGAAGAAAGCCAATTTTATTAATAACAGAAGAAACGTTATATTTTGAATTATTCAATTAATAAAAAAAAACAGATTATATGAAAATATGTTTTGGCATTAAATTTTAGTTTTATGAAAGCTTGAAAATGGTGATCTATTTAGTTGTAACCTAAAGAATAATGACAATTAAACAATAAATATTGCATTTTAAAATGTAAGATACAATTTTCAAGAAAACAAAATGTATTCCTTTTTTCAAACAAAATTAAAATATATTCAATTCTATAGTTAGGAAAAGACATTACATATTCAAGATAAGATAACATCGTGTGTTGAGAAGACATTACATATTCAAATCGTTTAATGTGCATGTGTCGATTAAGATGGATCGATTATGCCAAAGTGTGGCTACGAAAGGAAAATATATGTTCTCTTGAGTTTACGTTCTTTGGAAAACCTCTTCTTAATTAAAAGCATTGGACTCAAACTTTTCCCAGTTTTTTCAATCATTCTGATGATTGGTTTATAAAAAGTACATCAAGATTAAGCTCACTACTATGCTATACCGACTAAAGAAGTGGCCAGATTTTGGTAACGCATCCTACATAGCTAGGGACAACTCTGTGGCCACTTGACTGTATTGTCTTTGCATTTGGCATGTCGTTGTTATGTTATTGTCATGGCCACATATTGTGGCTGTGTTTGTAGAAAATTCTGTAAATGGTCCATTATTTTGTAAGTAAGTTATGGATTGCTTTCTTTTCTCAATGATTGACATGGACCACACAAATATATATACAAGTGTGTGAAGTTTTTTTTCACTTTAAAAAAAAAAATTCAAATCTATAAAAGAAATGGTTTCTTGAATTGTAAATAAATAACTAAAGAAACACATGCACACTTTGACAAATAAGCTATTTGGAAAACCCAAATCAAATATCTCAAAGTCAAGTCTGTTAAAACAGGATCAGAATCCAAATACTACAAATTTTGAATCCAAAGTCCATTTTTTTCTTGGTTCGTTTTCTTGAACATAACTTAGTACTTAGAAAATCATAAAAACAAAAAAAATAGAGATAGTATTGAATGCATACGCAATTAGGACACATGACGTGAGTAAAACTAAGAAACAGATATAAAAAAAATAATATTAAAGAAGTTATTAGTTGCAAGTAATCGATATGGCATACTTTGAAACTTTCTCTTTTGGTTTAACATTTGGTCTCACATCGATATTGGTTTAAACACTTGAGTGTTTTACAAATAAAGATTACCTTCGAAGTAACAACAACATGATTCGGACTTGCAAGCCCATTCACTTTTGTTATCATAAATCTAAAGATTTAATATCTTATAAATATTTGGATATATATAACTAGAGGTCGACGTAAGGTTTTTCTCTTTAGTTTTGATTTAGGTTTCGATTTTACGGTTTATTAGCTTTATAAAAACAAAAATCATATAACTATGTTACTTGGTTAGGTTAAGATTTTCATATTTACGGGCTATTATAAGAAAATGAAACACTATTACAAATCAAAATTATTTAAATTTTGGTTCGGTTTAGTTTCGGTTATTTCACGGTTAATCATGAATTAGAAAGAAAAAAAAACAGCATTTGAGTTAACATGCTTATATGTTGAGTTAAAAGTCAAACGTCCAACCACAACAAAGCATACTAACGTCTAACGAAGAACAAATCTTTGCAACTGAAAAATCCTTAAATCGTTTTTTTCAACGATGAAATTTAATAAACAAAATAGTAGAGAAAACGTAACAAAACTCTTTTTTTGTCAAGGAAAACTAATTATTAGATATCTTTTAACAAAAAAAAAAACTAATTATTAGACTTTTACGAAAATAATTTATATCATACATCAATATATAAAAGTATGAATAAATCTAATTTCTTAAATTAAGATAAAAATAAATGTAAATAATTTAAAACTAATTTTTAGATTTTTATAATTTTCGTAATATTCAAGTCGACAAGTCATCATTCTATTAATCTCTCCGATTCTTAATTTCCCAATACAAAACCTACTATTATTATAAACTATATTATCTTTCAACTATGAACTACAAATTTTATATTTTTTCTTAACACGTAATGATACAAAGATAATATAGATCATATTTTGGACAAAGCACCGACTTTTGGATATGTTATGAAAATTTCCTGGCAGTTATTTGTAAGTTTCCTAAATTATTTAAAAACTTTACATAAGCTTTACAAAATCTAAAAACAGTTAATTCGTTATTTAATTATTAATTTAAAATTGTAAAACTAGTGCTAAAATATGTTTATTGCGTCACAAACAGTACCCATGACTATGACCGTAGTCCACGAAATTGTACAATTCATCAAAGCTATAAAATAGATTTCTATTATGGCTTCTCTTATTACTTTTAGAAACCCAACAAAAAAAAAAAAAAACAAAAAGCTCTGTCGAACTCAGAAAAAAAAAGATGAATTCGAGTGGAGAAGATGAAAGAAGACTCCATGATATTGAAGAATCTCTAATACAGGTTTCGTTTTTGCTTCTTCATTATCTTTTCTTTTCTAAATTTATCTTCTTGAAATTTTCTTGAATTTCTCGCTTTAACTTACTTCAAATGTTCAAGATTTGTCCTTTTGCTGAAGAACCACACAAAATAAAATAATCCAATCTTTGTTTATCTCTGATTCAAAACGTTTATGTCTGAATATAGCTCAGAAGGAAGTGAACAGTGTCTTCTCGAAACTTGCATGAATCTTCTAATTTCTAGCTTTAACTTACTTCAAATGTTCAAGATTTGTCCTCTTGATCTGAAGAAGTACAAAAAAAATCCAATCTTTGTTTTGTCTCTGATTCAAAAAGTTTATGTCTGAATATATCTCAGAAGGAAGTGAACAGTGTCTTAACCGGATTGTCTAAAACAGCTGAAGATGGTTCTGTGGACATCTATGGAAACCCACCATCGAAGAAGAAAACAGGAAACTGGAAAGCTTGTCCCTTTATTCTTGGTAAACCCAAAAAGATCACTTTTTTTCTTGTGTTTTATAGATATGACGATACTTAAATCATCCGAATTTGGTTTCAATGTAGGAAACGAATGCTGTGAGAGATTAGCTTACTATGGAATTGCCAAGAATCTAATCACTTACTACACAAGTGAATTGCATGAGTCCAATGTTACAGCAGCTAGGCATGTCATGATTTGGCAAGGCACTTGTTATATGACACCTCTCGTTGGAGCTGTCATAGCTGATTCTTACTGGGGAAGATACTGGACTATTGCTTCTTTCTCTGCTATTTATTTCATTGTAAGAGAGTTAAAACACTACTCAATCAGTTTTTGGATATTTGTATTGGTTTTGGTTTAATCTGGTTTTTGAATCAGGGAATGGTTTCGTTGACACTCTCTGCCTCAGTTCCTGGTTTAAAGCCGGGATGCGTTGGCGTTGGTGTTGCCGGTTTATGCCCACCAGCAACATTTGTTCAGTATGCGGTTTTCTTTGCAGGGCTTTACCTTATTGCACTTGGTACTGGAGGTATCAAACCATGTGTATCATCTTTTGGTGCTGATCAGTTTGATGATACTGATCCGAGGGAACGAGTTAGAAAAGCTTCGTTCTTTAACTGGTTTTACTTCTCCATCAACATTGGTTCGTTTGTCTCATCGACTTTGCTTGTTTGGGTTCAAGAGAACTCCGGGTGGGGACTCGGTTTCTTGATCCCCACCGTGTTTATGGGAGCCTCTATCGCGAGTTTCTTCGTTGGAACCCCGCTTTATAGGTTCCAGAATCCGGGAGGTAGCCCGATTACTAGAGTTTGTCAAGTTCTTGTAGCTGCTTACCGTAAATTGAGTCTCAACCTCCCTGAAGATATCTCATTTCTGTATGAAACAAGAGAGAAAAACTCCATTATTGCTGGAAGCAGGAAGATTCAGCACACTGACGGTTACAAGAAAATATCCGTTCCCTTCTGATTCATATTTGAAACTTTTGGAAATGTTCATTGGAAGATAAACTTTGTTTTCTTATATATCTGCAGGTGTCTTGACAAAGCTGCCATTATCTCAGATGATGAATCGAATTCGGGTGTTTTATCCAACCCTTGGAAGCTTTGTACCGTAACTCAAGTCGAAGAAGTTAAGATTCTGATCCGTATGTTTCCAATCTGGGCCTCAGGGATCGTCTACTCAGTCCTATATTCACAGATTTCCACTCTGTTTGTGCAACAAGGACGGTCCATGGACCGGATGATCCGCTCTTTCGAGATCCCTCCAGCTTCATTCGGGGTTTTCGACACACTTATCGTGCTCATATCCATCCCAATCTATGACCGTTTCTTCGTACCCTTTGTGAGACGGTTCACAGGCACACCAAAAGGGTTAACGGATCTGCAGCGAATGGGCGTTGGTCTTTTTCTCTCTGTCCTAAGCATCGCAGCCGCAGCAATCGTTGAGACAGTGCGGTTGTATCATGCTCATGACGCTGTTGCAATAAGCATATTTTGGCAGGTCCCTCAGTACATACTAATGGGAATTGCAGAGGTCTTCTTCTTCATCGGCCGAGTCGAGTTTTTCTACGACCAGTCTCCTGACGCAATGAGAAGCGTATGCAGCGCGTTGGCGCTTCTCAACACCGCAGTCGGAAGCTACCTGAGCTCGGTGATCCTCACAATCGTCGCGTATTTCACGACAATAGGAGGTAAAGATGGTTGGATCCCAGACGACCTTGATAAAGGACATCTTGACTACTTCTTCTGGCTTTTGGTCATTCTTGGACTTGTCAACATTCCTGTTTATGCCTTCTTCTCTGTTAAGCACACAAAGAAGAAGGCTTTATAAGCTACTTATTGTAACAAGCTATGTTGTATGTTTGTAATCTGTGTTTTGTATAGTCTGTACAGTCCTGGATGCAGGATTACCTGTAAATGTTTTTTAAAATGTGGAATAGTGTTTCCGCCTTGTACAATTACCATTATTGGAGCCATGTAACTTGAAGTGGTTATATGTAAAATTTATTTGTCCCTATATTTCAACCATTTGTTTGTTCAATTGGTAACTAAACTAACCGTTAAAATTCCGACATCTCTTAGCTAGATCACCAATCAAAATCCATAATGTTTGACCGACAGTGGTCCTAAAATTTTATCTCAACTTTTGATACAAATATACAACTCTACACCAAAAGCATCGAATATTGTAGATTTCATGCTTACAAAAGATCAAACAGGAGTTCAGAATATTGTAGATTTCATGCTTACAAAAGATCACAACAATGAAGGTGTGATCAGCTTACAAGATTTATTACTTTATTCGATAAACTCATACTTATTCATTACATATAAACTACGAGACTAAAATTTTTCAGCACATTCTTTAAATATTTGTTAATAGATTGAGTCATGCTTGGTTATTGGACATCTCTGTTTCTTCTGTCCAGTCAGAGTTTGGCTCATTCCATGACCTTGGTCTCACCCCGAAATGCATATACAACACCAACTCCAATGCCACAAAGATCTTATTGTCATCCAAGACCTTGTTCCATGCTCCACTCACTACGCAGTAGTTGCTGTTATACGGTGCTCGGTGATGTCCCACGTGATCTTTCCGCGAAACAAGCATCCCCATGTCTTGTAATGCCACCACAAGAGGTGGGAGCTTGCTCTTGGTTCCATGAGCCCAAGCATGGAACTGTTGGCTAAAGAGTATGCAAAATGCAAATGTACTCACAAAGCTATGAAACACATGGTTGTTGAATGCAATGTTTAATGGGAGAACTGTAAATGTTATAGCTCGAGCTATAGTGTGTGAGTTGTTTGCAAAATGTCTTCTGGTGATTGTCCAAGGCCACTTGTGGTGACCCTGAGATGCTTCGAGTTGGGTTCCTACTATAGGTGTTGACTCATCACCGTAGTTATCAATGCCCCAGTGGTAAAAACCAGATCCTAGATCAGCTAAGACGTACCCTGCATAACAAGCTAAAGCTGGTTCAAGCCAGAGGTTAGAACCAAACCCTCCAATGATAGATTTAGTAATAGAGCCAAACACAGTTGTGCAGCCTGCCGCAACCCATAACCGGTGGCTCCATGTCGATTCTAGAGTCGGGTCATTGTTCTTAGACAGAATAGGGTGCACGAGACGTTGCTCAACCACAAGCTTCTCACGATTAGGCTGAGGGACGTTGGTGGTAGTAACAGAGCATGTGATCACACGGGACGGACCGTAGCTTCTTGAAATGTTGGTGATGGGTTGTCTTAGAGGGTTCTTGGCTTGAAATGATATAGCCATTGAGCAAGATTGCAAGTGAAAGAATAGATTTGGCAATGATAGAGGAAGCGATCGTTATAGAGGCAGAGATAAAACGATAGAGAGTTATGTTGTAGCATGTGAGTACGTCAGACTGTCAGAGATATGGGCCTATATTATGATTAAGTACATACAATATAACATTAATTGACGTATATCAAATCGCAATAATTGATGTCGAACTTAAATAAGAAAGACTAATAACAAAAAAAATTACTTATTTAACCGTTAAAGGATCTGAAAATGGAAATAATTATGACTATTGAAAAAAAGGTCCGATCCAATTTGTGTCAAACACAATTCATGGCGTTTTTGTTTTTATTTGTCTCTTCTTTCTCTAGCTATTAAGCATGTGTGCATGTTTAGTTTTTATAAAAAAGTTTTCGTTAGAGAAATTAATTTACTTTAAGGTATTTATTTTAAGGTACCATAATAAATAAGAAAAAAAATCCTGAAAATACCATACTTTAAGGTAATTATTTTAAAAATACCACAAAAAGATTATATTTAACTTTCAAAAGTATCATAAACGTAAAAAATATTTTTTAAGGATGTAAACTCATTTTTTGAGTTTGGATTGACTGTTTTTGATTTAGGGTAATGCTAATTTTTAGGGATAGAGTTTATTATTTAGCATTTAGGGTGTAGTTTTGAATGCTCAATCAAAATTCAATTTGAATTTTATGATATTTTGGAAATATATTTTAATGGTATTTAAAGAAAAAACTAATAATAATTAACTCAAATTAGTGCTATTTATGAGATTTGCCTATAAAAAACACTTTCCATTATTATAATCGTTAAAATTGTCATATTTGAGATATCTAGTATCATGATATTAAAATTCAACGAAAAAAATATATATATAAAGGATATTTCAATGATTATTTTACCTAGCTAGGTAAAGTAATGGAAATTTCATACAAATGTATATAAAGGATATTTCAATGATTACTATACCAGTGGCATTCTTATGAACTTTGCTCTAGAAATTTACAATAGTTTTAAATGATGTCGTTTTAAAGGAAGAGTACAAACACTATATAATCAAATTCTACTATTTTTAGTTTTTTTTTTTTTTGGTTGTTGTTAAAAGACTATTTTTAGTTACGAAAACGATATATGAGAAAATCGTATATAAAAATGCCTGCGTTTGTGAATTTGTTTGCACATGTTTTTAATAAATATTGTATAACTTTATTCGATAATATGCTATTTACATAAAACGATTAAATATTCTTTTATTAGCAATACGAAAACTTGCTATCAAAATGATGTGATGTTCCTAATTATATTTGCAATTTGAGAATATGCTCTTCTTCTTATTGCTAAAGAATCCAACTCAAACCACATATATATTATTCTTATACATATATATTGTGGACCTAACGTCTTAACACGGGAAAACGGGGAAAATCAACCCAGACTCTTTCCAGAAGGGATTTTCATACCCCAACTCGACTACTCCGTATTTTACAACCTAAATCAGTCTTAAATTCAAATAATCTACCTAAACCACATCTAATTTTGTCGATTTCAACCTCTACCCTAACAGTGTTAAATCTGGGTTTGACGGTGATGAGTCAGCTGCAGACGTGGCAACGGCAAGAGGAAACGACTTCGTTTTATTAAGTTTAGTGTGTTGAATTGATATCAAAACGACATCGTTTCTCAATTGGGGGAAAAATCGATTTAGGGTTTCACGAAACGAAAGAGAAGAAGAGAAGAAACGATTTAGAACCCTAAATCGATTTTTCCCCCAATTGAGAAACGATGTCGTTTTGATATCAATTCAACACACTAAACTTAATAAAACGAAGTCGTTTCCTCTTGCCGTTGCCACGTCTGCAGCTGACTCATCACCGTCAAACCCAGATTTAACACTGTTAGGGTAGAGGTTGAAATCGACAAAATTAGATGTGGTTTAGGTAGATTATTTGAATTTAATACTGGTTTAGGTTGTAAAATACGGAGTAGTCGAGTTGGGGTATGAAAATCCCTTCTGGAAAGAGTCTGGGTTGATTTTCCCCGTTTTCCCCGTCTTAACACACCACTTATTTTTATTTTCTTGAATACCACACAACACTTCTTTAACATAAATAAATACTACATAAAATAATTTGGTATATATCAAATTCTTAAACCAAACTTCAAATCCAATTTGGACCATTTATTTTATCAATCAAAAGAAAAATGACCATTAACGTAAAAAACTTGATTCGATAATTTCTCATATAATTTCTCTTGAGGTTTTGAAAAAATAATCTCTAGAGATCATTATTAATTAAGTTTAGTTATGGGAGGTCAAATTGATCAAACCGTACCAAATTGACGTTAAACCATTTTTATTTTTTATTCTATAATCGTTCTAACCCGATATGACATAGATGAGCCAAAAACAAGAATCAAGTTCTTTTATGGGCAAAACAAAAAAAATATATAAATGTTTTTTAACAAGTTGATAACTGGATACAAAAGCCAATACGATAAACAAAACCATACCAATTGATTATATATTTGTTTTACAAGTATATGAATTAGTTTATACATTGATTTTGTCGTCAGGTTATAATTAATTTAGGTTTAACGTTAATGGTTTAACCTTTTTAATATATTTACACATATGACAAGAGAAAAGAGTTCTTTTTATGATTGTGTTTTATATTTTTAATAAAACTAAACTAGGATTCATCCCGTGGTACACCACGGGTCCATAATTTTAATATATTTGTTTGATTTATCATTTTCATTGTTGGTTTATATAATTTAGTTTTATACTTGTTTATATAATTTTAATTTTATATAATTTTATGAATTTGTATAATAAGCAGACTCGTAGATATATGTAGTCAATCCGCTATACACTTCCCACCAAAAAAAACATGTGGTACACCGCGGGACGATTTGTTGTAAATCAATTTTATATTTTAACTTAACCCGTAAAACAATTTTAGTATAGACAACCCGTAAGAAACATATAATCATATTTATATAAACTCAAAACCGTTCAATCATATTTATTTATTATATTATTATATTTTAAATATTTTTAGAGTTAAAATATTAATAATATTTTAATTTTTTGTAGAGTTTAAATATTTTTAACATTTTAAATATTCTATAAAACTTTAAAATTTTAATTTGGATACATGAGAAATCAAAGTTCATGTTCATTTATAGTTGTGAACATATTAGTATTATTTATAATGGTTGTGAACTATTATCTAAATTTTTTTACCTTATAGACGTTGTACATATATTTTTTCCTTTATATTTTGAGTTATATACGTCCGTTTTCAAAAATTTTAATTACAAAATGTGTGAAATTTTTTTTTATTTTTTTTATTATAAATATATTTTATGTAATAATATAAATTAAAAACAAATAAGATTACATAAATATATTGGAGAGAGATTCGATTTATTAGAGAAAGACAATTTAGGAAATCTTTTTGATGTAATAAATATTTGTTTCCAATTTTAGGATTTGCTTGTGATTTAATTACAAAATTTACTTTTAAGTTTTGTTATTTATTCAATTGGCAAGGATTTGATTATGCAAATATTATAAAATAAAAGGTTATAAACCTAAATAGATTTTAGTACCAAATGTACTTCAAAAATGTATATATAGATGCTAAGTATCCTTTGTTCGACCCCAAAGGTCACTAACAATTATTATATTCATTCCAAAAGAAAAGCATTTTCCCCACACGAATCTTTAATATATATATATTTTTAGTGAAAAGAGTAGCCACAAAATATTATAATCAAAACTTTTGGGGAGAATTATATGAATAATTATGTCATGGAATTCAAATAGAGCATGCACATGTGGACCACATTACAACATTGAAAGCAGTATCCACCACTAGCTATAGTACTTCTGCATGTTTTAAATGGTTTTAATTAGTGAGTGACCCTAATCAAAAATTTCAAACCACTTTAGTTTTACATTTTGCATGTATAATATGCACTAATCCTATTGATTTTTTTAGAAAGCAATATGCCACATGCGAAATTATGATGTATCGAATACACTTATGCTAATCCTCAAACATCGTTAACCATATTGGATATTGCTTTGTTCTATTGCGAGGAGATCATCTTTACCGATGAATATAAATTTGAAATATTACAACATACTGTATATATATCCTATACACTTAATCAAGTCGATCGAGTTAGTCCATTTTTGTATTGGGAATGTTTCTATTACTCGCAAATCATTAAAGTAACATACATGAAAGTTTTCGTTTTGCGACATGATCATACTATCTACCGTCACAAGTCATTATGTGCTTTTGCAATATCTCAATTCTTGGCTAGTGGCTTTCGTCATGAACTCACAATTGCTTGATGCGCCAGGAACTAAGTGACTCTAATGATCAGTTAATGACAAGTCTTAACATAAATTATTTGTAGGAATCTTTCTTCTTATCTTTTTTCTTGATCGTTGGGAATTTTGGAATCTTTCTTTTAATGTGCCAAATTCAGACCATAACATGTATTACCACAAAAGAATCGGACCAGATAATAGATAGATATCATGATTAGAGATCAACTAAGTCAAGTCACAATCAAGCATTAACGTATAGTGGTTGATTTATAGATTCTAACTATTTCACTAAACAAAACATCAAATCTCTCAATTATTTTGTGTTGTCCAGAGTCCACACAAGTGAATCAAAACTATACTATACACACAGGTGGAAATGAGAGGGACCATTGCTGCGAATTGTTTCCGAACCACTCCTTTTTTTTTTTTTTTTTTTTTTTGCGTTTTTGGTTAAAGTAAACAAATTTTGAGGCCCCAGAGAAATTATAGAACCACCTTTTTATATTATATTTTGGAATTATAGACCCAAGTAATAAATTCTATAAAAGGTAAGTTTGTAAATAGATATTATGTATTTAATTTGCAAACTAAATTTTTTAAAATGGACTACAAAATACGATACGAATTATGAATTACAAAAAAAAAAAAATTAGCTAACTAAATTTTAAGAAAATTGGACTACAAATATGATATACGATTTAAGAAAAAAAAATATTAGCTAAATTATTTATTTAATCAGCTAACTAACTCAGAAAAATTGGACTATAAATAAGATTAGGTTTTCATTTTTTTTCCTTAAATATAATATTTAGAGAATGAAATTGATTACAAAGGAAAAACAAACGGATAAAAGTCCGTTAGCAAGTAAGACTTTAGCATCGTGAATTTCATTTCTTTGCTTTTATATTCTTGATTATATGGCTCACATTTTTGTATATGTAATATTTTTTTTTTGTTTTCAAACCTCCATATAATAGCTTTATATTTTCTCATTTGATGTTAATTAAGAAAAATATAAGGATTTAAATATATAATAAAATTGGATTACGAATAGGATATGAATTATGGTATAAGAAAATCAGCTTTCGTTTTATTTAGTTTGATATAGTATAAGCTAAGTTAACATAATAATATGTTAATATTTAATTTAATCATTTTTTTAATTTTGAAGTTAAAAAATCAAAATTTTGAGTTTTTTTTTTTTTTTTTTTTTGGTCAGCCTTGTGTCGTTCTCTCCTAGTCGCCACATATCATAGACCAATGCTCACCACGCGATGCAACCGTAAGCGCTGAGTCTTTAAATTTCCACAATTATATTCCCACCAATCAAAACCCGCCACGTCAGCTAAAACGAATCATTCCGTATAAACGTCCAGATTCTTTCGAGCCTAAATGTTCTCTTCTTCGATCCGCCATTATTTAACGCTTCAACCCAATCTACACTCTAGCTCAGCCATAGAAGACGAAGACGAAGAAGCTTAACAAATCCAAAGGTTTCTCCGTTAAGCTTTTTCGAATCCGAGAGAACGTTGTGTGAGTTTTAGAAATGGCTTTAGCTGTTACTTCTTCTTCTTCAACTGCGATCTCTGGATCGAGTTTCTCTCGTTCAGGAGCTTCTTCTGAATCTAAAGGTACTAAATTTTCTCGAGAAAATTCTCAAAAATTTAATCTTTGATTGTTTATCGTTGTACCCATTTGCTGAATTGTGATGTTCGAATCGGAAAGTTGAAAAATTTGGTGTCTTTTGTATTTTTTGCAGCTCTTCAAATATGTTCGATTAGGTTATCTGGTCGAACCCATTTGTCTCAGAGACGTTTCTCTTTGAAACCTTTAAACGCTGAGTCACATTCACGCAGTGAATCTTGGGTTCCTCGTGCTTCAACTCTTACTGCTCCTGGTTCGTGCTTGTGACTATTCCCAGACTTCAAAGCTTTTTCATTTATTTTTCGATTGCTGATTCGGAGTTTGATGAATTTTGTCACAGAAGTTGAAGAGAAAGGAGGAGAAGTTGAGGATTTTGAGCAACTCGCTAAGAAACTTGAAGATGCTTCTCCACTTGAAATCATGGATAAAGCTCTTGAGAAATTTGGAGACGACATCGCGATTGCTTTTAGGTAAGATTGGTTACAAATCATTAAGCGAGCGATCGGTTTAATTAGGATATAAAAATGAAAACTTTGATTGACTTATGGATTTGGTTTTGGTCTTTTTGCAGTGGTGCTGAAGATGTTGCGTTGATCGAATACGCTCGTTTAACTGGAAAGCCTTTTAGGGTTTTTAGTTTAGATACAGGGAGGTTAAACCCGGAAACTTACAGACTCTTTGACGCAGTGGAGAAGCAGTACGGGATTCGAATCGAGTACATGTTTCCTGATGCAGTTGAGGTTCAAGCTTTAGTGAGGAACAAGGGGTTGTTCTCTTTCTACGAAGATGGTCATCAAGAGTGTTGCCGTGTGAGGAAAGTAAGACCTTTGCGTCGTGCTCTTAAGGGTCTTAAAGCTTGGATTACAGGACAGAGGAAAGATCAATCTCCAGGGACAAGATCTGAGATCCCGATTGTTCAGGTTGATCCGGTGTTTGAAGGGTTAGACGGTGGTGCTGGAAGTCTTGTGAAGTGGAATCCTTTGGCTAATGTTGAAGGAGCTGATGTCTGGACCTTTTTGAGAACGATGGATGTCCCGGTGAATGCCTTGCACGCACAAGGATATGTCTCTATCGGGTGTGAGCCATGCACTAGGCCTGTGCTTCCGGGTCAGCATGAAAGAGAAGGAAGGTGGTGGTGGGAAGATGCTAAAGCTAAAGAATGTGGTCTGCACAAGGGTAACATCAAGGAGGAAGATGGTGCTGTGGATTCAAAGCCTGCGGCTGTGCAAGAGATATTTGAAAGCAACAATGTTGTAACATTGAGCAAAGAAGGGATTGAGAATCTTACGAAGCTAAGGAACCGTAAAGAGGCATGGTTGGTTGTGCTTTACGCTCCTTGGTGCCCTTTTTGCCAGGCGATGGAAGCATCTTACATCGAATTGGCTGAGAAACTTGCGGGTAAAGGGGTAAAGGTGGCAAAATTCCGGGCTGACGGTGAGCAGAAGGAGTTTGCTAAGCAAGAGCTTCAGTTGGGGAGCTTCCCAACGATACTTCTCTTTCCGAAAAGCGCTCCACGGGCAATTAAGTACCCGTCTGAGCATAGAGATGTCGATTCGCTTATGTCGTTTGTGAATCTTCTCCGATGAGCTATGAGATCGAAAATCAAAAAGAGTGTGAAGAAAAAAAAGGATGAAGAGAAATTGAGATGAAGGAGTGATTTCATCTCGGTCTTTAAGATTGCTGATTACACAGAATAAACAAAAGCTATCTCTTCTATATGAGTGTATATTTGTATGTAGGGGTTGATAGACTCTTTTTGTCGTCTCTTCGTGGTTAAATGTACTTTACTTACAATGTTTTTTCACCGATTTGCAAATCTGCTAAAAATTTTGATGGTTTCACTGTGAAACTTTCACAACTTCAAGCCTTCAAGCATCTTGGATTTAAAGCTTAGATAAGGCAGCAAAAACCGTAGCAAGCTGATTAGCCTAGGGGAGTAAAACAATTATCCCATAATTAGTCAATGGGGTGAATGTCGTCTAATGAATGGTGGATGTCTAACTATCTGATCGACTGGTTCAAGCCGGGTCTTGGATTGTACCGTAGTCAAAATATAAGAACCTTTGTTTTTTTTGGTGAAAAGTAAAAATATAGAAACCTATAAACCAATAACATTAGAATCTCAATTTTTTTAAAAAACTCTTTAGAAAATGAATCTATCCAATAACCCACATAAGTGGCTACATTCAAAAAACAACACCAAACCTAAAATTCATAATGAGAAATATGCAGTTAATTTTTATTTGCTTCAATTTTGAAGAAAAAAAAATAGCAAATAAGAATATTATCAGCTAGGAATAAAGGATTGAATGTATAATCAACTAGCAGTTGGAGCGGGAGGTTTATAATTTTGTTTTGTTAAATTTTATTCAAATTGTGATATTTTATTATTTTTTTAACTGATTTTCAAAAAAATATTATAATTATTTTCTCTTTAATTTTTATATTTCAATACTCAAATTTGGATTAAAAGCATTTGATTCAATTTATGAAATATCATTTTTTTTTCTTTTTGATCATGTTATAAACTAATATTTCACTTTCAATTTTATTTTTCCTCTTTATAATTTTATATATACAATTACATAAATGTTATTTTATTCTACCATAAATTTAAAATTTACTTTCATTCTAAAACTTAGTAACATATTTAAAATTTTAAACTATGATCAATTTAAAATGAAAGTTGAATTATATTATTACCACTAATAAAAAAATTAAAGTATTGTTTTTCTTATTCTGACATTTCATTTATTTTACATAATTTATTTTTATTTATATAAACTTTCTATTAATTAAATAAGTAATATAAATATGCACTAAATGAATGTTTTAAATTTATTTTAATGTAAAAAACAATGTGGCTTAGATGGATGCTTAGGTGGCATCATGAGAAGAGAGAAAAGCTAACTTAATGTATATATATATATATATATATATATATAATCAATAATAAGGAGTAAAATCCATATATAATTAAGGCTTTAATAAATAGATAATAAATAGACTAAAAGAGTAACATATTCTGAGTTATATATACATGCAAATCAATTCCAGTAGCTAATATAGTAATATATTGTACATATATTATACTTTTTAGAGAATATTAATAAAAGTGAATCCAATTATATATTTGTAACACTTATGTATACTTATCATATTCCTCATCAGACACTCTATATAAAGGGTTTTGAGTACCACTTAATTTCATTGGAAACTAAAGGAAGACAATACAAAAACAAAAAGATGGTTTCATTTGGCAAATGTTTCTTCCTTATGTTCTTATGCTTTGCTCTTTTCCTGTCTCCAAGTAAGCCATTTTTATATTTGATATTAACACTTAGAGTCGAATACACACAAATTGTTATTCTTTTCTTTGTTACAAGACATTGGGGTATATAAGAGCCAAAAGATCAAATATCTAGTGACTCTTTTTTAATGTTTTTGAATACTTTTTTGTTTGTTTGTTTTGTTAAAAGCTGTGTTTTGAATACTTCACTCATGTTCTCTCTATAAAATAAAAATGTTCAGAACATGTTGAAGCGGAAGATTGGAGTCCACGGCTATTTCGGATGGGACCTTGCGATGATATTCTCGACTGCCAAAAAAAATGCTTTGCGCGATTCTCTGCACGTGCGACATGCCAGTTATCTCCAGGGTCCATTGACCTTCCTAAAGAAACATGTTTTTGCCTTGTCTAAATCTTATATAGTTATATCATCTCTATATGTATGAATATTTGATTGTTAAAAACATTTAAATAAAATTTAATCCGGTCCAAACGGATTAATATATAGTTCAGCAAATCATAACTTAAGAAGAAGAAAAAATAATTAAAAAAAAAAAAACTAGAGAAGAACCATATCTTGAAATACCAAAATCTTGATCCGGTAAAGGCCGGTCCTAAGCAGAAGGATCTAAGATTTGGCCAGCGAACAAAACAGTTCCAGTTTGGTCTTCTCTAATCAAGAAAACAAATGGATGATCTGCTACAAAATCTAGCGTCCTCACGAAACCGCACCCAAAGTATTTACGCTGAGCAGCAGCGAAAGTGAAAGCTTCAGTACCTTCTTCATCGATCTCAATCAAAACTTTTTGGTACATAGACACATCAAGCTCAATGTCACTGAAAAAACTTGAAGCTTCAAACCCTGATTCGATCTTAAACTTTGGAATTCTGAATTTACCAACTTCAACTTTGCCTTTGGGAATGTGACTATCCAAGAATCCAGGAGTAGATGCCATCGTCTTTAAAAGATGATCCAATCCATCTTTCTTGTCCGGGAGATAGAAGTACATTGAGAACTCGCGGTATATATCGACGTCAAGGCCTTGTTTATAAGAAAGGCTGAGGACCTTGAAGCCATTATAAGCCTCAATGTATTGTTTAACACTGCTTGTCATGAATGGTACAGACACTGATGTTCCATTGAGAAGGTAAAAAGGTTTGCTTTTCGTCATTGACTTATTGAATTTTGTTTCCCAAGCTCCTTTGAAATACAATGCGTTTCCATAAACCCACTCGGTTTGGCTTGTAACTGATCCATCAGGAAGAAGATCTTTGATAGGACCATTGGTGTGACGTGATCCCCAAGAATTCACCTCCATACGAACTACTTCAGCCTTCAATAACGAAAAAACCATAAAATCAAAACTACAACCAAAAAGAACCAAAGATCATATCACTTATGTTGATTATAAGCAATTTGATATGATCTACACATCTCTTGACATAGACCTAATCAAGAAAATTCAAAATCGAATAGAGATAGAGAAATAAGGAACTAACCTTGGATCGGAAATCAACTTGCTCGAAAGCAGCCTTGAAGAAATTCTCAAAGAGATCTTTCAACAAGGGACTAATAGATAAAGATTTCTCCATCCAAACTCCATTAATGACCGCGATTTTGGGGCCGCCTTTTTCGCTTCCATCAACGAGGACAACGGAAGCGACTTTGTGGAAAACTGCGTTGAGTTCATCGGTTGAAGAAGACCTAAGGAAAGAGAGGATGAAGGATCTTAGCTCTTCACTTTCTTCATCGCAGCTAGCAGCAACCATGGTGAGTACCGCGTTGATTGTTACAGGAGAGAAGACGAAATTAGAGTTTTTGGCTATGGCAGGGATTACTTTCCCAGCAAGTAACATAGTGACATCGTTTTGCTTCTTCATCGCTTCATCCACATCAATTTTTGATAGAGAAGGACTTGAGATTACCAAATCTTTATTGTTTGATAGAGAGGGACTTGAGATTACCAAATCTTTATTCTTTGACAGAGAGGGACTTGCGATACCTGATGTGTCAAGCTTTTGTTTCTTCTCCTTTGGATCCATCTTTTTAAGTTTTCTGTTTACTTCTTTTTAAGAGACTTTGTATAGATAGAGAGAGAAGATATACAATAAGATGATGAGATGGAATTAGGGTTTGGTGTGTCGCCCCATCAGAAAAAAAAAGAAGAAACTTTCCTATATTAAATTTGTTGCTTGTTACGCAAGTTTGCTTGCTTTCTTAACTCTCAAGTTGTGTATATTCAAAATCAAAACAATACAAAAAAGTGGAAAAAGGTAAAAAATCGTAATCCATGATTAAGATCTGGTGTTCCAATACGATGAATCAAGCTGAACGGGGTAAAGATCACCGGTGGTCGTGTTGGTATTGGTGTTTGATGTAGTCCAATCCGTCATACTAGTAATCTCCTCCTCTTCACTTATCATACCGTAATGAGTTTTCATTGCTCTCACTCTCTCTTCGTCTATTTTGCTTCCTTTGCTAAACGAAGCTTCTAGGAGCTTCTCAACATCCACTGTCGAATGTCCTTCGAGCATACTCACCACCGTCGACATCGATGGTCTCTCCGCAGGAGCTGGACTGGTGCAGAGGATTCCTATCTGAATCATCTTCATTGCTTCTTGTCTGTTGTATTCTGTTCCTAGCCTCAGATCCACTACTTCCAGCAGTTTGTTTTGCTCTCTTAGGATGTGTACCTGTGGAAGACAATGAGTTTGGTTTAGGGTTTTGTTATTTAGGGTTTTAGAGGTGAAATGGTGATCATATATATACCCAGTCAAGAAGGTAGAATATATCGGTTTTGGATCTTGAGCTTGTGTTGCTCTTTCCATGAACGATTTCAAGAGCCACAACACCAAAACTGTAGACGTCAGCTTTATCTGTCAAATGGCCTCTCATTGCGTATTCTGGAGCCATGTATCCACTGCAAGAGGTAAAAAAAAAAGGTTTATTTTGCTGAAACTTTTTGTTTGTCGTTGATTTATATAATTTAACTCACTATGTTCCGGCGATTCTTGTGCTCATGTGTGTGTTTTCTTCTTCGTCGAGTTTAGCAAGTCCGAAATCTGAAATCTTTGGGTTTAGTTCCTTGTCCAGCAAGACATTAGTGGCTTTGATATCTCTATGTACTATCTTGAGTCTTGATTCATCGTGGAGATAAGCTAGTCCTCTTGCTATCCCCATGCAAATCATCTGCCTCGTTGGCCAGTTTAGTCGTATCTGAGTCTCTTGAGGACCTTTAAATGGATGGGATAGAAACAAAAAAATTTCTTGAGCAAAAACAACCAAGGGATGGGATATAGAACGTTTTAAGTTAAAAGGGATGGCCTAACCAAAAAGGGCTTGCGCGAGACTGTTGTTTTCCAAGTACTCGTAAACTAGCAAGAGTTGATCACCCTCAACGCAACATCCATATAATTTAACCAAATGCGGATGCTGCAGAGCCGAAATCATACCAATCTCGTTCAAAAACTCTCGATTCCCCTGTTTTGATTTTGACGATAGCTGCTTCACCGCAATCACGGTTCCATCAGTCAACGTTCCCTGTACAATGGACAAACCATAGATGTCATATATCCTTCATCTTTGCTATGTACTTTTTTTGGCAATGGGAAGCTCGCTTAGTCGAAATCTTTGGCTTATACCACATAACAATGTCATTTCATTGTATGATGTTTACCTTGTGTACGGGACCAAAACCACCTTCTCCTATCTTGTTTGTAGGATCAAAGTTATCCGTGGCAACTTTGATTTGCTTCAGTGAGAACGAACTGACCTGGAAGTCTAATTTCTTGAAATCTGAGGTTAAGAAGAAACGAAGAGACGAATACTTTAAATGAATTGGAATGTCAATAACAAGACTATTTTTAGCAAGTCTTTGTATGTACCTTTTTCCATCTGACTCTTGGGTCTTAAGCAACCTCTCCACCATAAAACACTGCCTATTAAAAGCACAAGAAACACCGTCGAAGTAATTACACCAATAACCACTATACCAACAGATCTCCCACCACCCGTTTCGGTGCTAGGTTCCTTTGGTGGAATGAAATCTACAGAAATGTCATGGGAGATGAAGTCAAGAGACAAAAACACTCATATAAAGGCAAAATCTTTTTTTGAGTTTGAAAACTTTACTTGGATCTACAGACACAGCCGATATAAGAGAACCATAGACACCTTTTATAGGCTGAGCTCCTTTTCCAGCCCATTGTAATCTAATCTCCAATTTCCCATTTGTAATCATAATAAAAAAATTCTTAATCACAGCCTTTCCAACACCTTTGGCCTCATCTACAATATTAAAATCTTTAATCTCAAGTTTACCCTGCACATTATCACACCATCCAAATTGAATATAAGCATAATAAAAATCTTCCAAACCTTTATGAAACAAGTTGTGATCAAAATACCTGAATGTATATGTCAAAAAATCGTCGTCCCATATTATTGTCATTAAACATAATTTCAGCGAAATGAAGATTAATTGTATAGTTTCCATTTCCAAGACACAACGCGTAGTAAGTGAGGGAAATGGCTGAGAGGCGGGCTTGTGTATAAAGCATAGAATCAGGTAACTCAAGCACTGATGTATTCATCGCCCGAAAGGTTTTTCCATCGTTAGACCCATCATCACCCAAGAAGTGTCCTGTATTGCTAGCAACCCAGCCGTTTCTACTATCATAAAACCCCGGTGTATCCCATGTGTCAGCGTCATACTTAGTCGCATTGATTGCTATATCATTACCACCACAATTTATATGGAGGCCATAGAAAGCTGAGAACATATGATTAATAAGCGAATACAAATCAGATGTGCAGAATATGGTTTTGTAATGTATATATATAAAGTATAGCTTCAAAGACTTACTTTTAGGACATCTATAGTTACTCAGACATGTAACAGTTGAGCTGTAGCAAAGCGTAATGTAATATCAAAATTTATAGTGAGTCTACATTATATATAGCCAAAGCTTTTTAAAATTATGAGAAAGACTTACGTGTTATTTGCTACTAAAGGGCTTGTACTTGAAAACATATTCCTGCAAATAAGAAGAACAAAGGAGTACCGTAAGCTTTATAGCAAATTTGAAGGCATGCATGAGAACATTGAAATGTTCTTCTTACACGGATTTTCGTTGGCATTCTCGGGTTGTGACATCTTTGGAGAAGTTATTGTAAGAAAGATCACTGCAACCAAAGATACAATAGAAACCAAGATCAGAAAAAGTTACTTCTCCTGTAGGCTGTAGTCAATACAAAGAAATAACTGTGAAATAAATAAACAAAACACACATAGTGTCTCCTTTCTCTACCATCCAACTTGGAACTTCCCCGTTTAACATGTTACTTGTAAGATATCTACAAGATCGCAAAACAAATGACAAGTACTTAAACATAGCTCCATAGAATCTTTTTAAATGAAACAAAAGAAAGAAGAGAGAAGAGAGCATCATACATGTTGTCTACATTTGAAAGAGTGGCATATCCATCAGGGATTGGTCCACTCAGCTTGTTAAAGCTAAGATCTCTACACAAAATAGTCTCACAAATATGTCAGATTTAATTCTTTTTTTGTCGTCTTTCGTAATTTGATGTCATACTTGCCAAAGAAGAGTACTAACAAATTCTTAAAGGATGTAAACGTTCCAAAATAGGCAGGTAAGTCTCCTGTAAGGTTGCAGTTCCTAAGAACCCTGCAATGAACAGCGAGAAGAAATGGTAGTTAGCTAACTTAAACCATTACCAAATACTTCTTAGGCTCAAACTCACAATGTCTTCATCGATGTCATGTTTTGTAGCAGGGGAAAAGGAGATTCAGGTCCGGGCAAGTCACTTATTTTCCTACAGAATTTAAAATGTATAACAGAGTTAATATACATCACTTAAGGTGATTAACACGTTAAAGTTTGTGTACTTACAAGTTTGATAACTTTCTCAGAGGACCAATGGCATTAGGAATAGGTCCAACTAAACCACTTGCTTGTATAACCCTTATTGATGAAGCAAAACAAACATTTCAATCTTTTATAAGTAAAAAAATACCGATATGGAAAGTTTACGTCGAAAGTAATGCTTACAGTTTCCCAAGTTTTGTCCAGTGCTGGATGAAATCTGGTATAGTACCAGTGAACTGGTTGTCACTTATACGGCTATATAAATCAAAGAGACAAAACATATAATTTGAGTTTAAAAGTTAGAATATCCATGAAGTAAAGCAGAGGAATACTTACAAATCAGTCAATGAAGTAAGTTTGGCGAATGTACTTGGGATTTCTCCACTCAAGTAGTTAGAGCTAAGAAGGCTACAAAGAGGATAAAGAGTCTCAACATGAAGAAAGACCAAAAAAAATAAGTTTAAAGAAACGTTGAACTTGGAGAAAAATATTCTTACAGTTTTTGAAGGTTCCTTAGATTCCCGAGCTCTGGAGGTAATGTTCCTGAGAGTTGATTGTATTCCAAGACACTACACCAAATGATCCGAAAACAATGAATACAAACATTGTTAGAGGAGATAATGTCAAGAAATCGTGTTTGTATGAATCGATCTCTCCCTTTATTTCAACGTAGGCCAAGCCTTATATACTTACAAGAGAAGTTTAACCTAAGTAGTTACATATATTTGCACAAAGGTGCTCAAACTATACAAAATATACACTTATCCTCAATACCCCCCCTCAAGTTGGAGTATGGAGGTCACAAATACCCAACTTGGGAGAGAAAGCTTCAAACTCTTTACGCCCAAGAGCTTTAGTGAGAATATCCGCAAGTTGAGCTCGTGTAGAAACGTACTGCGGAGCAACTACACCCTTCACAATCTCATCCCGAATGAAATGGCAATCCGACTCGATGTGCTTTGTCCGTTCGTGGAAGACCGGATTTTTACTAATATGTATAGCAGATTGGTTATCACAATGGAGAGGAATCGGATAAGAGCAGTCAACACCAAGAGCCATAAGTAACTCACGCAGCCAGAGGAGTTCACAAACCGTTTCAGACATTGAACGATATTCTGATTCAGCGGAGGAGCGAGAGACAACATCTTGCTTGTGTGTTCGCCAAGAAACAGGAGAACCACCTAACTGAATAAACCAGGCCGTGAGAGAACGTCGAGTCAGAAGACAGCCTGCATAATCCGCATCACACCAGGCTGTAAGACGCAAATCCGTATTAGCACGTAACAATATACCTTGGCCGGGATTGTTCTTGAGATAACGAACCACACGCAAGGCAGCCTCCCAATGAGCTTCCTTGGGAGCATGCATAAATTGAGCAAGCATGTGTATAGCGTATGAGATATCCGGACGTGTGACACTTAGATAGATGAGACGACCTACTAAGCGGCGATAAGGGAACGGATCCGGTAGAGGATCACCACCAGCCAAAGCGAGCTTATGATCTTGTTCAATAGGGTGAGAAACCGGTTTGGCGCCAAGTAACCCAACGTCAGATATAATATCAAGCACATACTTCCGTTGACATAAGTACATACCTGTAGCATTACGAGCCACTTCTATACCCAAGAAGTACTTGGAAATGCCGAGGTCCTTCATTCGGAAACAAGAACTCAAATATTCCTTAAACGCGTCAATAACCTTAAGAGAGCTCCCGGTAACAATGAGATCATCTACATACACAAGAACGTGTATGCGAATGTCCGAGTCAGCAAATGTAAATAAGGAATAATCCTTAACACATTGCACAAAACCATACGCTTTCAAAGCAGTCGAGAGTTTGTCGAACCAACAACGGGGAGCTTGTTTAAGACCGTAAAGTGATTTATGGAGACGGCAAACTTGTGTTTTATCGGATGTTCGGAACCCCGGGGGAAAACGTATGAACACCTCTTCATCTAAATCACCATGTAAGAAGGCATTATAAACATCCATCTGATGGACCTCCCAATCACGAGACACCGCGACCTCAAGAAAAGTACGTACGGTGGTCATTTTACACACGGGCGCAAAAGTTTCTTTATAATCTAAACCCTCGGTTTGATTATTGCCAAGAACCACGAGCCGGGCCTTGTATCTCTCTAGTGTACCATCAGATCGATATTTTAAAGTAAATACCCACCTGCAACCCAAAGCTTTCTTACCCGGAGGCAGAGCTTCAACAGTCCATGTACCACGGTCTTCTAGAGCATCAATCTCTCCCCGAATAGCATCGCGCCAATTCTCATCCAAGACAGCTTCATCAAAAGTTTGGGGAATAACCCCACCCGTAATAGCTGCTAGGAAAGCACGGTGATTATCCGAAAATTGAGAACAATCCACATAGAACTCAATCGGATAACAACTAGTATCAGTAAAATCACCATCCGTCATTGCCATCGTCGTATTAGTAACATAGTCCTTTAGTTTGAGAGGAGCAAATTTCGCACGACACCCCTTGCCCATAGGCACCTCTACCTCAGGAGAATCCGGATCAGAAACAACAACCATGGAGTCATCAGCAACTGAACTTGGAGACGACGACAATGGAGGTGTCGTCGCTACCGGCAATGAAGAACAAACCGGGGAAGAAGGAGCAGAACCCGAAACTGGAGTAGTTGGTGACGTGGGTATAGGTTCGCAAACCGGAGAAGACGACGCAAGAGGTGAAGGAGACGACAATGTATTCTCGACAGCCGATATCACGGGAGACTCTTCAACAAAACTGTCGTCATCTTCACATATCCGAGAGTGTGAATTCGGAGAAGGCAGAGAAGAAGACACATGTGGAGCATTATCAATCACATACGGGAACTCGTCTTCCATGAAAATCACATCACGAGAGACGGATATCACACCACTGTCAAGGTTATACACCTTCCAACCCTTTTTCCCAAACGGGTAACCAAGAAAAACAGATTTATTACTCCTAGAAGCAAACTTATCACCGTCCCGACGTTGATCATGTACATAACATAGGCAACCAAAGACCCGTAGATGATTCATTGGTGGGGCTCGTTCATATAACATTTCAAATGGAGTCTTTCCATTTAAAACTGCAGTTGGTGTCCGGTTAATCAAGTAGCCCGCAGTAAGAGCACAATAACTCCAAAACTGAACGGGTAGATTAGCTTGGAAACGCAAAGCACGCGCAACGTTGAGTATATGTCGATGTTTGCGCTCTACACGCCCGTTTTGTTGAGGAGTTCCAACACAAGAAGTTTCGTGAAGTATACCACGTTCCCTAAAGTAACCACCAAGACTTAAAAACTCGGAGCCATTATCGCTTCTAATAGTTTTAACTTTCTTATCAAATTGTCGTTCAACAAGAGAGATGAACTCACGTAGTGTAGCAGCAGTTTGCGACTTGGAGGGTAACAAATAAAGCCACACGGCGCGAGAGAAGTCATCTACGATCGTAAGAAAGAAACGGGAACCACAAATCGCAGTAGTTCTATATGGACCCCATAAGTCACAATGCACCAATTCAAAAACCGTACTCGTCTTATTAATACTCAACGGGAAAGAGTCACGTGTCTGCTTAGCACGAATACAAACGTCACAAGACTTGAAATCAAAAACATTCCTACTAGTATTATTAGATAACTGCAACATCTCCATGACTTTAGAAGACGGATGACCCAAGCGTCGATGCCACATATCCAATGGTTTTGAATCCGAGATTTGTGTCACTGCTGCGGCTTCCATGCCTCGAAAGAAATAGAGACCAGTCAACTGCTCACCGGCTCCAATCACCATCTGTGTGATGCGGTCCTGGAGAACACAAAGTCTGTCAGAGAACTGGAAGATACAACCCCTATCTCTAGTTAACTGAGAAACAGAGATAAGATGACACTGCAAACCATCCACAAAGAACACATTTCTCAACTCAAGTTGAGAACCAAGAGAGACTTTGCCATGTTTAGTAGAGGTAGTAAACCTCCCATCAGGAAGTTTAATAAAAACCGGAGCCATATTGCAGACATCAACAAGAAAATCAATGCAGCCCGTCATATGGTTAGAAGCTCCAGTATCAATAACCCATGATTCGATAAAAAACTTACCCGAGAGTCGATCACCCGAACCCGAGGACCGTTCGGTTAGCATCTGTTTTAAAGCCTTCCACTCATGATCATCTAAGCCGATAAGTCCAACACGATCAGCATCCGTGATGGCCGCATTAGCTTGAAACATTGGTGTCGTTGTCACCACTTGGTTTGCATGAGCAGAATCAATCCGTTTGGTTGTCGGAGGAGTAGATGTGAGCAGGCGACGATCGCCAGTTGTAGCACCCGACGGAACCGGCTGTGAAGGAACACCTTTCGTACGCGGTCGATCACCCCACCACCAAGGATAGCCTATCTTCCGAAAGCAATTCTCAGCAAGGTGACCCGTTCTACCACAACTCGAGCATACCACCGAAGGATCACGGACAACAGTTTGTGGTCGTGCACGAGACGTTGTTTGAACTGCGAAACTAACTCCATCGTTGCGTTCTTCCATAAGCCTACTCGCACGCTTCAATTCCTCATCTTGGGTTACCACTTGATAAGCTTCATCCAGAGATGGTAAAGGATCACGAGAAAGCAAAGAAGATTTCACGGCACCAAAAACGTTTTCATCAAGGCCCATAAGAAATTGATGTAATTTATCCTCTTCTCGTTCCTTTGCAATTTCTTCCACTGTCTTTGCCCTTTGGAAATCAGCAAGACTTGTCCAAAGCTTAGTAAGCTTGCCGTAGTAAGCTTCGACAGCAGTACCCTTCTGTTGACAATTAGCAAGTTCAGTTTTCAAACGTTGAACTCTTTGGCCATTCTTCACGGAGAAACGCTTTTGTATATGCGTCCACAAATCGAAGGCAACTTCATGGTGAGAGAGAGAGCTGCTAAGATCTGGCGCCACCGTGAGCTTAATCCAAGAGACAACCATGGCGTTATTCGCCCACCAATCTTCAATGTCATCCGAATCATCAGCTGGTTTAGGGATCGAACCATCCGCAAAACCAAACTTCTTTCTTGCACGTAAGGCAAGTCTTATGTTGAGAGACCACTCGTCATAGTTAGAGCCTCGCAATTGTGGTTGTGAGATGATAGAGCCTGGATTATCACCCGACGAGAGATCATAGGGATCAATTCGGCGGCGTGTTGACTCTGTCCGTGGGGTGCGTGGCTTAGTGACGGAGGAACCATCTTCTTCAATCGACATGTTTAGAGAGTATCTCGAGAGGAATAGATCGATGATACTAAGGTCAAGAGAAGGTGAAGAAAATAAAGTAGAGAGGAAACAGAGGATCGTATGACCTAAAAAAAAATAGGTTTGCTCTGATACCATGTCAAGAAATCGTGTTTGTATGAATCGATCTCTCCCTTTATTTCAACGTAGGCCAAGCCTTATATACTTACAAGAGAAGTTTAACCTAAGTAGTTACATATATTTGCACAAAGGTGCTCAAACTATACAAAATATACACTTATCCTCAATAGATAAATTATCAAAGAAGTGTACTTACAGACTACTAAGGTTTGTAAAGTTTCCAAATTCTTTCGGGATAGGACCACTAATCCGGTTTCCAAGTAGCGAGCTGCAAAAAGTTTCATCACTAAACGAACATACTCAATCAAATCAATCTATAGTGTATATGAATAGAGATAATGGTATACATACATGTTGACAAGTGGCAAAGCTCCCCATTCTGGAGGAATGGAACCGTTGAGATAGTTTCTAGACAAATCACTGAAGAGAAAGAAGAGTGTGAGAGTTAAAGTTAGTTTATATAGTAGTAAGGCGACAGAGATTGTAGTAACATGAACTTACATCTCTTGCAGGAAAGGAAGTCCTGAAAACTCTGTTGGTAGTGAACCTTGAAGGTTCTGTCCCTGAAGAACTCTGTCACAAAAATGTAGGTTATTTATGTTTTTACGCCAATATCATGCAGACACGTATGTGTGATCGACATAATAGAAATAATCTGATTAGGCAATGGTATAAATTGTCATTAAAAAATTATTTTGCTGTCATTAAGAATGGTATAAACGATGATCTATAAGCTTTTGTTAGAGATCTTTACCAATTAAGCTATTATCACTTGATATTTTACGAAATAAAACCTAAAAAGTGTAGTATTTTTTGAGAAATGTCCGAAACATACATGCTCGTGACATGACAAATAGAAGAAGAGCAGTTACAAGTAACCGCGTCTTCGAATCCTTCGGAGGGATTAGGATTTCTCCATCCACCTTCAGATGAAGCAACGACGTCGCATGGATCAACATTAAATTTCCAATTCTCCTTCTTCAACGCCTTGGCTACTCCTCTTAAAGCGTCCACTGCAAAATTTAAAGAACCTCAAGAATCATTTACATCTGACTCAAAACATATGTATAGTTTACATCCACATAAATGTACAAATACCTTCTTCTTTGGGTAATGTTGCACATGATGCGAAGCCGTAGAGGATAAGAGAGACGACGAAGTAAGGGAAGATAACTATTGTATTGCACGACATTAATTTAACTTTCTAGAGTTTAGATGATCTGAGTCTGAATCTGATAATTAAATTTCAAGAATATGTTGTTCTCTTTGTAGGGGGAATAAATACATATTATATAGTGAAGAAATTTATAGAAAACTAAGTCCAAACATTATAAAAATAACAACAACACCAAGTAATATTTTTGTCCTTATTACTATTATTTAACCATTTAATTGACAGTTATGATTTGTAAACATATTAAAGGCATAGTCATTTATAATTATATAGTGACAAATTGAAAATATATCTTTAATCAAAGATTAAATTACTAATTCGAAGGGACAGGGGATAATAATGGTTATGGCACGACCTATAAATCAGGATAATAATATATGGTCTATTTGATCTCTGTCATTTTATACGAGTCGTGTTTGACATTATCAAAATTTTAGCATCCTTTATATTATACTAGCAGTTGACCCGCGCTCCGCGCGGGAGGTTTATAATTTTGTTTCCTTGATTTTTTATTCATATAGTGATATTTTATTATTATTTTTAATTGATTTTCAAAAATATTATAATTATTTTCTCTTTAATTATTATTTTTCAATACTCAAATTTGGATTAAAAGCATTTGATTCAATTTATAAAATATCATTTTTTTTCTTTTTGATCATGTTATAAACTAATATTTCACTTTCATTTTATTTTTCTTCTTTATAATTTTATATATACAATTACATAAATGTTGTTTTAGTCTACCATAAATTTAAATTTTACTTCCATTCTAAAACTCAGTAACATATTTAAAATATTAAATTATGATCAATTTAAAATGAAAGTTGAATTATATTATTACCACTAATAAAAAATTAAAGTATTGTTTTTCTTATTTTAACATTTCATTTTTTACATAATTTATTTTTATTTATATAAACTTTCTATTAATTAAATAAGTAACATCAATATGTACTAAATGAATCTTTTAAATTTATTTTAATATTTAAACAAAAATATGGTTTAAAGAATAAAATGAGGTGGATGATGATGTGGCTTAAGGAGAAGAGAGAAAAAAGCTAACTTTATATATATAGACTAGTCGGTTGCCCGCGCTACGCGCGGGAGTTTATTATGTTGTTTATGAGTAATTGGTTCGTATTTTATTTTCTACTTATTTTTTTCACTATAGCATACTTTACTTTTTAAAAACTTTGATTGTGTTTGTATAGAAAAACTATTGAGTTTTATCTTCATTAATTATTGAGAAATTAAGTGTGTATAGTATAAGTCGAAATATAGGCGTAAACGAAAGTGCGGTGAAAAATCATTGAGAAACGTGTGCTGTTAGGGTTTCTACCAAATATAGATTTAGATGTTAATATTTTGAGCATTTTATATGTTAGCATGAAAATATCTTTTAATATTTTGTGCTTTTATAATGAATATTATATTTTCTTCTCAACTTTATATTAAAGAAGACTCGAATTAAACTTCTTCCTCGGCTCTCTGGGATTTTACTTCTCTCTCACGTCTCTCTTCTTCGGCTCTTTTTGTAGCACTAACCCTTCCGTCAAGCGCAACAAATCTTAAGTGGGCTTTTGTGTAGCGACTGGCCCATATTACCTTATGAATTCAGATTGGACCAAGAGAGAGAACTAAGCCCACAACTCAATGTAACAATCGTTACTAATTGAGTCATAAACATGAATCGGTTTGGTACTTTTGTAATTGTAAATCAGGATGGATTGGTCATAAACCACCATTAAACCCTAGTTTTTTCTTCGTTCGTCCTCCCTCCCCAAATTTTGATTTTTACCACTTTGGGGTTTCTCGAACACTCATCGATGTATGAGTGAGTCACTGATGCTTTGAGAATCTGTTTGTAACTTTTCTCGAATTTAACAAGACAGCTTGTGCTCGAACCCGTTTGAAGTATTTGTCAGTCTCGCATTGTAATGTCATGAGTTCTTTGATTCCTCATGGAAAAAGGTTGGTCCAGTTTCAGAAATGGCGTAATTTGAGTGTTGCAGTGAACCTTTTCCAAAATGGATCTGCTTTTTCGAATTCGTTCTCCTCTGTTGCTAGTGCTGCTGATGTGAGCCTTAGAGATGGTCGAAAAGGTAAGAACTTTACAGTCTCTTACCTCGTTGATTCATTGGGTTTAGCTAAAAGAGTTGCAGAATTGATTTCAAGTAAAGTCAGCTTTGAGGAGAAGGGAAATCCTGATTCTGTTCTGAGTTTATTGAGAAGTCATGGGTTCACAGATTCTCAGATATCCAGCATCGTTACGGATTACCCACTATTGCTCATAGCAGATGCTGAGAAATCCCTTGGCCCCAAGTTTAAGTTGCTGCAGTCAAGAGGAGCTTCAAAGTCTGAGGTCACTGAGATTGTTTCGAAAGTTCCTAAGATCTTGGGAATGAAAGGGGAAAAAAGTGTTGGCAGATACTATGATATCGTCAAAGAGATTATAGAAGCGGATAAGAGTTCAAAGTTTGAAAAGTTGTGTCATTCTTTGCCAGAGGGTAGTAAGCAGGAGAATAAGATTAGAAATATTTTGGTTTTGAGAGAATTGGGTGTGCCTCAAAGGTTGTTATTCTCATTGCTCATCTCTAATCAACATGTCTGCTGTGGAAAAGAAAAATTTGAAGAATCACTCAAGAAGGTTGTTGGGATGGGTTTTGATCCGACCACCCCAAAGTTTGTGGAAGCCTTATGCATTGTTTACGGATTGAGCGAGAAAAGACTAGAAGAAAACTTCAGTGTTTATAAAAGGTTTGGCTTAACTGTAAGCGAGATATGGGAACTTTTCAAGAAGTGCCCTACTTTTCTTGGATACTCAGAGCATAGGATAAGTCAGACATTTGATACCTTAAAGAGGTGTGGTCTGTGCGAAGATGAGGTCTTGTTCGTGTTCAAGAAGAATCCACTATGCTTACGTGCTTCAGAGCAGCAGATATTGAACTCCAGGGAAACAATTATAGGCTTAGGATTCAGTAGAGATGAGTATGTGATGATGGTCAAGTGCTATCCTCAGTTGATTGGAATTTCGGCAGAGCTGTTGAAGAAGAAGACTGAGTTTGTGCTAAAGAAGATGAATTGGCCACTAAAGGACATGACTTTGTTCCCTCAGGTACTCGGTTACAGCATGGAGAAGAGGATTGTACCTAGGTGCAACGTCATTAAAGTTCTCATGTCCAAAGGATCACTTGGAAGTGAACTACCTCCATTGGCGTCTATCTTGGCATGTAATGATCAGGTTTTCTTAAACAGGTACGTGGTGAAGCATGATAAAAAGCTGGTGCTTGAGCTAATGGCTATCTTCACCCAAAATCGTGTCTTATAACATTAAAAATTTGTCAAGGATTTTGCTTATTAGACCGCTCTAATCTCAGTTTGATCCGGATCTGAACCGTTTCTTCTTATATGCAATCCAACTTTGAAGATAACTTAAAAACTGTAACTTTTTTTTGGGTTTGATATGATGTAGCAAAAGAGCTTTTAAAGACATGTTTTGTGTTCGAAAAGCTTTTAAGTCCTTTTAAGTTTCTATGCACATCATATGGTAATGTGAATTAGCTTTAAGCCTCCAAAGAAACAGGCCAATCGCATATTTGGAGATGATTAATCAATTTTGGAAAATTTTCAAACGGACACCAAAACTGAAAAAATCACGAGAGTAAAGAGTAAGGGCCAAACTAGCTTTGACAAAAATCTCAAAAAGTTATAAGAGTCTTAATGAAAACCCTTACATATGCCTCACATTGACGTCCTCTACATGGTCTAGAAAGGTGTAAATGGTATGACCCTTAAACGATTCCAATCCTTGTATTTCGACTCTTCTGATTTCGTTCCTCTCGGTATTGTAGTAGAAAACGTACACACCCGTGGATTGAGAACATGAAAACACAATTTCATTTCTCCGAGTCGCTCCAACAACGCGTACAACTGTGTCTTCCCCTTCCCAAAAAATGGGCAATACATATCTATGCTCCGACCACTTATGTTTTTCGGCATCTTCTAGAACCCGCAACCTAATACTTGTGTTGCAGCTTCCATAGATACCACCATCATAACTTTGAAACCGAAGTAAACCTAATTTACCATTGTAGTTTATCAGAAGTGAACAAAAATCAGAAATAGTGGGACGGTCAGTAACTTCAACAACTCTGAATTTCTCCGACCTAAAATCAAAGAGAATGATTATGGAACACCTTGTAGTCCTGTTGATCGCTGGATAATATAGAACTCCATTGATGCATACATGGTTATAATATGGAGAAAAAATAAAATGCGGTATGCAACATTCGACCCTTCTCCATGAGGGTTCTCCGCCAGTTCCTAATGTCAGAACTTGATGCTCCTCAGTGTTTTCAGTTCCATGAATCGTCCAGGTCACGGAGAATACCTTGTATTGTTTCTCGATAGGTTCATATCCAAGATAGCCTCTTACTCCATTCCTCTTCCTCGTCTTGAGTTTGGGTAAGGTCACATATTGTCCCGTGCTGGGGTTACATATCATCCAGACCTTACGCTCTTTTCCCTCTGAAACCCGCTCATCCCTAATTAACACCAAGCCTCTGACAGAACTACATCTTTCAGATGAAGAACTATGATAAGGAATTTTCATATGATAAGGAACTTTCATATGATAAGTGGCGGCTAAAACAGAGGATTTGTTATTTTCAAGATTTTGAGGCTGCCGTGAGGAGAAGAAGAACATATGTCTGTCTTTCCGGCAGGCGAACAATAGACGTGGGCGAGCCAAAGATCTGGTCAAGAACAACTCCATGAAGTAAGGGAGGCGAGGGAAAGAATCCCAGAGCTTCGACACGCAGCGAAGTCTTGATATCGATGTTGCCGGCAGCCTTGAACATATCTCAAAAGTTAGGTCAACAAGGATCGGTTCTCCACCATTGATTGAGGTCTTGGCTCGCGTATTGCGTTGGGTGACGGCAACAAGATCCTCTTCCGAGACGTTTTGCTGCTCTGTTTTCATGACTAGTCACGGCAACTTCGGCTCCACAGGGAGAATGAAGGACGCAACCTTCATTATTTAGTGAAACCCTAGAGTGCGTTGCACGGGCTCTTTTTAATGTGTATTCATTATTAACTTTTTGATAAAGAAAGATATAAAAAATAATAGGCTCCCAGAATAATAATTCCTAATATATGTACTATTGACTGAAAAATTATCAGATAGATGGTTTTAAACATCCAATCACAATTAAATATCTCCATAATTAATATTTTTTAATTTTATTATTTTTAATATTATGTACTTATTAAAAAGAAAAATTATATTTAGAAGAAAAAAAAAATTTATATGTCAATGAAATGTATATTTTCTTAAACTTTTATTTTTATAGTCCAAATACTTAAAAAATATAAGTAAACATGGTAAACAAATACTTAATTAGTACGATGACTAATGACTAACTGTAATTAGATTTAAAAACTAAAATGGACAGCCTTGAGACAAATGTTGGCTTTGAATGTTAGCCGATTTTATAATAGTTTTTGGTTTTTGATTCTAAAAACTAAAAAATTAGTCATCATGATTTTAGCAAAAGTAGACTACTTAAAATTTAGAAAATTAGATTTTAGGAGATTATACTAATTTCTTCATAGAATCTAAAAAAATTATTTTTATGCTTTTTAACAAATATTAAGTGACTCTTTTTAATTAATTTTTTATTTTTTTATTTCCAAAATTCTGCAAAAACTAATAGCTACAGCAAAAATCAATAACTAAAAAAACCAAAAACCAAAAACTAAAAGCTAAAACCATTCAAAAACTAGGCCTTGAATGGCAACAGTTTTTAGATTAGTTTTTGGTTTTTGATTCTAAAAAACCAAAAAAATTGTCATTCACGATTTTAGTAAAAGTGATTTCCTTAAATTTAGGGAAATTTTTTTTTCCAGATTTTAACAATTCCTTCGTAGAATCTAAAAACCATTTTTTCAGCTTTCTAACAATATTACGTGACATTTTCTTATTGATTATTAACTTTTATTTTTTTCATATAAAACCAAAAACTAAACAAATTACCATTCAAGATTTTGCAAAAATTAAAATCTACAGCAAAAATCAAAAACTAAAAAAACTAAAAACCAAAAGCCAAAAACCAAAAACCAAAAGCTAAAACTCATTTAAAAACTACAAAACATTCATGGCCTAAAAAAACATTACTTGTTTTGAATCGTTTATTTTTCTCTCTTTTACTTTGCTTCCATTTACCGTTTTTCTATCTCATATCTCATAGTGGATCATACTTTTTTTTTTTTTTTCCTGTTAGAGTCATATTTTTGATAAATGTTTTTCACTGAAACCCTTTGAACCCTTGAGCCATAGTAGAAAATAATTATGAAATCCAGAGTAGAAAAAAATATTCTAAATTATTAGGCTTCTTTATCATAGTATGATTCTAATTGGTCGTTTACTAATACATAACTGTTCTTGTAGCCATGTATGCTGCTTTAACATAATAAGAACTACGTGATCCAACCCGTTTTCGTACAGATTATGACAATAACAAGTTGTGATATCGAAAATCTCTTTTCTAAGTCCGTTAAGTTACTATTTACGTCATATGGTAATGTGAATTAGCTTTAAGCATCCAAAGAAAGCCAATGTCATATTTGGAGATGACTAATCAAATTTGGATAATTTCAAAGCGACACCATATATCATTTTAAACCGTAAAGAGTAAGGAAATGAATCTATTATCGAAAACTGAAAAACTGAAAAAATGGAGGAGGAAGGGCCAAACTAGCTTTGTTACAAAAAAAAAAGAGTTATTTACAAAAAAATAATAGAAATACGGATGCCTTTCGGAAAGAATTATTGTGCCTACTGAACTTCAGATTTAGGTACTTCGGTTTTCCAAAATTACTATATTATCCTTAATATATGACATCATACGACTCATACTCAATGGTTGATGCTAATGGTTTTGTTACACTAATGATTTTCCAGTTTCCACATACGACAAAATTGATTAAACACTCAAAATTATTTGGGTTATATAAAAAAAAAATTGTTGTGAAAAGATGATGTCCACGCAAAGAAAATACACAGTAGAACTCATTCTGCTTTCACAAATCTATTCAATCTCCCATACTATTTAATTCTTGAAAAATACTTGGATTTTCATCTATTCTTAATTAATCAATCAAAATACAATAACATGCCATATCATTTTCTGTTTAAAAATAAATCAAAATCAAAATTAATAAATAAAACAAATTAAGGGAAAACTTTTTGTAAGATTTTTATTAAGAAAATTACATTCAATTTGGGTTGATAAAATAGTAGCTAGAGTTTAAATTTTATAAATAAATAAAATTATATTTTGGTTTGGGTTTATAATATAGTGGTTAGAGTTTAGATTTTATAAATAAACAAAATTATATTTTGGTTTGGGTTGATAAAATAGTTGTTGGGGTTTAGATTCTGTAATTAAACAAAATTATATTTCGGTTTGGGTTCGTAAAATAGTAGTTAGGATTTAGATTTTGCGATTAAACGAGATTATATTTTGGTTTGGGTTGATAAAATAGTGGTTAGGGTTTAGATTTGTAATTAAACGAGATTATATTTTGGTTTGGGTTGATAAAATAGTGGTTAGGGTTTAGATTTTGTAATTAAACGAGATTATATTTTGGTTTGGGTTGATAAAATAGTGGTTAGGGTTTAGATTTTGTAATTAAACGAGATTATATTTTGGTTTGGGTTGATAAAATAGTAGTTAGGGTTTAGATTTTGTGATTAAACGAGATTATATTTTGGTTTGGGTTGATAAAATAGTGGTTAGGGTTTAGATTTTGTAATTAAACGATATTATATTTTGCTTTAAGTTGATAAAATAGTGGTTAGGGTTTAGATTTTGTAATTAAACGATATTATATCTAATTTTGGATTGATAAAATAGTGGTTAGAGTTTATATTTTGTTATTAAACAAAATTAAATTGTGGAGTTTATAAATTAAATTTTGTTTTAGGTTTAGAAATATTAATTATTTTAATTTATTTAATTAAATGACATGACTAATTTTGATTGGGTTGTTTAGTCTCTTAAACTAGGTTTTAGTGAATATTTTTTCACTCAAATAATCTACGTTAAAATGATATGTTTTTATACTAACTAGTTTTGCTATACTAAAATCAAAGTTATAGGTTCTACTTGGGTTTAGTAGCTACCAACTCTGGGTTTAGTTCTCTCTGTTTCATCTAATATTGTGGAGTTCACCACAGACCCTAAATAACCTAAATTTAGCTCTCGTAGCTTACTTCTAGTCCACATGATTGGCATAAATTCATGTGCGCCATTCTAGATGATTTCCCGTTCATGAAAAAGTTATCTTCGTTTAACAACTTGCCTAATTTCGATGACGTCAGCCTCTTATGCCGCTTAAAACATCCGGGGCAATAATGTCATGTACAATTGGTTTTCTTACTTTTTTTAGTGCTTTACTTGTTACAATACCTAAATCCGAAGTTAGAAGCAAAATAGTGCCTAGTTTTATAATAAGCTCAAAAAAAAATCTCAAAAGTTATAAAAGCCTTGATGAATTAAAAACCCTTTCATATATGCCTCACATTAACATCCTCTACATGGTCTAGAAAGGTGTAAATGTAATGACCCATGAACGCTTCCATCCCTTGTATTTCGACTCTTCTGATTTCGTTTCTCTCGGTATTATAGTAGAAAACGTACACAAGAGGCGTGGATTGATAGGGAAATGACAACACAATTTCGTTTGTCCGAGTCACTCCAACAATGCGTAAAACTGCGTCTTCTCCTCCAACGATATTCTTCCACAAAGCAGGCAATACATATATATGCTCCGACCACTCATGCTTTTCGGCATCTTCTAGAACCCGAAACCTAATACTTGTACAGCTTCCATGGATACCATCATACCTTTAATGCAGAAGTAAGCCTAATTTACCATTGTAGTTTATCAGAGGTGAACAATAATATGAATCAGTGAGAGGATCTGTGTCTTCAACAAATCTGAACTTCTCCGACCTAAGATCAAAAAGAACAATTATGCAATCCCTTGAAGACGTTTTGAGCGCTGGATAATACAAAACACCATCGATGCATACATGGTCATAATTATAATAAAAAGAATGTGGTATGCAACATTTGATCCTTCTCCATGAAAGTTTACCACCAGTTCCTAATGTCAGAACTTGATGCTCCTCAGAGCTTCCTATTTCATCAAACTTCCAAGTCATGGACAATACCTTGTATTGTTTCTCGATAGGCTCATACCCAAAATAGCTCCTCATCCCAATCCTCTTCCTAGTCTTGAGTTTGGGTAAGGTCACAGATTGTCCCGTGCTAGGGTTACATATCACCGAGACCTTATGCTTCTTTTCCTTTAAAATCCGCTCATCTCCAACAAAGATCAAGCTTCTGACAGAACTACATCTTTCAAATGATGTTGCATGATAAGGAGTTTTCATATGATAAGTGGCGGTTAAAACAGAGGAGTTGTTGTCATCAAGATTTTGAGGCTGAGGTGAGGAGAAGAAGAACACATGATTGTCTTTTCTGGAAGCGAACAATAGACGCGGGCGAGACAAAGACCTGGTCAAGAACAACTCCGTGAAGTAGGGGAGGCGAGGGATGGAATCCCATAGCTTCGATACGCAGCGAAGTCTTGATGTTGATTTTGCCGGCAGCCTCGAACATATCTCGAGAGTTAGGTCAACTGGGATTGGTTCTCGACCATTGATTGAGGTCTTGAGTCGTGTATTGCGTTCGGTGACGGCAACAAGATCCTCCTCCGACACGTTTTGCTGCTCTGTTTTCATGACTTCGGCTCCAGAGGGTGAATTAATGACGACGGACGCAATCTTCACTAATAGTGAAAGTGAAACCCTAGAGTGCGTTGCATGGGCTCCTTTATTGTACTTATTTGTGTGTGCTTCATTATTATCTTTTGATTGTATAAAAGTAAATATATCAGATATGATCGAGACCCAGATTAATAATCGTTATATGTAATTTTGACGGAAAATATTATTAGATGAAATGAATTTGGTATATAGTAGATTTATATCATATTATATATTATATATTACTTTTTATCATAATTAATAATTATATAGTTAAGGATAATAACCAGTTTGCAAAAAATATTTAACTGATCTATCCAAATTTATCCAAACAAACTAACCAACATTATTCGAGATTCTAAAGAATTTTGGTCCAATTTCGGCAAAATCAAAATAACCAAATCTGTTTATAACCAAACCAAACACCGTTGCGTTTCGGTTATTTTGACAGCACTTTCACAATTAATTAAAAAAAAAAAAGAACTGAATTAACCAAATTGAACGAAATAACCAAACTGAACCGAATTCTCCTGACTAATCTGAACTTTACTTTTGTTAGAGCATTGTCATTAGCAAAAACTCAAAAACTCAAAAACAATTTTTTTTATTTATAATGGAAGTAATAGCTGAATGACCAATGTGAATTGAAGCTCTTAAAACTTTCTCATTTCAGTAAAGTTACTATTTTCAGAAAATGAAAAATGTTGAAGTGAATCTCATAAACGTTACTCATTTCAGAGACGTTATTCATTTTAGAAAATGACAAATGTGAATTTCATTTTATAAACTTTTCTTGTTTTTTGGAATTTGTACTCATTTCAGAAACCTTTTTGAAACAAACTTGTTCTAGAAACGTTTCGTTTCAGTCACTATTTGAATCATCAGAAAATGGCAGTCACAAAAGGCAGCTCGTATGTGCACACCTCAGGTGAGGTTTCAGTTGGCAAAAGCTTTCTTCTCCAAAAGTGTTTTTAATCTTTGTTTTGACCTCATGATAAGTTCTACCTTTTACTGTTCCCTTGGTGTTCCAACTAGCAGCCGTGACCATTTTGTGGCTACTCAAGGCTACGAACCTGTGTGTTTTCTTTAAAATTCATAATTTGCAATTTTGAGGATCATTCTATTGGTAAAGCCATGACTCAAGGCTGAATTGATTATGCGTATGTGCTTCAGAACAGCATATATTGGATTCTGCTGAAACATTTTTTAGGCCTAGGATTCAGCAGAGATGAGTTTTGATGATGGTCTCAAGTGCTTTTCTGATATCAGCCTAGAGAAAGCAATGCAGCCAATTCGCAGACATGTTAACAAGTTACATTCAAGATACTGCTCATGTAAAGAACCAGACTCTGAATATCTTTCTCTTTCTGTTTCCCAGTCCAGGTTCCTTTGGACGCTAACTTGATGTATGATACAAGTACAATTCACTGTTTCAAAGTTCTCTGTTACTCCTTGCACCCATATGAATAAGAGTACATTGTTATGATACTGAAACATCAGTGTTCAATATTACATGTGTTTTACTGTACACATTATTGCTTGTCATGTATACTTTCTAAATCTTTCAGGTTTACTGCAGACTAATCAAACTTTTGTATAACATGTTTTCACTTTTCACCACTCTAGAGATTGACAAAGATTGTAGTGTATGTAAAAAGACAATTTATTGATGTTTGTAATTGGTAAAATTTGTAATTTCTTACCAGCTGCAAAAAAAAACTCTTACAAAATTTGAGAATTTTAATAGAGAGGGGTTTTGCGGTTTGCTTAAACCCTAAAGATCTCATTTTTATTAGCCTCCCCCATTTTTTTTTTTGAGAGTCTGGTTCTAAAAGTGAATGAGTGATATGATTCACTTCACTGATCGATGAGTGAATCGTTCCTCCTCGCTCAATTCTAAATTTAGTAGAAATCGTCTTCTGGAATTGAAACTGATAGTTTGGTGGAATCGTTTCTACACTGTGGGATTTGTTGTGCTCTGTTCTTCCTTCTCTTGTGTGTCTGTGCGTAGTTTTGAGTTGCCTTTGTCATGTATTCTCTGATACTCCATGGGAAAAAGTTGGGCGAGTTGCAGAAATGGCGTAATTTGAGATTTGCAGTGAAGCTTGTGCAAAATACATCTTCTTTATCCAATTCCTTCTCCTCTGTTAGTGATGCACATTTGAGTCCTCGAGATGGTCGTAAAGGTAAGAACTTTACAGTCTCTTACCTCGTTGAGTCATTGGGTTTAAATACGAAAATAGCTGAATCGATTTCAAAGAAAGTCAGCTTCGAGGAAAAGGGTAATCCTGATTCGGTTCTGAGTCTTTTGAGGAGTCATGGTTTTACAGATTCTCAGATCTCCACCATCATTACGGACTATCCAAAATTACTTATAGCTGATGCTGAGAAGTCCCTTGGTCCCAAGCTTCAGTTTTTGCTATCCAGAGGAGCTTCAAGCTCTGAGCTCACTCAGATTGTTTCTACTGTTCCTGAAATCTTGGGGAAGAACGCTGGCAAAACTATAAGCAGATACTATGATTTCATCAAAGAGGTTTTGGAAGCGGATAAGAGTTCTAAGAATGAAAAGTTAAGTCAATCTTTGCCAGAAGGTAATAGACAGGGGAATAAAATCAGAAATGTTTTGGTTCTGAGAGAATTGGGCGTGCCTCAGAAGTTGTTATTCTCCTTGCTCATCTCTGATGCTCAACCTGTCTGTGGCAAAGAAAATTTTGAAGAATCACTCAAGAAGGTTGTTGAGATGGGTTTTGATCCAACCACCTCAAAGTTTGTCCATGCTCTTAAGGTTGTTTACAGATTCAGCGACAAAACAATAGAGGAAAAGGTCAATTGCTATAAAAGGTTAGGCTTTTCTGTGGAAGATGTTTGGGCGATGTTCAAGAAGTGTCCTGACTTTCTGAATAGTTCGGAGAAGAAGATAGGTCAGATATTTGAAACCCTGAAGAAGTGCGGACTACTTGAAGACGAGGTCCTCTCAGTGATGAAGAAGTTTCCGCAATGCATTGGTGCTTCAGAGCAGAAGATATTGAACTCCATTGAAACATTTCTAGGCCTAGGATTCACCAGAGATGAATTTGCTATGATGGTCAAGGGCTTTCCTCAGTGTCTTATTTTATCTGCAGAGACGATGAAGAAAAAGACTGAATTTCTGGTGAAAAACATGAATTGGCCACTTAAGTCTGTGGCTTCAGTCCCTCAGGTACTTGGATACAGCCTGGAGAAGAGGACTGTCCCGAGGTGTAATGTAATTAAAGCTCTGATGTCAAAAGGATTTCCCAGAAGTAAACTCCCTCCAGTAGCATCTGTTTTGGTATGTACCAATGAGATCTTCTTAAAGAGGTATGTGAGGAACCATGATAACAAGGAGCTGATGCCTGAGTTGATGTCTATTTTCACCGGAGATTTTGTTTCATAGATTAAAAGGCTTGTCAAGGATTTTGCTTTTATTTTTGAGTATCTGAAACCTTGATTTTAAGACTTCAAAAGCAACTTCAAATGTAAGTTTGAATTGGTTGCCTAGAAACAACAATGCAGCCAAGTAGTAGACATGTGAATGCAATTTATAATTTTAATTTTCTAAATCATCTATCTTCTGAATTTTGGTGGCCTTGTTCATTCGCAACCAATATGGATTATGTATTATCTGATTTCAGGATGGATTTTAGTATCATGTATTAGATTATGGTTTTTTGAACTACAGATATGGATTGGAAGGATGCAATGCAGCTCCTGAGTTCTTAGATTGGTCATGTAAGCATGCATTTTACCTAGTAGTGTTTGATCTTTAGTATTCCCTGAGAGGCTTTAGTTTCACTAAATTCTTTTAAAGTTTCGAGGTTAGAGTCAAAATCTTGCTTCATCTCTGGCATAAGTTCTTGGATCATATGATTGTGGAAGTGTGTTGGTTTTATTATGGTTAACTTTGATTTAACAGCTAAAATTTAGGATATAGTTTACTAATTCTTTTGGATTTTTGTTAATTGAAGAATTGTAAACGTAATCAGTCTTATAGTTTGTTGTTTCCCCCAAATTTTGGTTCTTTGTGATTTTGGATTTGGTAAGTAAACGGATTCTTGGAATAGTCAGACTAGTCACTGAGTTTCCTCTTCTCTGGGAGATCCATTTTCTCAATCAGTCAAATCTGATTCAGAAAGATCGCATTGTCTTGTCACGTCATGTATCCACTGCTTCTCCATAGAGGAAGGTTGGTTCAGCTGCAGAAATGGCATAATTTGACTGTTTCAGAGCTTGTGCAAAACGTATGTTCTCCTTGCTTCTCTTCTGCTGCTAGTGATGCACATGTGAGCCTTGAAACGTACATGTTGATTCATTGGGTTAACTACATAACTCGCAGAATCTAATCTCAAGGAAGGTGAGCTTTGAGGCCAAAGGGTAATCCGGATTCTCTTTCGAGTCTTCTTCATGTTCATAGATTCTCAGCTCTCCAACATCATAACGAGTTTAGCTTCTAAATCTTGCTTATATTAGATGTTGCAAAATCACTTGGTCCCAAGCTTCAGAGTTTCTGCAGTCCTGAGGAGCTTCAAGCTCTGATCTCACTCAGATTGTTCCAAAAGTCTTGGGAATGAAAAGAAAAAGTTTCAAAAAGTCACTCAAGTTGTTGAGATGGGTTTTGATCCAAATACCTCGAAGTTTGTCCAAGCTCTATTACACAGACTAGATCTTTAAATTTTACTGCAAAACTAGTTAAACTTGTGTTCTTAAAACATGTTTTCATTTCATCTATCAATATGAATGAATAATGAGATTGACAAAAAAATTGTATTTAACAAGAAAATTAATTGTTACTTGTAAAATTAATTAATATATTAGTTTCGTCGGTCTTATTTCCGATTTTATATCGGATCTTTTGTTCCGGATTAAGTCCGGATCTCTTTCTCACTTTTTGCGAGTTCTTTCTATCTCTCTCTACATGTTTTTATTCCGTCGAGCTGCTGTTGAAACTGATCGATGAGTGAATCGTTCTTCCTTCACTTCACAATCCGCACTGTTCGTCTTCTCGAATTGAAACTGATAGTTGGGTTTGAGTAGAGTCGCTTCTACACTTTAGGATTTGCTGTGTTCTGTTCTTCCTGCTCTTCTCCGTCTTTTGCTAGTTTTGAATTGCCTTGGTCATGTATTCTCTGAAACTCCATGGAAAAAAGTTGGGCGAGTTGCAGAAATGGCGTCATATGAGTTTTGCAGTGCAAAATGAATCTGCTTTTTCCAATTCGTTCTCCTCTGTGTCCAGTGCTGCTATAGATGGTCGTAAAGGTAAGAACTTTACAGCCTCTTACCTCGTTGAGTCATTGGGTTTAACTTCAAAAGTAGCTAAGTCGATCTCCATGAGAGTCATTTTCGAGGACAAGGGCAACCCTGATTCAGTTCTGAGTCTTTTTAGAAGTAATGGGTTCACAAAATCTCAGATTTCAAGCATTGTTATGGATTATCCACAGTTGCTTGTATTAGATGCTGAGAAATCACTTGCTCCCAAGCTTCAGTTTTTGCTGTCTAGAGGAGCTTCGAGGTCTGATCTCACTGAGATTGTTTCTACAGTTCCTGAAATCTTGGGAAGGAAAGCAGGACAAACTATTAGCAGATACTATGATTTCATCAAAGAGGTTATAGAGGCAGATAAGAGTTCCAAGTATGAAACGTTATGTCAATCTTTGCCAGAGGGTAATAGACAGGGGAATAAAATCAGAAATGTTTTGGTTCTGAGAGAATTGGGTGTGCCTCAGAAGTTGTTGTTCTCCTTGCTCATCTCTGATGCCCAACCTGTCTGTGGAAAAGAAAATTTTGAAGAATCACTCAAGAAAGTTGTTGAGATGGGTTTTGATCCAACAACATCAAGGTTTGTCCATGCTCTTAAGGTTATTTACAAATACAGCGAGAAAACGATAGAAGAAAAAGTCAATGTCTGTAAAGGGTTAGGCTTTGCTGTGGAAGATGTTTGGAAAATGTTCAAGAAGTCTCCTACCTTTATGAATAACTCGGAGAAGAAGATAGTGCAGACTTTTGAAACCCTGAAGAAGTGTGGACTACTCGAAGACGAGGTCCTCTCTGTGATGAAGAGGTTTCCACAATGTATTGGTGCTTCAGAGAAGAAGATATTGAACACCATTGAAACATTTCTCTGCCTCGGATTCAGCAAAGATGAGTTTGTAATCCTAGCCAAGCGCTTTCCTCAATGTCTTATTTTATCTGGGAAGACGGTGACGAAAAAAACTGAGTTTGTGGTGAAGAAGATGAATTGGCCTCTAAAGTCTGTGATTTCAACCCCTTCGATGCTTGGATACAGCCTGGAGAAGAGGACTGTCCCAAGGTGTAATGTAATTAAAGCTCTCATGGCAAAAGGATTGCTCGGAAGTGAACTCCCTCTAATGTCGTCTGTTTTGGTATGTAGCAATGAAGAGTTCTTAAACAGGTATGTGAGGAACCATGAAGACAAGGAGCTTGTGCCTGAATTGATGGCTATTTTCACCAGAAATTGTGTTTCATAGATTAGAAGGCTAGTCAAGGATTTTGCTTTTATTATGAATATTCCTGAAATATTGATATTTTACTTCAAAAAGCATTCTGGTTTGGAAAAATTTAACTTAAATTGTAATCTCGAGTCTCTGTTCTTATATATTGCTAAGTTTGGTAGCCTAGAAACAGCAAAGCAGCCAAATAGGAGACGTTTGTATCCAAACTATATTTTTGCTGATTTTTTTTTTCTAAGTCATTTATCTTCTGCATTTTTGGTAACCTTATTCGTCTGGACTCTCCAAAATTTACACCCAAGACTTAAACTTGGATCATGTAGTGTCTGATTTCAGTATCATGTGTTGGATCATGGTGTTTATGAACTGCAGGTATAGATTGGAATGATGTAATGCAGCTCCTGAATTCTTGGATTGGTCATGTAAGCCTTTTTGACTCCATTAACCTGTACCAACCAACAAGTCTTCACATGGATCTTGACAATTCAAACACTCAGCAATTTACTCACTAATCCCATGGATCTTGACAGGTTCTTGAGGGTGAATCTAGTGGCGTATTACACAGTTTTCAAAGAACCATTGTTTGGTCTGTGATTCTCATAGAAGCACTAGAGAGACTGAGAGAGATACAGAGCAGTCACCATTGTCGCATATGTACTCAAGTCAATGTAGGTCGTTACTAGCCCTGTTTTCAGAAATGTGAGATTTTTTACTTAAAACAGACACAACTTTGATCTTTAGAGGCTGACCCCAAACGGTGTCGTTTTATGTACAGAGTCGATTAGATTAAGAAGACTCAGTTTTTAAGGTTTAAGACTTGATTTATTCGATACTTTAAACGATAATGATATTAATTATATAATAATAGAACCGGATTGGTCGGTTAGAGGGAGCAAAAGTATATATTAGTATTATTTCTTTTGTCTAGCAGATTGTAAATTTTTATTCTGTTGCAAAATTTGCATTTGGTCACGACAAAGCGATTCTTTTCTCACTTTTCTTTATCTTTTTTTTTTTTTTTTTTTTTTTGTTATTCCTAAAATTCTTCGTATCGTACGTTGTGTCCTATAAATAAAATTAAATTATGATTTATTAGATCATTTACACAAACTTTTATTTGATCATTTATTTAAGTGAACAGTTTTAGGTAGCACAGCTAATAACACATTAAAAGCTTATAGTACTTAATACGACCTTTAATAAACAAACTTATACAGTTATATACTTATTAGCTTAAATTAATATATATAAAAAAAACAGTTAGAAAGTGAATTTGACGTTTCAATCCATGAAAATATTAGTAATAATAATGAATACACAAAATTAGTTGTAACAAAATTCTAAACCGGCAAAAAAAAATTAATTGCACTTATAACTAATATTTACAACTACTATTAATTTTATTTTGTGAATGTCGAACTACAGTTGTATTAAAACATATATATGTATACGCATAAATATATAATGATATAGTTTCGACAACCATAATAGAAACTGATAATTGTTTTGTTTTGTTTCATCATTAGTAGTCAACTCATGAGTCATGAGTCTCATGACTATAATAAACTTTGACATGTCAAATAATTTTGTTTTGAGAGTAATTATTGAAATTTCCTTAGTACATTTTTCAACCTATCATATCATCAGATATAATCATATTATGATGTACTTTTTTGTAATCTTATATTACACATTTTTGTGATATATGATTCTAATTTCGAATTTGGTACTATTTGATGTTTCAAAAAGTTATGAATTATCGACTAACGAATTTGGTGTTTTAGTGTTTGGCATTGCTGTTTTTTATGAAATTAAATTTGTTTTGATAACTCTAAATTTTTGATTAATGATTAAAATCTTGTTTTCTTTTACTATTTTTTATACGAATGTGGATTTATTTCAATATTTTATTAAATTTGGATCAATATAAAAGTTTTTAACTTTGGTTCATATGAAAAAATGTCTTAACTCGATCCGATACCAAAATATATTTCGTAAATTAGGTATAACTTAAAACTATTCAAATATGACAAATATTTATCTAAACTCAATACGAAATTTAAAATTATGTTAAAGAATCCTATATTTCTAAATATCCTACTTGAATCCTAATGGATCTATACCTGATAACAAAAGTAATGCATACACAACACAAGGAGTGGTTGGAAACAACATTCAAAATGGTGAAAAAATTAATTCCACAGTGAAAATATTAATTGCAGAAAACAGAAAACATCTCATAACGAATATTTATAGCTATTAAAATCTTTGTAACTGTCAAAATAGTAAATTACTCGTATTAAACGTATATCACAAATGTATTATCAATATTGAATAATGCTAATATATAGTTTCGACAACCATAATAGAAACTGATAATTGTATTATTTCTATTTTATTTTCATCATTAGTAGTCAACCCATGAGTCATGAGTTTATATAATAAACTGTGACATCTCAAATGATTTTGTTCCATATAGTAATTATTAAAATTCCTTATTTAAAATCATTCCAATATTTTTTCAACCTATCATCATATACTGTTATGTTACCTTTGCTTTTTACAGTACAAATTTCTGAAAAAAAATTAAAAACACCTAAAATCCAACAAGAATTTAAACACAAATAGTGAAAAAGACAAAAAAAAAAGGCCAAATAAGAAAAAAAAGAAAAAAAAGAAAAGAGTACTGACAAAAAGCCCAGAAATATCCTTATTACGACTCTCTTCTTCTCTCACGCCTCCCCAAATAAAGAGACCTTCCAAATTTAATAATAAAAATAAAAACGTAATTTAAAAAAATAAAAAATAAAAAAGGAATTAAATTCCTCACCACAAACTTCGACTTCTGTAACATCCCATTTCCAAAAACATTCCGTTTCAGCTTCAATCGAAGAAGACGAACTCTAACAACAACACGAATAAGAAGAAGAAGACGACGACGAAGACGAAGACGAAGAAGAAGAAGTACATTTTTCGATTACTGTTGAAGCTCGCCGTAAACTATGTCTCGGCCTTCGTCGGCGTCTGCAATCAGACCTGAAGATTACGCTCACAGTCCAGTTCACTACGCCGTCGTTTTGGGAGATCACGGCGCGCTCACTCGTCTTCTATCCTCGTTACCGAAGCTTGGAGATCCGGAGCAGATCCGAACAGAATCCGACTCACTGAGTCAAGAACGAGTCGCCGATCAGATCTCCGCCTTGGTCGACCGTCGCGACGTTCCTTCGCGCGAGACGCCGCTTCATTTAGCGGTTAGACTCGACGATCTTTTCGCGGCGAGGGCGATTTCTTCCGCCGGAGGTGATATCTCGCTGCAGAACGGTTCTGGATGGAATCCGTTACAGGAGGCGTTTTGTCGCCGGAATTCTGAGGTTATGAAAGTGCTTTTACGGCATCACCACCGTTTAGCTTGGTGTAAATGGCGGCGGAGGTTGCCTCGTTTAATCGCTGTTCTCCGTCGTATGAGAGATTTTTACATGGAGATCTCTTTTCACTTCGAGAGCTCTGTGATTCCGTTCGTCGGGAAAATCGCTCCCTCTGATACTTACAAGATCTGGAAACGCGACGGTAACCTCCGCGCTGATACGACTTTAGCTGGTTTTGACGGTTTGAAAATTCAAAGAGCCGATCAAAGCTTTTTGTTCCTTGGTGATGGTGATGAGTCTCTAGATATTTCTCCTGGATCTTTGCTTGTACTGAATCGAGACGATCGGAAAATTCTCGACGCTTTTGAAAGTGCCGGAGCTCCGATAAGTGATTCCGATATCGCCGGATTCTGTTCTCAGTCGAGCTTGTACCGTCCGGGTATGGATGTTACCAAAGCAGAGCTCGTCGCGAGAACGAATTGGCGGCGGCAAGAGAAGATGGAGAACGTCGGAGAATGGAAAGCTAGGGTTTATGAAATCCAGAAAGTTACATTTAGTTTCAGATCTCGGAAAATCGTTACCGGAGATGGAAGCGAACAAGTTTTGCCGTTAGAGTTAGACGAAGACGACGAAGGTTTCTTAGTAGCTGAGAATCCCAGTTTTCTAGCTCCGCCGCAACGGTCACAGAGACGACACAGTAGCTTCGTTAAAGAAGACAGAGATTATATCTCCGTCGGGAGAAAAAGCGTCGACGTTTATCCCTCCGCCGCGCGACCACCACAACCGCCGCCGCAAACTCAACCTCCGAGAAGATCAGTAACTCAATTCCAACCACCGAGAAGATCAATGGCTCAAATCCAACCACCAAGAAGATCAGTAGCTCAATTCCAGCCACCGAGAAGATCAGTAGCCATACCTTCAACGGTGTCTCCAGTGAATCCTCCGCCGTCTCCTCAGATCAAAGAGAAGGAGTTTGTGAAAAGCTTACATCCGTCAGTTTGGTTAACGGATCAGTTTCCGTTAAAAACAGAGGAGCTGCTTCCGTTACTTGACATTTTAGCTAACAAAGTCAAAGCCGTCGCCAGAATGCGTGATCTTCTCACCACCAAGTTCCCGCCGGGAACTTTCCCAGTCAAGGTAACACAAAAATGGCAATCTCGTAATTATCTTTAATTTCTCTGTTTACATTTTTTTCTCTAAACCATCATATTTTATACCATATGTTTAAAACTTAAGTAATTTAGTCTAAAATTAAACCTTAATCCTAAACCTTAAACCCCTAGGAACTATAAATCTTCACAAAAATTCTAAGCAAGTAGTGTAAGTTATTAATTTTGGAAGTATTAGCCTATTAGTATAAGTTTTAAATTTAATTTTTTTTAAAAGATTTTTTATTTTGGAAATCATTAAAATCACTTTTGCTGATTGTGTTACTCTTTTTGGGCACTTCCTAAGCTAAAACATTACGACCGTTATACCTAATGGGTCAAACGAACTTACGTGGCCCGTTCGGATTGGGTTAGTCATTGTCAATGGAACGCTGACGTGACAAGATCACGGATGGGTCACGGAGGAAGAACCAAAGCTTTTGCTTTTTTTTTTTTTTTTATAAGATCTCTCTAAATTTGGGAAATTGTGCTTTTTTTTTTTTTTTTAAACGCAAGTCAAAATCTTTTAGATGATGATTATGAAACTTCTTTACTTTTATTTTATATGCTAAACAAAGATCTCTCTTGTGGGTTCACAGCTGTCGATTCCTGTCGTCCCTACGGTCAAAGTAGTCATCACATTCACCAAATTCGTCGAGCTTCCTCCGGCGGAGACATTCTACACGCCACTCTCTAGTCCAAGATTCCTCCAATCAGCTACCTCAGCCGGTGAAGAAGGCCAATCAGATGACGAAAAACCCGATGCTCGGAATTCGATTTCTCGGCCTTCGACTTGGCTGAGACTAGGAAAAGGCTCACAGCGACGGGTAGAGGAGGAAGAGCAGCAAACACCTGACGACCCGTTCGCTATACCAATTGGGTATAAATGGACAAGCATGAGTAATAGTAGTAGTAATAGTAATAAGTCAGGTAATAGTAAAATGAAGAAATCAAAGTCTACTAAGAGAACTAATAAGTAGTTTTCTTTACTATTTGAGGAATTGAAACGAATATAAAATCTTTTTCGTTGTAGATAAATCTGATATTTTTAGTGATATAGTGAAATTTGTTGTCGTAATTTTACTATACATTTTTTTTTCTCATATGAACAAAATCAAATGCTGTCGTTTTTACTCTTTTTCGTCGGTCATGGTCTAAAAGAGTTCTTCAATAATAATAAAAGCTTTCAAATAGACCGCACCAAACTAAAGTTAAAAAATAACTATTTGTTCATGCTTTATTATTTACGGACTAACATTTATAAATACAAAACTACTTTTTTTTTTTCTTATAGCAAAAAGAAAAAAGAAGCAAATATGTTATTCTGATTTTGGTTATTCTTTTGATAACCTTAAGTATTGTGTACTAAACTTGGAAGTGATGACTTTTGATAAAGTAATCACTGAGTGTTTCTGCTTTAGGTTACATAAGACACATTTCAGACGTTTTGGATTACATTCCATTCCAACCTGGCTTTATGTGTATGTCTATATATATCCGATTTCTTAAAAGAATTGATAAATAAAGTTAACTGAAAATATTACAAAACTTTTGAATATAACTTGGAATTGAAGTTTATAGATTTATAATGACAATTCAAAATCTTCATAGGATTCATGTGAAGAAAGTAAAATAAAAACAAAAACAAAAACAAAAAAGAAACATATAAAGAACATATATAAGATGGATATGTCACATGGAATGAGACATACATATTAAGATGTCTAACATCTTATGCTTCATACCTAAATATTCCAAAAACAATGTTTTTGCTTTGCAAGTCGGAAACGAACAAACTTGAGTTTACTAAAAGTGCTTTCAAAGACAAGATAATATAAGTTAAACAAATCTAAAGATTTTGAACCCTGAAGAAAGAAAAGGACAACTTAATTCAATAATATTATTTTTGTTGTTTATAGATTAAAAAAAAGAACAAACACATCTAGCTACTATTAGTCTCCTTCATTCTCTGCATTATCAGCTCATATTGCTAAATCAAAAAATCTGTCTTTCTTCTCCAAAGAAGACTTCTCAACCACATTAGAGGTAACTCTCCTTTCTCTTTTATTTTCAAAGTAGTTGTACATCATTAACATTATTCATTTTCTTGTTTGTTTATCTTTCTTTGATTGAAGAATTTGAAGATTTTTTTTAGGACTTTTTGCATTGCGAAAAGATATCACCATAGCGATATGGCTAGTGAAGCACCAAGTTGGGCGGATCAATGGGGAACCGGAGGATTTGGAGAGATGGCCGTTGATGAGAACACCAACAGCAAGAAAGATGCAGGAGGTAAGAACTCTGGCCAAACCAAATCGGCCAAGATTGTTGATCTCATAACTTTCAAGTGGGTGAAGAATCTTGTCCATAAGAAGAAGAAAGACTCTGATTCTTGAAATAAGAAGAAGAGAAATCTTGAAATCTTGAAATCTTTTTCTCCTTTCGAAAGAAATTGTTTCTTTCTAAGATCTCAATTTTATCGTTGTATTTAAATTTGTTTATTTGTCTATGAGTTTCATGTGATATGAGTTAATGCGTTTTGGTGCATCCCACGATTGAAAGTTTTTGTTTTATATTATACAACATGGCTCAAATCTTCGTTTATATATCTTAATAACAACTAGTAGGCTTTCACTTATAACTATTTGTTGTTTCTTGAAATAGTCACACTAGGTTTTTGGCAAACTATATTGGATGACACAAGTTGTGTGTCTATAAAAGTATAACCCAAACTATAGAACATAAAATTCAAAGCAACATTTACATTAATAAGTCTAAAGTAGTGTATGGATTAACTTTTGCATATTCATAGTCATAAAAGAGCTTATAATATATACATAAACACACAAAGGTGGTAGTAGTAGACACACTTAAACCAAACCAAAGGTGTTCTCTCCACTGTAAGTCATGTAGAGAAACCCATCTTCGTCTTTGTTCTCATCATAGATTGCAGACATCATTGCAGCTGCAAAACACATCAACAACAAAGCATTCATCATTGCTTTTAGTTTGCAGCTAAGGTGAGTATGCGCAAATCACTATTTTCTTGAGAGTGAAACAGACATAAACCAGTTTTATTGCTAAGATTTGTGTGTTTACCAGTTGGAGGCAATGTGTTCTTCACAAAGACAAAGATCGCCTTTTCAGCACTCAGCTTGATTCTTTTACGGACAACATACACAAATTGTCCCACAGTTAGATCAGCCGGAACAAGGTACCTGAAAATCCAACAGCCAAAAAGTCACAGATCAACACATATCCCTGATATAAAGACTTCTTGTAGTCTAGAATCAAGAGAAATCTCATTTTGGGCTTCATACTATACAAAGATACAGTTCTCAAAACAATAGTTCCTTTTGATTCCATTAGTAAAATGGATTCAGGATATCAATACACTAATCAATCAGAGAGAGTGGAACAGTTTCTTTTCTTTAGATTATGAAGTGTGTAGAACTCATAAGTTGCCAATAAGAAAGAACACCGTAAGAAGAAGAATGATCATTACTGACTTTTTCTTGTCAATGTTCGGAACATCACTTCTTTCAGCTCTCTCTACAATCACCTGCAACATATATACTTCCTCTCTGTTTAAAAGCTAAACCGAAATAATTCACACAGAGCAGAACAAAACAAATGATAAACAAAAAAACATTACTGGAATCCTGTCTGGATACTTGTCCCTGATCCGAGAAGCTTCAATTTGTCTCCTTTCTGACATAACAAAACCCCCAACGAATGATCAAAGAACATCAGTGATTGATTGATCAAATCGTAGTAATCAAAGTCTCTATCTTTTCAATCAAAGATCCTTACTTTCTAGTAATCCACTAAACAAAGCCTTAGTTTTTATACATGATTCCATGAAAGAACCAAGAAGGATATAAAAAAAACTTACCCAGTGGGTGTTCCAACTTGAAAGAGCTATTAGCCATTGTGATTTAAGAATCCGAATTCCTGAAATCGAAATAAAGTGAACACTACGAATTGAAATCTGATTCACTAATCAAAACTCTCGAATTCCTGAGATCGATTGATTGGAGAGAAAAACCAAAAAAAAAGAAACAAACCCAGAGAGAATCATACATACCAAAGATTAGGGCTTTTCGTTTGACTGATGATGAGAATCAAATGTAGGAAGGATCAAAGATCGATATTGTTTGGGTTTCGTGTAGAAAACTGAATTAGGGTTTCAAGATTTGTAAACTCTTCACGCAAAGTCTGAAACTTTCGTCCGAGTTTGGAACTTATCGTCATCATCGTTCACAATTTGTTGCCATTTGTTCTTTCTGCTGCTGCATAACCGGAAATTTTGTACCGGATTCTGGTTTAGAATAACATTCGGTTCAGATTGATTTCTCTTTGCCGCGACTCATTTATTTTTTTGTTCTTTTAAACGATATAATTTATTGTTTCCTCATAAAAACAGAATTTTTTTCCTTTTTATTTTATTTTGGGTAAATTAAAGCTTAAGTTTCTAGAAAACAGATTACTTTAACTCTGTTGCCTTCTCACCAGATCCGGGTTCAAACCCGCTCCCTCTTAAAGAGAGTCGTATAATTTGTAATGATGTCAAAAAAAAAAAAAAAAAAAAAAAAAGATTACTTTAACTTTACAAGATACGATCAGAAGTTGAAGTTAATACAACCTATACAAGTATTGCACTGTGCAATCCAATTACTTAGCTAAGAATTCTAAAACTAATTAGAGTTGGTCATTTTAGTTAATGATATTTTCTATGATCATTTGAGTAGGATCGGGAAAACATTACATTTGATTTGAATTTATTTGTAGATAATAAATCAATGAATAGACCATAAATTGTTGGTTTGCAATTCTATCTTATGGTGTTTTATTGTTATTCATTTCTATATTCTATATGTTTTCGGAATTTGACACATATACAAAAGAATACCACAACATGTGTTTTTGCTAATGCGATGATGTGTCTTGATACGTTGATGTTTATGTCTACAATGGCTATATGTACATGTCTTGTCCTCTCTTTTTAATACGATTTATGATATCTAGTGTGCACCTTTCTGGGAAGAAATGTGTCACATACACTTTTGATTTATGATCTCATCCAAGCTCGAAAAAATTATTGTGAACAATGTCTCAAAATTTTTACTAATAAAGTTTGTAGTAGGTTGGTACACAAATATAGTTAAAACCACAAATTCTCTTAAACTGCTAACATGTTTGTCGACTAGACCTGCGTACATCATATACATCTATATATATTCTATAAATATATATTATTTTCCTACAAAGCCACTTATATATGTTTTTTTACTCGGTGTAATGTCTGCGATAAAGATTCTCATACTGCTTAATTGGAACGGATGATCTATGAGTAACATGATAAAAAAAATTATCAATAAACACCATTCATCAAAAGTTTAATTTGCATTAAGGACGGGATACTAGATCATTGTATAGAGTGCAATTTTTCTAAACATATTGTTTTAACTGATGACAAAGAACTTTTAAGAAATGTAGATTTTAAGTCTTTTTCAAGAGAAGTTTCCTGAATTTAGTTTGTTATTCATTCTTTATTCTTTAAATAGTAAATGTGATAGTAATTAGTTCTTAATATTTATTATTTTTTGGTCTAGCAAGTGATATATTGGTTTAGAAATGTTAATTTTTTCTTTGTAGGTATTCTGTATAGCTAGTTGGTTTTGTTAGGTAAAGTTTGAATTCATTTGTTACGTCAATTACAATTAATTTATATGCAGAAAAAGAATCATGGGAATGAATAAATTTCTGGATCATTGGAATAACTTTTTCTTGTAAATTATTCATTCTAAAATTATTCATTCTAATGAGTAAAAGGAGACTACACTCATGAAACGGTTTTGGATTTGGATATAGTACAACGGAATAATTCCAATATACTATATCTGAATCTAAAACCGTTTCACGAATGTAGTCTTCTTTTATTTGGAGACAAAAAATGAGGGTATTTAGAAAAATATAACCACCAAAATAGGTTCAAAAATTCAAATGGATACTTTGGGAGTCGCGGAAAAAAGCTCACCAACATGCCTTTCTCTGTCGATCCTTTGTTACTTCTAATTTACAAATCGATCTATATGGTCGTCTATGCATACATAGTTTACATGTCTAAGTTACGTTCGTCTTGGACTAATATTAAATTAAAGAAAGAAAGATGTGTGAGACCAAACCAAACATATTAAATTAAGAACAACAAACGCAGCTCATGCACAAACTTCATGTGGTCATTGTTTCCGATATTTCGTCGAGGCGTTACAAACTTACACATGCTTTTAGTACATGCAATAATACGTACAATATTATTTCATAAATATTGGCTCTCAGTCACATGTTACATGAGGCCATGGCATCTCGATTATATCAAAGATATAAAACAATTAAAAAGTTAGATAAGGTAAAATATAAATTAAACCGCAGAAGTCAAGTTTTTTCTTCTTAATACATGTTCACGTTTTCCACCTAACAAAACTTGTGACATACACATATATCTTTAGTTAGAAATATATGTGATGAATCATATTGAATCGCCAACTGCAATTCCAATTACGAATTTGCAATAACTACGTGGTCATACTCTTATATATATAGACATATCCATCACCAAAAAGTATATCATTTTCCATGGGAAATTAAAGTCAGATTAGGTATATACAGTATATGTATAGTGATCGATAGATTAGATAAGTTATTGTAATATATATTGTGACGTTTACAACAACTTCATCGTAATTTTTTTTTAATCAATCGAATTTATATAAAACTGTTAATACATGAGAAAGTTCCCACCAATGGCAATGTTAAGTCACATTTTATGATTTGTTTTGTTTTGACTTGTAACTTGTTTTGCTACCTCTATAATGGTTTAGCTGTTTCGTAGCGACTACAATAAATCAAAAACTAGCTGTTAATCTAATCATTATGAAATTCTTGGAAGTGGTTCAATTTTTTTAGTAACGGCAGACCTATTTGATTTGAATAAGAAAATATAATATCTATATTTTGTAACGTTAAGTATTTCTTGAAAAAAAACATATTTATATACTTTTATTATTTTCACAAATTAAATACAACCAACTTCCTTTTTGTTGTGGGGGTTGTTGGCCTAATTCAATGCTTGTTTTTTCTCTTGTCATTTCATCTTCAACCCTCTTCGTATTTATAATCTCCTAAACATACTCTGCAAAACCAAGAAGAAGAAAAAAAACATTGCAATAGCTCATGTTTGTCTTTCTTTTCATTTCCATATCCGCAAAATCAAGTTATTAAGGAAACAATGATTTCAGAAACCGGTTTAAGAGTAAGTACACGCCTCTTGTTACCTAACCTATGCATCAATTCGTGTTCAATCATATACTTGTTTTGATTTCTTCTCTCTTTTGGTTTCCCTTATGGTTTGGCTCTTTTGAGGTAGAGTTTGGTATTGGGGCGCTATTGGTAAACAAAGACGAGATATTGGTGCGGTTCAATCAGAAACTTGTACTCTTTTTATTTTAGAGATCAGTTTGTTTGATTGAGCCGTGCCAATATCACGTGTTTAAATAAAACTCCATGTTAGCATATATGTATAATCAAGGTATGTCCATATTGTTTCTTTCACTTTCTTGTTTTGAACAATAGCTTAAAAAAAAAAAAACAGATAAGGTTATATATATATATATATCAATGGCTGTCGTCAAGGATCACGCTCTTTCTTATGTCACTAAGAGAATATTATAAGAGTTTTTGATTATTTTTGTTTTCATCTTTATCTGCAGGCTCTTAACTTCGGATAAACAAGAAAAGACAAGAAAACTCAAATACATTTTGCGAGAAGATATTGCTATATATTAGTAACAATGATTTATAAAGAAAATAAGAAAAGCTACACTGTAGTGAAATGTTAAAGAAGTAGAACTGCTTCTACAATAAAGTATAAACTAGTTTAAAGAGACTAATGTATCTCACTTTTGTAAAAATGTCCGACTAATGAAATTTTGTTGTATATTTTGCTGAAGTTCTGAGTTAGTTTATACTCTTATTCGACCATGAATGAAATGTGTCCATATATTCTTTGTTAACCATAATGTGATTAGACATATAACTTGTTCCACTATAAAACTATATTATATGCGAAAAAAATCTCTAAATAATAACATAACAAAAACTTATATTTTCGGGTTATTTGTTTTTTTTTCTTTTTGTCAATTTACATATCACTATCAGAAATATTTGATTTTATTACATTGCATAGAATTTATCTATTTACGGACGATTCCATAGTTCTTTCTATTTATATACCTCCATGCATGATATACCACTTTATAGTATGTAAATAGACTAATAGAACTTTATAATATACTAAATTATGATGAACGGTTCTACACCTAGAACCTCTAATAGAACTTTTACGTCCATAAGATGTAAAGCAAATGCTACTCAATGAAAACCGAATTCCAAAATTGTGGTTTAAGATCAAATTGTACAAAATAAAATGAGAATTTTTGAAAAATGCCATTTTTGGTGTACTTCTTTTTAAAAATATCCAATTTTTTATCTGTTTTCAAAAATATTTCTTTTCAAATATGAAAAATTATATAGTTTATAAGGTACATCTAGATCATCATTACTACAGGGAGACTCAATCCAAATATTTAGAGTTTAAAAATGTTCTAAACGACATTTATAAGGTTTTTATAAGGTTTTTAAAAGGTTTACGAAGTTTATATGGTCTTTATATGATTTTTAAAAGGTTTTTATGATATATATATAAATTTACACACATATAAAGATAATTCGTGTATATATAAGCTTACACATATTTTTTTGATAAATTTCAAATTTTTAGTGACTTTTTGATAAAATTTGAAAGAGAAATATTTTTAAAAAGTGGCATTGCAAAAATGATAGTTTTGAAATCCCAAATAAAATTTAGATGAAAATTAGTAAGTTGTATTTAACATAATTTTTTGTATATCTAATAGACTAGACGTTTATTTTCTTTAGAAGTATTAAATTATTAACGAATGATAAAGCATACAGTATACATGATATATACTCAAATATGTGAAGAGATAGATCGATAGATACGCCAAAACCAACAAAAACCTGCGAAGTGGTCGCATATCTTTAATGACATATCGCAGAATGCCCACGAGCTTTAGGACCAAAAACCTTAAATTTTTGTTTTTGGCTTGGACAGATTAAATGAGATGGGTCTACTCTTATATATCGACATACAAATCTCTATACATATATTACATATCTATAGTCCAACAAAAATGGATATTTATAACTGATTTGAGTCATAATTCTCATACTTTGTTGATCTTAATCATCCTAATGAGTAAACACATCTACTAAAAGATCGTAAGAACATAATATATCTCAGCTTTGTTCATCTTGTAAGCAATAGTTTGACAAAAACTACCCAAAGCCTAGAGGTAAAACAAACAATTCCATAACGAACAAAGTAAAGGAAAGTGAAAGATACCAAAAGAGAAAGGAGATAGTGAGTGACAAAAGAGAGAAATAAATGAGGGAAGGGGAAAAAAAGGGAAAAGCATGTGGAAGAACATAAATGAATTGGGCAAAAACAATAAAGAGCTCTGTCTCTCATAGGACATACCAAATGTTACCCCAATGGTTCGTCTCTATCTCTCTTTCTTTCTTCTTTAACTTCATTTTGTTTGTTTTTTCCAAACCAAACAGTCAAATTAGAATCAAACTCTCTGACTGGTTGTTCATTCATTTATTCAGAAGAAGACATAATTACAAAATTATAAAAAAAAATTCTCCATTGTTTGGTTTCTTAATGACTTATAGTTTATCTTAACTAGTTTTGCATAGTTTGTTTCAAAATTATGTCAGCGTAATTCTATATAATGATCGAGAAATATAACTTATCGTAAGAGCATCTCGAGTGGAGTACTTTAAGAGAGAGACTAAACAAAATAAACTAGAAAACATTAAAGAGAGAGAAAGAGCACATTGTTTAAAACGGAACCTTTAGAAACCGTACTAAAAGAAAATGGGACACATAGCAAATTTTCAAAAGTTGAATTATTAAAAGAAAATGAAAAATAAATAAAATATTTTTTTTTCTATTTAGTACCTCTCATCGGTGCACACCGCTCGAGGTGGTCTAAGTTACTTATGTTATATATTAGCGCTCACATAGGCGATAACATCGCGATAAGGTATGCCAATGTTACTTAACTCTAATAAGTTATTAGCTATGTTACTATTTGCCTAAAGACTCTTACAATTTCCATCCACATGTCTAAATTAATCTTGAAATGCCGATAAATATATAAAAAGGTTAATATACTGAATTGATAACTGAAAAGCATGATTCATAACTGAATTGATATACTTTGAAATATCATCATAAAATGTAGATCTTAGCTTGAACATTTATTTAACAGATTTGTCTGTTAAAATCTAACTTAAATTTCTCTTATGGTTTGAATAATAGTTGAAATTAAACTTGTGAGTGACTGCATAAAAATTAACCAATGTAAATTTTCTAGAAAATCAAATAAAATGACTAATTAGGTAATGAATATCAAAGGATAAATTAATTAAAGAATAAAAAATGGGTTTGCGTGATAGAGCCGTTAATTATAACACAACGGTTAGAAAGCCACGCAGCGCCGCCTATAAATACACAAACTTCAAAATCTTCTTCATTCTTCGACACAGAGGAAAACAATCATACAATTCGTATACTTTAAAAATCATAACTTTTCTTACAAGTTTGACGAATTTGTTCAGTGAAATAAAGAACGAGAGAGAGAGAAATGGTAGCAGAAACTGAGTTTTCCGGTGGTTCAAGAAGTTACTTCCGCCGTCAAATTCTCTCATTTCGTCTCCTTTGGTAAGTCTAACTCGTTCGTATTCTCCAGTTGTTCCACATGTTTAAAGCTTCGATTTTTCTTATGGGTTCTGAAATCGATCGTCAATAGTTAGGAGTTTGATTGAATTGCTTCGTATTAGGGTTCTTTTAAAGATGCTTTTATAGGATCCGGACATGATGTTTTAGATCTCTTAAGGCATAGAAGACCCTTGGTTGTGTTGTAGGTTATGCATAGCGTAGACGAGGTAGGTTATGCATGATCGATCAGTCCATATCTCTGTTTTGTTTTTTGATAAAATAGGTATGTACCAACTTGTCCGAGTACTAGACCATATTCTACTCAACTTGTCAGGTATTGTTTCAAACATTCTATACTAAAGATTGAATCTTTTTTGCATAATCAAACAACTTCAGTGTTCCTGATCATCACTTCAAAAGCCTTGGTTGTGCTGTAGGAGAAACGAGGTAGGTTAGGCATGATGATTGATCAGTCCATAGATCTGTTTTGTTGTCAGGTAACAATTCAAAACATTCTATACTAAAGATTGAATCTTTTTGATAAATCAAACAACTTTAGTGACTTGATCATCACTTCAAAGTTCAAGCATTTGTCGATTCAGAATAAAAAACACTTTCTTAGGTTATTGGTTTGGAATCTTATTGTGTGAAACAATAGCTATACTTATGCGGAAATGCTTCCACCTTGTCGGACTCTCTTGTGTTTACAAGCTTTGATCACTTCTGATCTAATGTCTTGACAAGATAGAGCAGAGGAAAGTGGTTTGTTGAGTTTCTTGGATAGTGTAGCTTTGGGACTATAAAGACTGTAAACCCTTTTGTTTGATGTAATATCCCTCCATTGTAGCTCCTACATGACTTTCTTCTTACTCCATAGTTTCTATTTTGAAACCATGTCTCTATAAGATCTTTAAGGCTTTAAGAAGATAACTTAATTAATAAGACCCGAACATGATTCTTGGATGTATTAAAGCTTAGACAAGACTAGCACTGTTTATTTTTGTTTGCATGTTGTATGAAATATGATTTGCTTGTTGTCTGAGACTTGAAAGCTGGTGATCTTAACTAACTAATTGTAAATATTGTGTTGGAGAAGCCTTGTCTGTAGTTATTGGATGTGTTAACATGAGTACAAGACTTTGTCTTCACTGCTTCTGTTTTCCTTTGTTGCTATTCTCAACTGAGCTTGTTCTAAGCCATTTAGTGTTAATTGAATGATTTAATCCTTCTGATCGCATATGTTTTGTTCCAATGATTGCAATTTTATTTTGGTTTTCAGTTATGTGTATACCTTTATAGGATCTAAATGGAGACTGGAGGGCCAGAGAGATACATGGAAGATGTTCTTGCGCATAGTCATAGACATTTTATCTTCTCATGTTGGGTTTCTTTTTGAATTGCAAAAGCTAAGCGCTTTATATGCGGTTATATATCGTTGCCTTGCTACAGTCTAAATGCTCTTTTAAATCTGTAACCTGACTAGATTTCAAGTTTAGCTTTTTGATGGACCAGAGGTCGAGAAGCATCAGCTCACGTACGACAAAATCCCATTAGGCTTTTCTTTGAAGATTAGCAGTTTCAGACTATGTGGAAGAAGTTAAGCTTTGGCAGACAAATCGCAGCATTAGCTCTTCTTTTGGTATCACTGCTTCTTTGCCACTCGATCTCATTTTTTCAAAAGGTACATGTTTCATTCGTTTAGTTCTTTACTTCACTTATCATCAGTCTTTAATTAGGATCTTAAGTCATTAGTGTTCTCTAGTTATAGACAAAACTGTTGCCTTCTAGTATGAATATACAGAAAAGTAAAAACTGATGATGGTTAAGGCTACAAAGGTAATGGGACAATATGTTGATTTCCCCGTCAGAGATTGCATGCACAAGGAAACAGGTTGGATCAGGGTTAAATGGAGATAAGGAAAGCCTAAATATGTTTCAGGTACAGGTAAGCCTCTCTATAAAGAAGCCTATTATATGTATTTAATATGGAGGGTCGTGGATCTGAGTTGGTTGGTGATAGCATTGAATTCATCTAGCACTCATGTCCTAATAGCACTCACCATATAGAGAGCACTGAGTTAATTACGAAAGAAAAAGAAAAAAAAAGACAAGAGGAGAGATCATTACTCATTACTCAAATATCTTTTGTTACTCAAATACTCTCTGTGCAGCACTATGGATTTGGAAGGGGAGATCATATCAGCCATTTTTGAACTAATATCTATTCAGGATCCTTGGGAAGTTCATAACAGGGATGCGAACGCAGAGATCATTGCACTCATTATTCAAATAAGCTATGTTAGTAGCTTATTATGTGAGTATGCCATTCCCGAGTCAGAGCTCATGTTACTCATTACTCAAACCATCTCTATCTACAACTCTATGGATTTGGATTCTCAGCCGGAGCCTCTAAGGAAGCTCATATCATTCATTGCTAAAAAAGCAGATCTTGACAACCATATAGATCCTTTGTTGGAGCAAGATTTGGAGGTCTTGCCACTCTTTGGTAAAACATTAAGTCTTGAGCCAGAGCTGGAGCTCGTATCACTCATCCGTAGAATAATCTCCCTTGTCATCTCTATGGATCCAAAGTGGAAGAAACTTATTTCTCTATGCCCTCAAGTAGCAGTAAGATTGGAAAAGGGAAAATTACAAGTAGATAAAGAGTTCTTGTGGGGAACCAATTACAAACTGTGTTGTTTCCCTTTGTTCTGGCTCAAGTTCAGGTCAACAGGAGAAGACGCTTCACATTTTTTCTGTAGAGGTTGCAATGGGAAGAACCATAATGAAAGTAACAAGGCTCCAGTTGAGATCAAGCACCCTCTTCATCCAAGACATTCTCTTCGGCTTGCTTTGTTGCAAAAGTCTCATGAAACGAGACAGTGCTATTGTTGTGATGAAAGTCTCCAAGAGCTGTTCTATTATTGCTCAGCTTGCGACTATGGTATGAACATATCTTGTGTGGAGAAACCACCAGTCTTTTCTTTAGACCATTCGAAGTGGCATGAGCATACTCTTGCTCTGTTTCCAAGACAGAGTCCTTTTGCTTGCAGCCTTTGTTCCTTGACACATACAAGCTGTCCTTTCTATGTATGTCCCCCTTGTGACTTTGTGGCTCATCAAAGGTGTATCAGCTTACCACGTCTCATAAGGATTTCTCGCCATCCCCATCGTATCTCTTTCACCCATTCTTTTGGTCAAGGAGATTGGTCTTGTTGTGTTTGCCGAAGAAAGATTGACAATGATTACGGAGGTTATTCTTGCATCAAGGACGGTTGTTCATATGTGGCTCATTCAAAATGTGCCACACAGAAGAATGTGTGGGATGGTCAAGAACTCGAGGGGATACCAGAAGAAGATGAAGAAGTTGAACCGCCGTTTGTGAGTATAGGTGATGGAATCATAAAGCATTTTAGTCATCAACATCATCCTTTGAGACTTGATGAGAACACGGGTAGAGACTACGACGTGAATAAGGTGTGTCAAGCATGCGTCATGCCAATCTATTCGGGTAACTTATACTCATGTATGCAATGCAAGTATATTCTCCACGATAAATGTGCAGATCTTCCTCGCAAAATGCATCACCCGATACATCCACATATGCTCACTCTAAAAGGAGGGTCTCAGGGTCTTGTGGAACATAGTGTGGATCCATGTTCAGCTTGTCCTTGGAAATGCAAAGCTGGTTTCTTCTATGAGTGTGAAAAGCCGGATAAAGATGACTATCTTTTTAGGCTACATGTGCAGTGCGCCACAGTTTCTGAGCCACTAGTCCATAAGAGTCATAAACATTCTTTATTCCTAACATCCAAACCAGGAGAGCAAAGAAGGTGTTCTGTTTGCAAAAAGTTGGAAAAATACTCAACAAAAGAAACATTCAATTGCATTGAGTGTGACTACTTTGCTTTGTGTTTTGGATGTGCTACTTTACCTCAAGAAGTGAGGTATGAGCATGATAAACATATGCTCACTCTATCTTATGGTGAAGAGACAAGTACCATGACGTATTGGTGTGAAATTTGCGAGCAGAAACTAGATCCAAAGGAGCGGTTTTATACGTGTGGCGAGTACTGTTGCGTCACCTTACACATTGAGTGTCTGCTCGGGCAGGACTTATACGAGAAGCCTGGTTCATCTTGGATAAGCTTCTCCTTCAATGGAGCGAAGATATGTGTTCAGTCCAACAACCATCATATGACTCGACCTTCTTGCTCTTATTGCAAGAAGCGTTGTCCACACAAAATAGTTTTGGAGTCGTCTGGTTCTAAATTTTGTTCCACATCTTGTGTTGGTTGTTTCTTGTCTAAGAAGGTGAACACAGCTGGTCATCGTCAATATGTACAACGGATGGGATACGAGGATTATGAGTTCTCAGCAATGACGTAGAGATTTGTGGAATCTTGCTCGAGTTCCGACAGTAGAGATTAGTGTTACTATTAAGTTCAGTTGTATCTGGTTCGATCAGCTCAATTGATAATAATACGAAACATGTAAGGACAAGAAACTATTTAGCAATCAACATGTTTTATTTAGTTTTTGTTTCCTTAGACACTAGCTTTTTTTCTGCTTCACACATAAGGCATCAAAAAGAAATGACCAATGAATCTAAAACAATGCCTAACGTTGCTCATTGTACTACGTGATCAGTGAGTGAAACACGTTTTCTGGAGAAGACAGCGATTAACTTAGGCACGAGTCGCTTGTCATCATGATTCAACACATACTTGTTTAAGAAAGCTCGATCCGAGATAGCCAAGGCAGACGGCATTGGAGGGTGTTCACTTGCGAAAAATCCTTTTGAGATGAGAACTCTGATTACATTACACCTTGGAACAATTCTCTTCTCCAAGCTGTATCCAAGTACCACAGGGTTCAAAACCACAGTCTTTAGTGGCCAATTCATTTTCTTCACTAGAAACTCAGTCTTCTTCTTCACTGACTCTGCAGAGAAATTAAGACATGACGGAAAGCGCTTGACCATAAATGTAAACTCGTCTCTAGTGAGTCCTAGGCCTATAAAAGTTTCAATGGAGTTTGCTGTCTTCTTCTCCGAGAGTCCAAGAAAACATGGGAATTTCTTGAACATAGCCCATACATCTTCAACAGATAAGCCTAAGGTAATATAGAAATTGACCTTTTCTTCTACTGTTTTGTCGCTCAATCCTTGAAAAACGCGTAGAGCAGAGACAAACTTGGAGGTAGTGGGATCAAAACCCATCTCAACAACTTTCTTGAGTGATTCTTCAAATCTTTCTTTTCCACATACAGGTGGAGAAACTGATGTAAACAAGGAGAACAACAACCTCTGAGGCACGCCCAAGTCTCTCAAAACCGATATATTCCGGGTTTTATTCTCCTGAATACTACCCTCCGGCAATGAATGACACAACTTTTTGAACTTGGAGATCTTATCAGCTTTTATAATGACTTTGACGAAATCATAGTATGTGCTGAGAGATTTGCCTGCTTTCAATCTCAAGATTTTAGGAACTTTTGAAACAGTCTCAGTGAGCTCAGAGTTTGAATCTCCTCTTGACTGCAGATACTTAAGCTTGGGAGCAAGTGATCTCTCAGCATCTAATATAAGCAATCTAGGATACTCCCTAACGATGCTAGATATATGAGAATCTGTGAAGCCATGACTTCTCAAAAGATTCAGAACAGAATCAGGATTAACCTTGTTCTCCAAACTGACTTTTCTTGAAATCGATTCTGCTAGCTTTTTAGCTAAACCAAGTGAATCAACAAGGTAAGAGACAGTAAAGTTCTTCCCTTTTCGACCAACTCTAAGGCTCGCGTCATCAGCACCACTAGCAGTAGCAGCAGAAGATAACGAATATTCTAAAAGCTTCACTGCACATCTCAAGTTACGCCATTTCTGCAGTTCAATAGCTCTTCTTCCATGGAGTATCAAAGAATACATGACAAGACGCAATGCGATTACCACAACTGTGGCTGATCTTTAGTGTTCAAGAATCTGCAATCTCCGTGGAAGATGAAGGCGATCTCTAATTTTCTAGGGTTGAATTCTGAACCGGTTAAGGACACAAATTGGTTTGATTGACTCTAAAAATTGGTTTACTATTTGGTTCTTCCATCGCTCCATTTGATAAACTTGTAATTAGGAACGACCAACTCACAAAACTATAACTTTTCACAAGTAAATCATAAATTTTCGAAATTGAAATTAGAAATGATCCAACACTGTATTTTTCATAGACTACTACGCATCAAAAAGATATATAAAGCAAGAAGCTAAAAGTTCTCATGTGTTGTTGTTGCTAAAAGATAAGTAACAACTTTAAAAAAAAAAAAAGAGTAATAGAACCTGCAACGAGAAAAAAATCCACAAACCTGATTGGTAAGTACACAATCACAAAAACACCAAAAGCTCAAAACACTCTTATTTCTGTTAATAGAGTATCTCTGTATTGATAATGAATCTGAATTTGATCACCGGACTTGAGCTGGAGAGCATAGCAAACCAGATGCGTCTGCACCAATCACTGCAAGATCACAGACCGTGCAGATGTTTCCTTCTTGACTTGGTACAAACCGGGCGGTGCAGTAAGGACAGGAGACGTCTTTCTGTCCTCTGTAGATCGGGACATATGTTGATCCGCATATCACAAATGGATTTCTGAAGTCGTAGTTAAGCTTGGTTGCGTCAGTCATGTTACGTTCAGCGGCTTGCACAACTTGTCTAGCCATCTTGGCCTGGTTCTCCACTGGGTTTGATTCCAACAGTCTTCTTGCGAAATTAGAAGCAGTGGCGAGGTTCTTTGCCTTGTAGCAGACCCCCATTGCACTAAGCAGTGCAAGCCGTAAGTGAGGTGTTTGGAGGTTGCAGTGAGTGAAGTAAGCAGCGAGCTCTTGTTGCCTCAGTGGATCATCTTTCATCTCTCTCCTCTTGAGCTCCATTTGAAGACCAAGGACATATTCTTTAACGATAGTGACTAGTTCCTTAACCTCATCGACTTCTCTTCTTGTCTCAACTACCACTAGAGGGATGGTGTGGAGGATAGAAAGGAAAAGACGGAGAGCCTCAGTGAATTTCCCACTTGTTGTGGCTTTGTAGCCAGATTTGAGCTTCTCGTCTAGCTGAGAGAAATCATAAACAAGAGCTGGTGGTCCACGAACGTTGGGACTGGAAGACTCGCTCCATCCACGCTCAATGGCAAGTGGAACAACAGGAGATGAAGAAAAAGCACGCAGATAGCTGTGGCTCCCATTGAACAAATCAAGAAACATCGATTTCAAAGGTGTAAAGTTCTTTATACCAAGCTGTCTGTGGAGCAGACGCATTGCAGTGTCGAAGCTTCCAGCTGCAGCTTGCTCAGCAGCAAGAGAAGATTTCTGGCTCCAGATCTGACTTATAGGCATACCTTGGGTAGGTGTCACAAAAACTGATGAACGTGCATTAGCAGAGGCTTTAGGAGTGTCAAGCTCCGGTGGGAGCTCCAAGTCTTCAAGTCCTCCCCATCCACCATCCTCATCATTTTCCTCTTCACCTGCTTCTGCAGCCGCCAAAATGTCTTCAATGTCTCTGTTCTCCATTCCATCAACATTTATGTCAAGTTCCTCACCCCAATCACCTTCGCCATCTTCTTCATCAACAGTACCTCCTCTGTCTGCACTCTCAAGTCCTCCTTCAAATATTCCTTTCATCACCCTCAGAAGTGGCCAATCACCACCGCACATGACGGGTGTCGGTGGCATTAGAAGCGATGGAGTTTTTCCTTCAGGCAACGAGGGCACGTTGTCTCCTAGCTCCGTTGCCAGTCGCTCAGCAATGTCATTTAAACCATGAACCGAAGCCGTGATATAAGCTAGAGGCAAATGACCAGCATTCTCCAGTATCTTAACACGCTCTTTAACATCTCCTAGGTAGAGCGCATTGTGAAACTGACCCATCACGTTGTTTTTCACTTCGGCAATCTTCATCAACTTTGAAAGCTTGTCCAAGTTACCAGTAATGAGATAAAGAAAGGACAACCTCTCAAAGTTCTTTGTCTGCTGGTATGCAAACTCAACAATTCCAGAGTTACCTTGGCGAAGAGCCTCCACCCCAAGTCTATACCAGTGGTCTTTCTCATTAATCTGTGTAGCGGATGCAACAGCCACGCTGATGTTGCCACTTTCAAGAGCCAGGTTAAATCGGATCCTCTCATCTTCAACAAAATGGAGGGCAACTTCAGGGAATCCTTTCTGCTGAAGGTAGGCAATCATAGCCTGTCCACATAGCTGGGAGTTCTTTATCATGCTCATGACATGATCATACCTCTTTCTCAGAAGTGCGAGCTTGAAAATGTACTCGGTTGCATTGATGGTGATAGCCTTGTTTTTCCCATCCCGATCCAAGCAAAAGATTGTATTACCAGACACCTTGGTGATATAGATTGGTACATCCAGGGTTTGGATGATTCCACTATCTCCATTAGGAAGACAGTACTTGATATGATTTAAAGTTGTGTAAATGAAGACACCATTATCGTCCCAAGCTCCACTTTTCACACGTATCGTCTCATGAAGCGTACACTGGAGAACAAGTTTTTTGCTCGCGATAATTATAGTATGTTTGCTGAGCAAAGCAACACTCTCCATATCACTAGACCAAACAACGTACCTAACAAATGGTGGTGTCTGAAGTTCACCAAGAACAAGCCTTTGCTGGAGGTCAAATATAACTACTTTATCCTCAGATCTACAAAGCAAATTTCCAGTCCCGGCATAGAAGATAGCATCTGTGGGAATAGGCAGAGAACTCTTTTTAACCACCTCATTCTTTAGATTCTTGACTAGCACCTGGCTGGTGCTTTTCTCGAGAACAGCAAATCGGTTACGGGCAATGAATACTGCAGAGCCACCTGTCCCTCTCTTTGCATCTTGTACAACATCACTCCTGCCAACACTATCTTTTGGAATGATGTACAACTCATAAGAACCACCATCCACATCTGAGCAGATCAAAACTGCATTTTCAGTCGGACTGTATGACAGAGTCCTAGGACTTTGATTCAAGCTTGGAGTACCAGGACGTCGTATAGGGATAACTTGGGAATCTCTTTGAGTTGAATATTCGTAGTACCGCAAGAATCTATCCTTGGCATAGAACAGAGAATCACCACTCAAAGCAAATGCAGGACGTTCTCTCTCAAGTTTGAACACAATCATGCCACTGTCATGTCCTGCTGCTAGTAGATTCATCTCAGGGTGAACTGCAAGAATCCAGAATCTATCATGTTCACGACGGAAAGTCTGAAGTCCAGTTCGCTTGGTAGCATCCCAGACACGGATGCTCTTATCTTCAGAGTTTGATACAATTATGTCCTGTTTTGCATGGAACATAACAGATGAAACATTATTCATATGGCCTCGCAATGTATCCACCTCCCAAGCTTTAGTTTCTGCAATGATATTGATAAAAACACATTACACTCAGCTTTCAATTTCAAGATTCATCTAAGAATTAGGGCATACAGAATATATGCATATCAGTATTAGAATCTATGATTGATAGCATATAAATTTTGAACGCACAAAAGGATAACATCAACTAATTACCATTCATACGCCACAGCTTTACTTGGCGGTCATCTGCACCCGAGACAATAAGAGGCAGGTTGGGATGAAAAGCGGCCCAGTTTACACCTCTGTCATGACCTTCAAGGACGTACTTGACTATGGCATCAACTCCACCGAAAAGATCACTATTCATCTGAGTCAACCTCATGATGTCATCAGCAGGAGATACTGTCTTCTTCCTAAGAGCACCGATATCCCAAACACGGACAGTCTGATCTAAAGAAGCTGATACTACGAGGTCTTCTTTTGGGTGGAAAGAGGCACACATAACATAGTGATTGTGACCAGTTAAGACAGAAACACAAGTCCGTGATTGCCAGTTCCATATACGGATAGTCTGATCGTCACTGGCACTCACAATCCATGGGTACTCATGATGGAACTGAACCGTGCGGATATAATCAAGATGCCCAAGAAGAGTGAAAAGACACCTGTGTGTTTTGTAGTTCCAAACTTTAATCTTGTAATCATCCCCTGCAAGATTAAGATACTAGACAAGCATTAAGATCATTATAATGCAAACCCCACCAGCCTTTACAAGACAAACGTATCAACCCTAAACATTCGATTCAATTTCAAGATCATCATGTACAGATCCATTCTTTTGATGCTGGGACAAAATCAATTATACGGATTCACTACAAACGCTAAATCTAGAAATCAAGGATTTCGCGATGAAGGTAAGGTAATGACGAGAGGAAAGCATATACCTCCGGAGACGAAGAGAGGCTGTGAACTGTGGAAATGAACACCACGAACAGGTCCTTCATGCTCGTCAAATCTATCGATCAAAGTACCCATACGATAATCCCAGAGCTGGATCACGCCACTGTGCAAACTCGCGAGAATCCATGGTCTTTTAGGGTGAAAGCTCAGACCCTTAACTCTGTTACTCTTGGTCTCGAACTTTGTCAACATAATGCACTCTACATACAATCAAAACCAGATCACAACAAAAACAAAACGAATCACGAACAATTCAAACGAGATTGAAGAGGAATAGATCTAAATTGCAACAATGGAGTGTGTGAGAGAGAGAGATCAAATCAGAAATTTGAAATCGTAAGAAGGGAGACAATGGTGATTACCACAGATCAGATGAGCTCACGATCGAAACGAAGAAGAAGAAGGAGGTATATAGATCTGAGTGAGAGAGTCGCTCTATGCCCAGAGAGGAGAGGCCAGATCTCGAATTCTCTCTTTTGAGTTAATTTGGATAAAAACTTATAAATTGGACTCAGATGGATTCTATAATATTACCCCTTTTACAACAAAAAAAAATGAGCTCTAATCTTATTGGTCTAATGATGCAATTTTTTATTTTTCTTTTATCAAAGAAATAATTTACTCTTAAACAAACGATTTTAAAAAATAATAATATATTACTCTTAAACTATTTTCTACCTAAATAAAATAAATCAGAAGTTCTTAAATATTATTTGTTAATAACCTTTTTTAGTCAAATTTAGAGGAAGGTCTATAATTTTCTTTATCATAAATCATCATCTATATTCTATGTTATATATTTTTTTTAGATTGAAACCTCAAAGTGTTTTAAAAAATAAAATAATAATTGGTGAGTGTACTTCTAAATTTTTGTATAATGTTGAACCTATAAGTGTAAAATAAATTATGCATCAGATGAAAAATCCCAAAAAAAATTGAAAAAAAAACTCTCCATAGTACTTGTTGAAGGGATTAACTGAGACCGAAGTATCATTTTGTTACAAAAAAAAACAAATCTCCCTTGATTTGAGCTATGCCTACTAGTTACTCTTGTTCAAAAAACCATCTTTACAAAAGAATAGAAAAAGATAAGACAAGACAAGAAAAAGAGAAACATATAATGGATTGTAACATAGACTAATCACTAGTCTCATTCTTTCCTTTCGTCCTATAGTACCAGAGCTTAGTTGATTTCTCCCTAACCTTGGAACATAACAAGAGCACACTAGTGGGCAGCTATATGGAGATTCTTTAGCATTAACAGCTTCTCCAAGATCCACTTCTTTCAAGTATCCATCTTCCCCAATGACGCAAGCTGTTTTGTAAAGTCCCTTCTTGGTCGGTTCAAGTCTGTCTATATCACAAATCACTGCCACTTTCTTCTCCTCCTCGACAAAGAAACTCTTTGGTTCAACCATAAACTTAAGACCAGTGATTGTATCCGTATTAACGTCTAAGAACTTGTTCCATGACACCACATTAGGCTCAATCTTAGTTGTAATCCATATCTCCATCTTACATGTATCTAGACGCTGAAACAACACTGCAAGCTTCTCTTCTCTAACTGAAGACAGAACAATGTCATCGTATCTAACATCACAACGAACCGGAAGATGCAGAGCAGGTCCAAATCTCTCTTTAGTAAAGTCAAAACAGAGTAAAACACATTCTTTACCCACTTCTTCAACTTTGATTGTTTCTTGATAAATAAAGTAAGTGTTGCCTTTCACTGACACGCCTCTTTTGTAAAACACTATTGTAGATGAGATGTCAAGAACCCTCCATGTATTAGACTTAAAATCATAGATTTCATACTCTACCTTATAATTGCCAAACTCTAAGAAAAGCCTCAAAATTTTGTGGTGGTTGTTGTTCTTGTCGTATCCAATACCAAACATATCTGATCTACCGTAAGTGATTCTTGGTTTGATCCAACTGGTTTGGCTCGAATACGGGTTCCAAACCACGAGGCTAGTAGTAGTATTGACCTCCTTCTCCTTCGTGAGACATAACAATAAGCCATCACAACAGAAGACGTTAAATATCTTGACTTGATTAAGTTCACCAATTCGCTTTATACAAGGATCAACCAAGTCTTTGTTGTCGTTATGTACTCCATAGAGATCAACACTCATAAGACAGACCTTAAAATCATTAAGCATGATTACCATAAAATCATTAGCTGCTTTAGCACATTGCTTCTTTGTAAAGTTCGGATCTTTGGATAAAACGTTCCATTGTTTGCAAGTAGATTTCACAGCTCTTAGAGATGATATAGGAACCTTAGAGAGTATCTCCTCTACCAAACTCTTCGAAAGATCAGACATCATCGTCATTGTTTCAAGGCTGTATAATAGAAAACCCTAGTTTTCTAACTTTCATGCTTGCCCACTCTTTAAATATTTTAGTCAAATACGGTAGTTAGGAACTTAGGATACGTGTTTATTTTTAAAAATTTGTTGATAAATAAAAATTCTAACTCTAACTAGGATTTTAGATATATAAGAAAGCAAAAAAAAAAAAAAAAAAAAAAAAAAAAGGAAAGACTTTTGCTAAAAAATGTAAATTTTCGTATATTCCAAAACAGAGCAAAGCACATCACAAAGATCTTTACAGTAATCCATATCATCATCAATATGGATCTTTAAAAGTTGAGATGAACCAAAACGGTTGATAAGATTAATATTCATCTTCAACAATGCATTGGCTTCTTTCTTTGGAGGTATTAGTCGAGTTCTACAATTAAGTCACAGATGTCATGTAGTAAATACTACCAATAGAATATAGAACAATCACAATAAAGAAGGTTCATATACATTTTAATGACCTTTTTATACATGGACCTGTAATTTAAGGTCGATTATTACGATACAAAGTTTAAATAGAGAGAAAGCATACAACAATACATATATATATATATAGTACAATCTTTATTACATTCAAGGCTGGACATATAAAATTGACTTATTTTGCGATGAACTTAGAGAACCATTTTCCAGAAGCTTTTTCTTTGCGATCAGCAGGATTAGTGAAGTTGACCCAATTCATTCCAAACCGGAGAGTGTAACCATTTCCAAATTCGTAATTGTCCATCAATGACCATGCAAAATATCCTGCTACGTTGCATCCATCCCTATAACAATTCCAAAAGTAGTTCAGTTTGGTGTATATATTAACATTAACATTTTTATAGTTCTCCTGATTGAGGAAAGTATATATATCAAATAAAATATGAATTATATATAGCTCACTCGATGGCGCATTTGAGACAAGAAAGATGGCTGCAATGGTTTTGAATTCGTCCATTATCGGCAAGAGCAACCGGAAGTGTTACGTTACCAAGATCAAGATCAGCAACTCCTGAAAATTTAACATAAGAATGTTTATCACACTACAATAAAAAGTTCATATTATTACTATTATAACAGTCACAATATACAAATATTTCGTCACAAATTTTTTATTGTGACGAAAATGATACGATTTCCTCTATGTCACAATAAAATCGTCACAAATTCATCTAAGTCTCAAAATAGTCACAATTTTTTGTTACTGTATTTAATGGTAACAATCCGTTACGAATTGTGACGACATTAAAAAGGTCACAACACAGACACAATTTGTGACAAATAATGCTGTCACAAATACGTCACAATTTGATTTTTTTTTTTCTTAATAAATCAATAAATATTTAGTCATTAACCGTTTCCCATATTTTTTTAAATAATTCCTAATCACACGCTTTAGAAAAAAATAAAATATAAAATAAAAGATTAAAGATTCAAATTAAAATGATGATATATAGATAACAAACTAAATATTGTTCAAAGAAAAAAGAAAAAAAAAACTAAATATTCAACAACGACGACAATCTATGAACACAAATTAAAATAAATACAACTTAATTAAAACAGCGCCCTTCTTGAGTCGATCTGAAGACTGTGATGGTGGTGATGGAGATAAACCGCTTCCACCGTTGTAATGATGATTCGATAGAGACCATGAAAATGACGAAGCGGAAATATCATTACTCGTCGGAGGAAGGATCTTCAATGAAGACGGTGCTCCTAAACCTCCGTTATCGTCGCCACCGTCGTCTAGATTGCCATGAACCATCGTTAACCTTTCTCCTCTTATTCCGGCTATTTAACCGATCTCTCTCCTTGTCTCATTTCTTTCCATCTCTCTGTATATATCACGTTCTCGATCTCAATCCTTCTTATTACTCCCTCATCAATCTCTCAACATCGTCGCCTCTGGTAACTCCACTGGACCTTCCTCCTCTGGAAAAAAAAAACATCAAAATGAAACGGTCTCTCCCAGATCTGAAGAGATCATCTCAAAAGCGAAATGAATGATAAAAAAAAACATGGAGAATCTTTGAAACCTTTGGCTCTATCCATCTTCTCCTTCCTTTGTTTCTCTTTAGCTCTCTCTCCTCTTCCTTCTTCTTCTCCTTAAACTTAAGTTACATTACGTAACTCTCTTTCTCACTCTTATTATCTCTCTCAACTTGATTCCCATGATCTCCTAAATATCCGTTTTTACTCATAAAAGGCAGTAACGAATTAATCCACGGCTCATATCTTCCTGCCATAAAACACTCTATCAATCTTCACCGTCGGGGTGAATACATTCAACGGTCATGATCCGTAAATAAGAGATCTCACATATATATAAAAGGAAAAAAAACCGATATTTCCTTTTCTAAAAGAAATTCAGTTCTTTTCTTTTCCTTCCAAAACTGAAAATAATTTCTTATTTAGTTTAAATTTATATGTTTTATTATAGTCACAAAATGGTAATCATTTTGTCCCAGTTTATAACTAAATGAAAATATAACTAAAGAAGGTGACTAATTGTGACAACATCGTTACAACACATTTGTAACTACAAATGACGTAAATTTAGTCACAAAATTGCATAATTTAGTTACTATATTTTGGTTACAAAACCGTACGTATAATTGTGACTATATATTTTGTTACAGATTCCACATAATTTGTGACCAAAATTAGTAACTTTTAGTTTCGTATCAATATTATAACCAAATAGTAACGTATTTATGACTAATTTATTATGTCACAGTTTAGTATGTAGATGGTAACAATATTGTGACCGAACAAACTGTCACATTTTGTAAGTCACAATATGCCCTTTTTTTTGTAGTGTCATAAACACATTATATTGTTTTTTCATTGATTATATGCAACATGAAATGATATATTGTTCAATCTCGGAGTTAATTTACTTATCGAAAATTTTTCAGTTTTTTCACATTAAATCATGTGATGCACTCGTTGTAAAAACGTTAATTTTTTCCTTGAATATAATTTAACATTAAATTAAAAAATGATATATTACCGTTTTCAGTGATGTAGGTAAGGGGATTTTTGTAGTTGTCTTTGATATAGTTTAGAATATGACGGAACCCTGGAGGATAGTAGACGAAGCTAGGAGCCTGCATGTGGAAGAAAAATTCATATCAATGTTGCAATCTTTTGAATATGAGAAATTGAAAACGGTTTTTCAAAAAATTTAAAAGTCATATACTTACCACAACACCGATAGGAATTCCATTGCGATAAACTGAAAAACCAAGTAAATTAAAGGAATGATTAGTCTTGATAATAAAAGATAAGCAAGAATTACAAAAAAAAAGTTTTGTTTTACAGACATCCAAGAGTAACTCGTGGATCGGTTATGGCACTAGGTTCTGTCGGAGGAGGTGCATCGGTTGCATATTGAGTAACGTAATAGTTCAACCCTAGAAAATCAAGTGATCCTTTAACTAAAGCTGACTCGTGAGGTGTGAATGTTGGTAATCTATCTCCTACCATCTCTCTCATTATCTTTGGATATTCACCGTACACCAATGGATCCATGAACCTAATTCATATAGGCAAGAATGTTTTTAATATTTGATACAAAAACTGTTTATTACTACAACTTTATATATTTATGTGTGTATTTATATGTGTGTATGAGTTTACCATCCAACGAAAAAATCGAATGCTCGTTTCGCAGCAGCCTTGTCGAGATTGCTATTTTCGTCTAGTGGAGTGAACCATCTCCCGATCAAGGTTGTTCCTATCTTACCACCTTGAAATTTCTGCATGAATAATTTTAGGTTATGTATCAGTATCACCAATACACCACATGAAAGTATAACCAACGCTTAAATAAATTTATGAGAGATTTCGTTGACAATGTATATAATACCTGATATCTTTTTCGGTATAAAGATACAGCTTGTGCATGAGCTAAAAGTTGGTGATGTGCAACTATATAAGGTTCAGTTCCAGAATCTCCTCCAAATTCACAGTCAGTGCACCTTCCTGGTGGATATGATCCATCTCCATAACCTTTGGTTGCGAGAGAGAAAGGCTGATTTAAAGTGATCCAAAATTTGACTCTGTCTCCAAATCTTTGGAATAGAAGCTCAGCGTAGTTTGTGTAATCCTCCCTATTCATGTATGATTTACATATTAGACATACATTGATCTGATAGGGATGTAACATAAACCTAAACCAAAGAAAAGCAAGTTTAGAATCGAAATCGACTGTTAATGCACTTACACTATACGTGGGCTTAAGAAGCCACCATATTCGTCTTCTAACGTCTGGGGAACATCCCAATGAAATATAGTCACATATGGTTCTATGCCTGTATTCAAAAATAATATAATACAATGATTAATATATTTTTGATTAACAAGTAGTTAACTATTTCGAATCATTTATACCATTTGCTTTCAACTCGTTGATGAGATTGTTGTAGTATGTGATCCCATTCTCGTCCACTCCTCCAATAAGTCTTCCCTCTAAAATTAGTTTATATAGTCACAAAGTTCATGAGTCGTTAATTATATTGGATGTAAATATAACTTAGATGGGAGATGTGTTTTTATGGGTTTAATTTGTGTATTTACTTGGTAAGACCCTTGACCATGCTATTGAGAGTCGGTATGCTTGAACATTCATTCTTTTCAGTAGTTTGACATCATCCTGTTCAAGATTATATATGAAAGTTCTAAAGTTAAAACTAAAATATTGAACAAATCTATCATTATAGAGACACATTTTTCATTTAATAGCCTTTCTCACCTTGTAAAGATCATACGAATCACAAGCAAGATCTCCTGAACTGCGATCTGGAACTTTTTCTGTATAATATAACAAACCAACATATGATGAGCATGCATGATACTTCTTTTTAACATTTTATACATTGTATCATATATACATCAAGGTGCATGCAAATAAATAATATGGTATACAATGTTTATGATCACCTGGATATCTATGAGTGAAATAGTCCCATCCGTTAAGTGCTCTATGTGCAGCACCTTCAATCTGGTATGCAGAAGTAGCTGCACCAAAAGTGAAATTCTTGGGGAAGCTGGTTCGGTTGAATGCAACAGTTTTGTCGCAGTGGAAGGGTTCTTTGGCCTTGCATTCTGGATTGCAGACTTTTTGGCTACTCGAAACGGCAAAGAGCACGACAAGAATGGCTAAAGAGTAGTGAGCTTTTGGAATTGCCATGGTTACTTGAGCTATATATGTTTAAGGTTTGTATTTGCTTTGTTTTGATGATGATTAAACGATGAACTTGGAGGGGTTTTATATACAAAGGGTTTGAGTGCATGGGAACTTGCATGGAGAATCAAGTAAACTGGTTACGTACATTTTGCAATATTGAAATTTGATCCTCCATGTTCTCAACCTCGCTGTCTTAATTTGTTTTCTAATAAATGACATTAGAGACTTCAAGTTTTATTAGGACGTCCATAGTCTACATGTCTACGTGAGAATATATGTTCCTTAACCATATAATTTATATATTCAATTGATTGATTTAGTCAGTGCATGTTATATACGATTCAACTAAAATGAGTTTTAAATTGTTGCATGTGAATTAAGTTCTCATACCAGCGTACATTATGGTCGTTTATTTATATTACTCGTGAAAGCAGCAACATTCGTTCCATAAGCAATTCATGACCTGTCTCATTGATTAGTATGCAACTATTAATTAACGTATTTGTAAAAACGACATCAACCAATAGGCAATAATAATAAAAAAATCATCCGGAAAAAATATTCAACTTATACAAAATTACGTCACCTAAATCAATATATAATAGCAAACCTATTTTTTGTGATATCATATTTTTAATCCAAAGTTTGAAAAAGAGCAAGTGTGCTAGTGATCATCTCTATATTGTCTTATCATTAATATCATTCTCAAAGAAAGGCGTATTATTTGTAACGTTGACAAAAAAAAAAATCTAACGCATAAAAATATAATTTTTTCTTAATATTTCGGTTATTAACAATTTTTCCTCGTAATTAGACACAGCTTGTAATGCGAATTTTTACTACTTCAAAAATTTGTCGTACAGCAAAATTTTGATTTTGCATTAACATTACTACAAAATTTTAATATTGCGTTAACATACCTACTATATTTTTCATATGTGTTAGAAGATATATTAATTAAGATAATTCTCATTAATCATTAATTAGGGTTTATACTAGAAGATCGCGTTGTACTTTGATATCCCTATGGAGCTGAAGTTGGCGTGATTAGCAATCTAGGGTTTTAACTAGAGAATGACATCCGCCATGAAGAAAGAGCAGCAAAACGTCTCGGAGGAGGATCTTGTTGCCGTCACCGAACGCAATACAAGACTCAAGACCGGAGTGGTGGTGTCTATGGAAGCTGCAAAAGTATTAGTTTTGGGGTTCTAGAAGATGCTGAAAAGCATGAGTGGTCGGAGCATAAATATGTATTACCCGCTTTGTGGAAGAATATCGTTGGAGGGGAAGACGCAATGCTACGCGTTGTTGGAGTGACTCAGACAAGCGATATTGTTTTGTCATTTTCCTATCTATACACGCCTCCTATGTACGTTTTCTACTACAATACCGAGACGAACGAAATCAGAAGAGTCGAAATACAAGGATTGGAATCGTTTAAGGGTCATACCATTTACACCTTTCTAGACCATGTAGAGGATGTCAATGTGATGCATATGGAAGGGTTTTCATCATGCCTTTTATAAAATCTGAGACTTTTTTTTTTGTAACAAAGCTAGTTTGGCCCTTCCTCTCATCAAATGTTCAGTTTTTTTAGTGATTTTCTTTTACCCATAATATATTCATTCCCTGCAAAATATGTCTGTTTCTTAGGAGGCTTAAAGCTATTCATCACATTACCACAAAAGCTGTTTGTTTCTTAGGAGGATTATAAGGTCGTAATTTATTGCATTTGTCTTGTTTGTAACATAGACATTACACAGAAAGAGTAACATTTCATAATAATTAAAGGTAACAATCTCTCTGTTTTATTTATGAATACAAGAGAGATTGTGAGTTTGTGATATATATATATAGAATAGGTTTGAGCCATAAGCATGATCACCTCACAGCTCAATTCTTTTTTCCTTTGCCAGATGTGCGTCCCTTGGCAGTGGAACCGGAAGCTGCTGAACCATTTCCACCTGCAGCAGCACCTCTACGATCGGCTGCACCTGCTGCACCGCCTTGAGCGTTCGAACCACTGGAAGAAGAAACCTCTGACTTGGGACGATCTGCAGAGACATTTCCGCTGGTACCTGTGGAGCCACTTCCATCTGCAAAGGCGTTAGGACCTTTGCGGCTCCTAGTTACGCTAACATATCCACTGGACACTGAGTAGCTTGTAGTTCCCGCCTGAGCAGAAAGCTCAGCTCCAATGCCTTTTGTAGCAGTTTTGGGAGTAGAGGTTCCTAATTTGGACTCTTTGGACACCGCCCTTGCGCTGACATTAACACACAAAGCGCCAATCACGAGAAGCACAGCAAACTTTATGGTATTCATCTTTTGGTTTTGATTTATCTTTTAGATTGAATTGTATATATTTCTGGTGAGTTGTGTTGTGCTCTTCTTCCCAAAACCATGGCCTCTATTTATACACACATAGACTATATATACAGTACTTGTATTTATTAGGATACATGATCATTTCTTACAAGAAATATACATTTGCTTAAATGCATTAGTAACATTGCAACTACTAGTATACCAAGATGTTAACATGATGATACTATACGAATATCAATTGCAATTTTCATCTAACCACCTAGTATAATGAATAGATAGTGATATTCAGATTAATACTAGCTATACTATTATTGTCATTTGTTATTAAAACTTGAAAGCGAATCTACTATTTTGAACTAATAATTCATTTTACAACTTTCTGATTCGAGTTACATCAATCCACCTACTACAAGAAAGTTGCTCACAGCGCCATATCGGTTAAAATCATTGTTCCGTTTAGGCCTATCTAGACCATGTAGAGGATGTCATTGTGAAGCTTATGGAAGGGTTTTAGTCATGACTTTAATAACTATTTGAATCTTTTTGTAACAAAGGCTAATTTGACCCTTACTCTACTCACATCAATATTGATGTGAAATGAATAATAGTGTATATACTTATATTATTTGAACTCGAAATCAAACCTCTTAAGGCCTCAAAATACTTACTATCAATGCAAAAGGACCAATTCTATTTTCCAACTTCTGACTTTTAGTGTAGAGGACCAATTGTATTACTATTAACGTTGGAGCTGCTCTAAAGTCTGATGATATCCATGGGAGCTGCGCAAGTATTAGGTTGAGAGTTCTAGAAAATGCCAAAAAGCATGAATGGTCGGAGTATATATATGTATTGCCCATTTTGTGGAAGAATATTGTTGCAGTGGGATATACAAATTTACACGTTCTTGGAGTGACTCGGACAAAATGAAATTGTCTTGTCTTTGTTCTATCAATCTGTGCCTCTCTACGTTCTTTATTAATACAGAGTAAAAACACAATCGAAAGAGTTGACATCCGAGGAATGGAATCGCTAAAGGGTGGTTAGGTACAAGTTTACACCTTTCAAGACCATGTTGAGGAGGTGAATTTGAAGATTATGGAAGTGTTTTAATCATTAGTACTTTTTTAAGTTTCAAAGTTTTGTAACAGAGCTAGTTTGATTCTCATAAAATTTTCAATGTCAATGCAAAGAACCGAATTCATTTTCCAACTTCTGCCTCTCAATCTAGAGGCAGTTAAGAAATGCCTATTTTGTAACCTGAAAGCAACATTTTTCTTTAACAATCCACCAATTACAAGAAAGGTTTCAACGACGACCATTAAAATTTTCAGTTAGGATCCACTTTGCTTCCAGCTAAAGCTTCTTAATTGAAACTACAAATCTATTACGGACAGTAGAGACCATGTAAGCCACAATTCAGCACAATAGAATCCAAAAGAGCAGTGAAAAATTAACTCACAGGCATACACACGCAAGTATAGATATGGTAACGAAAAGTATTGAACCTGACACTGACTCTCTCAGCAGCTTGTAACAAGAACTAAAGTGCCAATCTCTTCATACAATATTTTAGAAATATCATGAAATTACTTATCCCATAGCTGCGTTCTGTTTTCAGTACTAATGTTAGTGGAACACAATGACTTGGAAAAAGGTTAACAGGTTGGATCCAGGTCAAACTGGGGTTTCATAGAAACATCAAAAATATTCATTGACAATTGTAAATAAGAACAAACCTTGGCATTTCTCATTGTTGTAGATGTGGCTTCTGAATTCTGATCTATGAAACACGACCTTTGTTGAAGATAGCCATCAGCACAGGCACCAGCTCGTTGTGTTTCATCACATATCTCTGTAAAAATAGTTCATCGGTGCATGACAAAACAGAGGATCCTGAAGGTAGTTTACTTCCCTTTCTGAGTAGTCCTTTCGACAAGAGAGCTTTCAGGACATTGCACCTTGGTATAATCCTCTTCTCCATGCTGTATCCAAACGCCTGAGGGTGCAAAACCAAGGAATTAAGTTGCCAATTCATCTCCTTCACAAGAAACTCATTCTTTCTTTTAACCGACTCTAGAGAATATTCAATGCAAGGAGGATAACGCTTGACCATCATCAGAAACTCAGCTCTGCTAAATCCTAGGCCTAGAAATGTTTCAAAAGAGTTCAATATCTTCTTCTTCGAGACTTTCAAAACCGTAGGAGTCTTCTTGAAAATTTCCCATATATCATCCACGGTAAATCCTACACTTCTATAGACTTCAACTTTTTCTTCAATCGTTTTCTCGCTCATTTGGTAAAGCATGCGCAAAGCCACAACAAACTTAGAAGTAGTTGGATCAAAACCCAACTCAACAACCTTCTTGAGGGATGCATCAAAATTTTCTTTTCCACACACGGGCTGCGATTTGGAGACGAGCAAATGTAATAACAACCGCTGAGGCATGCCCAAACCTCTCAAAACCGATACATTTCGGATTTTATTCCCCTGATGACCCTGTGGGAATTCATAATTAGAACTTTGATCAGCTACTATAATGTCTTTGACAGAATCATAGTATACACTGATAGATTTCTTTCCTAAGATTCTGGGAACTGTAGAAATAATCTGAGTGAACTCAGAGCTTGAAGCTCCTCTGGACTTTAGAGACTTAAGCTTGGGACCAAGTGAATTCTCAGCATCTACCATAAGCAATTCTGGATAGTCTGTAATGATGCATGAGATCTGAGAATCTATGAACCCATGACTTCTAAAAAGACTCAGAACTGAATCCGGATTTGCCTTGTCCGTGAAATTAACTTTCCTTGAGATCGATTCTGCGAGCTTTTTAGACAAACCCAATGAACTAACGAGGTAAGAGACAGTAAAGTTCTTGCCTTTTCGACCATCTCTTGAGCTCCTACTAGGAGCATTAGCAGAGGAGGAGTAGGAATTGAAAAAAGCAGATTCCTTTTGCACTACAAATCCCAAATTACGCCATTTGTGTAACACAGGAGACCTTCTTCCATTAAGTAACAGAGAGTTCATGACCATTAGAATCACTCAACCGATCAGTGACTCGTCGAGCGCCGGCAGAGACTAATGAGTGTGCAGCTTCTCAAGAATCACAAAAATAGGGTTTATGATGAGGAAACAAATTGTGGTGAGTTAGTGTCATATAATTACACTATTTTTTTTTTCTTTTTTTGAGTACGATATCAAGGACCAGTATGAGCCAAAACTTTTAACTTGTATAAGGCAAAGAACTTGTATATGAGTCAAAGATTCAAACTTTTAACTTGTATGAGGTAAAGATTTAAACTTTTTAACTTGTATGAGTGAAAGATCCAAACTTTTCATCATGGTTTTGCTGAGGGGTTGATTCAATCTCTCTACCCATATGGCCATAAGCCTATAAGGAGATTGTTATAGTTTGTTTATTACGTTTATATAAAAGGTTTCTGGTCAAGAATTACAAAAGTTCATAGATTCTGATAGCAAATTTCAAAGAAACAGGGAAGGGGACTGCAAAAAATGGAGCTTGGGATCAAGTGACTTCTCACTTCTCAGCATCTGCTATAAGCAATGGTGGATACTTTGTAATGATACTGGAGATTTGAGAATCTGTGAACCTATTACTACTTCTACAAGGATTCAGAACTGAATCAGCATTTCCCTTGTCCTCGAACCTGACTTTCCGTGAGATTGATTCTGCAAGCTTTGTAGTAAAACCGAATGAACCAACGAGGTAAGAGACTGTACGAACTAGAAACCTTCCCTTTTCGACCATTTTGAAGGCTCACAACAGCAGCAGAACTAGCAACGGAAGAGAAGGAATTGGACAAAGCAGTTTCCTTTTGCTCAAAAAAGCTCAAATGACGCAATTTCTGAGATTCGACCAACCTTCATCCTGGAGAATCAAAGAAGAATACATGACAAAGACAAGGCAATGCGATTAACAAACCGCAAAAAGGAGCATATGAAAAGGAAAAACAAAATTGGGGTTTATGATGCTTCTACCAATATACCCTAATGAATTGACAAATTTTGTCATCTTTGTCATCATATATCAATAAGAGAGTTCAAAACAATGATGACTAGTGAAGAGTGTGTGAAGTTTTGAATAACCAAGCAACCAGAGCACTGGCTAAGTCGGGACAGTGAATTATATATCCTGTCAATGTCAGTCAAGCAACAACATAAACTTATTCACTCCCTCTTAAGACTATATTATACCAAAAAAAAATACTGAGTGCTAACAAAGGTCTCTGGAAAAATAACATATTAAGAAATTCGCAATTGCAGGACAGACCAAACTTACCATTAATCTGGCTCTAAGAAGTAAAGTAAAAGGCCTTCCATTTATCCATGGCAAAGCTTTGATTTTTGGTTCCTTCCCAGCGGCAGCTTTTGCTAATTGCACCTCCTTTACCTATTTTAGAATACCAAGAGACTTAGAGATCACTCTAACAAAATAAGTTCATCAATGAGAATATGTGACAGTATAAGAAACTCTGTACAAAGTTCAATAAGAACACCTTTAAAACCCTACATATAGCCACAGGAACTGAGCTTTCTATTGCAATGTAGCTTGGCTTTATATCTTTACCCTTAAAACTGAGCTCGCTTCTCTTCTGAGCTTCCTACTTTGCTTGTGCTGTCTCAGTATTCTCCTCGGCTAGCTTCTCTTGTGGTTTACGTTTCACTTCTGGAAGGAAGTTATCAAAGTCAAACATAGCCAAACCATCTTCCGAGGCCTATACACTTTTCTCATTGAAGATACACAGCTACTACTCCAGATTTTCATATTTTAGCTTCATTGCGACTCGAGTCATCTTCAGATCACTTATGTTCCAGTTTGATTCACTAGAATCTCACATTCTGAATCATATACTCATAAGAATCAGTACTACTAACCAAGCAGGCCCAGATTAACTTGAGTCTGGTTAGTTACTCTATTGGACTAAATTTATGATCACCAACCAATGTATGCACACCAGACTACATCTGATAACTTTCATAACCAAATGTGATCCTACATAATTCAAGTACACAACCAAATAGGTCTCTTTAATGCTTTTCTGGATTCATCACTGAAAAAAAGAGACGAGGATCACAAATTAAAGAAAGGTACTCTGAGACTTTGTTCTGCACCAAGAGATTCACTCTCACGTTCCTATCCTGCTATCAAGAACGAACAAACAGAGACTCAATTTCCAAAAGTATTAGCTAAAAGTGTTAGCTAAGTCCAAGTTTAAGGTGAAAACTGATACGGGACTGAATCCTGAATCATTCAAAGATGGAATAAACTTAACCTAGTCATACCATGGTATACTTGTACATTGCTATTTTCAAGGAACCCATATCTCATACGTCTAAAACACAATAAGACCAAGAAAAGGAAAAGTTAGTTCTGAGAGATATAGCTCTAGAGCCCAGTCGTATTTAGTAAAAAATGTAAAACACAGATATTAGATTTTACCAACTTGGACTGGATGATAATCTGATTTATGAGTCCTAATGTAGGATAGCTTTCTAGTGCCCCTGACTATATTCAAGACAATGTACCATAAAGCTCAGAGAAAACAAGTATGAAACAACATAGCAACAAAAGACTAAGATCACCGATCTGAAAATAAAAACATTCCACTAATCAGATGAATCATCTGGTCAAAGAATATCTATAGCAACGGCAGAGCATATATGACCAATCCACGAGCCAATAATATATACAGCAAAGACTTTAAAGTATCATAAGAGGGTTTTGGTATCACTAGCTATGATTTTTGTACTTCAATCTCAAAACTCTAACAAATAAAGCGAAAGTAAGCTTATCAGGAAACCAAAAACTAAAGAAAATTCTGGAAACTAACTGCCGTAGTAATATATCAAAAAAGAGATGGGGAATTACATTTAGAGAAAAACGGTTGGACCGGGATCAAATTGATATTTAAAAAGTCTAAAATTGAGGTTTTAAGATATTCAAAAATAGAACCAGAATCCTTGACATGCCTTGTGATCTATGAAGTACGATAGATAGTCATCAATTCAGTCACCAGCTGCTTGTCCTCGTGCTTCTTCACATATCTGTTCAAGAACACCTGATTGGTACATATGAAGACATACGATATCGAAGGGAGCTCATTCCCGATCAATCCTTTGGGCATGAGAGCGTTGATTACGTTAGACCTTGGTACAATCCTCTTCTCCATGCTGTATCCAAGTACCGCAGGGTTTGAAACCAGAGCCTTTAGAGGCCAATTCATCTTCTTGACTAGAAACTCGGTCTTCTTTTTAACCGTCTCTGCGGATAATCCAATGCCCTGAGGAAAGCGCTTAACCAACATCACAAACTCACCTCTGCTAAATCCTAGGCCTAGATATGTTTCAACGGTGTTCAATATCTTCTTCTCAGAGTGTGTCAGAAAGTTTGGCCACTTCTTGAACACTGCCCATACATCTCCCACATCAAAGCCTAACATACTATAAGCATTGATTTTCTCATCTATTGTTTTGTCGCTCAATCCTTGAACAATGGTTAGAGCTTCAACAAACTTTGCAGAGGTAGGATTAAAACCCATCTCAACAACTTTCTTGAGGGATTCTTCAAATTTTTCTTTACCAAAGACAGGTCCGTCACCAGAGATGAGCAAGCGGAATAACAACTTCCGAGGCATTCCCAACTCTCTCAAAACCGATACGTTTCTGATCTTGTTCTCCAGATTACCCTGTGGAAAAGAATGACATGAATTCTCGCTCTTGGAACTCGTATAATGTAAAGTGTCTTTGATGAAATCATAGTACACACTGATAGTTTTCTGCCCTCTCTTGCCCAAGATTCTCGGAACTGAAGAAACAACCTCAGTGACCTCAGAGCTTGAACCTCCTCTAGACTGCAAAAACTGAAGCTTTGGACCAAGTGATTTCTTAACATCAGCTATAAGCAATCGTGGATAACTCGTAACAATGGTGGAGATCTGAGAATCTGTAAACCCATGCCTTCTCAAAAGTTTCAGAACAGAATCAGGATTCGACTTGTTCTCGAAGCTGACTTTTTTCGAAATCGACTCTGCCACTTTCTTAGGTAAACCCAATGAACCAACGAGGTAAGAGACTGTAAAGTTCTTTCCTTTTCGACCAACACTAACAAGACTCGCATCATCAGCAGCAACACTAGCAGTAGCAGTAGCAGAGGAGAACAAATTAGAAAAAGCAAATGCATTACTTTGCAAAACAAATCTCAGATTACGCAATTTCTGCAACTCACCAAACCTTTTCCCATGGAGAATCAGAGAATACATAACAAAACAAAAGGCAATATACCCGGAGAAGGAGCGGAGGAAGAAGATACCAACAGATGCTACAGTGTTGAGAGAGATTCCGACCCAACTCTCTCTTTCAATTCGAGAAGTTGAATTACAGCATAAAGTCGCAAACTTTCTCCGAAATTACGAAACTTGTGGGAGAAAAAGAATCAAAATTTCGGAATTTTATGATACTCCCCTACAAACCTTGGGTGGTTGATTTAGGAATCCTGGTTTAGCTTTTATTTTCAAAGGTTTGTGTAGCTGTTGGGATTCGAACCATGGTCTTACCACTTAGCTACAGCTTGAAATAAATTTGGTACCTTTGTCATACATTAGTAAACCCATACTTGCTTACTTCAAACCTAATTGCGGCTCAAGTCATCTTAAGTTTGGCTTAGATCTCAAAGCTTTATAAGAGTCATGAACAACGTATCTCATTATGATCAACGGATCCATTTTGCAATGAAGTCCAAAATTAACAATCTAAGAATACAAGCTACAGCTATTTTTTATATTGAATTCTTGAAACCTTATTTCGAACATTAATGCTATTCTTCAGCAACACAAGATTCACTGATTCACCAACCACAAGCCTTCTTGACCGGTGATGAAGATAGCCATCAAATCAGCCACAAGGTCTTTGTCATCGTGCTTCCTCATATTCTTTGGAGATGAGAGCTTCAATTACATTACACTTGGTAGAATCCTCTTCTTCATGATCTATCCAAGTACCCCATGACTTGAAACCAGAGCCTTGAAAAAAAAAAATTTAAAAATATGAATTGATCGGAAGATCAGGACTTCACAAGTGCATCACTAGTAGCATAAGATAATAGAAAAGCTTCACTCGTCAAACCTTAAAATTGGCCACAAAAGCTCAAAATTTGGTTCTTTATCACCAACACGAAAAATAAAAAATTTCTAAGTTGAAGACAACAAGACATGAGAGGCCCTTCTCAGTCTCAATAAAGCGAAAGATGTAGTTGTTTCCACCCACATGAACTCTTTCATACTCATTGAGAGTGAAAAGACCCATCAAGTCTGGTTATCTTAAGAGCATTCATATAATAAATAGAAGCAAAAGTAAAAAGGAGTTCTCCAATGAGTAAAATTTCAAAATTATCCACAAAAGCTCAAAATTTTGTTTCCTATCACCTACACAACTAACCATAAGATGTGATTGTTGCACCCACAATACCAAGCGCACGGGTAAAGTTCTTCGATTGTCATGTATGGCTGTTGAACTTGTCTTATGGATTAGAAGCCAATGCGCTTGGTATTGTGGGTGGAAACAACTCACAATTATGAACTCATCTTTCCCATCGAGAGTGAGAATGATATAGTATGTCTACTTGTCTTAAGAGCTTTATATAGGAATCTCTCAAGTAGGAACTCTTTATAAATATAATAATAAACATGCTTAAGCAAAAGTAAAAGAGAAAAAGAGAAACGTGTCCAGAATAAGTAACGTTTTGTTTATGAAATTGTAACGTTTCTGACACGAGAAACGTCTATGAAGTTCAGTTCACAATTGTAATTATTTAAATGAGTACGTTTAGAAGATTCAGTTCACATTTATCATTCAACTATTAGTTTAATATTAAAATAGTAAAAATAAACATAAGCAAAAGTAAAAGAGAAAAAGAGAAACGTATATGGAATGAGTAAAGTTTTGTTGTAACGATCCTGACAAGAGAAACGTTTATGGAGTTCGATTCACATTTATAGTTTCTTAAATGAGTAACGTTTAGAAGATTCAGTTCACATTTATCATTCAACTATCAGTTCAATATTAAAATAGCAAAAATAAACATAAGCAAACTAAAGTAAAAGAGAAAGAGAGAAACGTATCTGGAATGAGTAACAATTTGTCTCTGAAATGCTAACGGCTATGAACGAGAAACGTTTATGAAGTTCAATTCACATTTGTAATTTTTTTAATGAGTAACGTTTTGAAGATTCTGTTCACATTTATCATTCAACTATTAGTTCAATTATTAAATAACAATAAACATAAGCAAAAGTAAAAGAGAGAAAGAGAAACATATCTAGAATGCATGAGTAATGTTTCGTCTCTGACATGGTAACGCTTATGACACGAGAAACATATATGAAGTTTAATTAACAGTTGTAATTTTCTGAAATGTGTAACGTTTATGAGATTCAGCTCACATTTGTCATTCAACTATTAGTTCAATTATTAAAATAATAAATAAACATAACCAAAAGTAATAAAAAAAAAAAAAAAAAAAAAAAAAAAAGAGAAACGTATTTGGAATGAGTAACGTTTCATTTCTAAAACGAGAAACATTTATGAAGTTCAATTCAAATTTGTGATTTTAAGAAACGAGTAACGTTAATGAGATTCAATTCACATTTGTCATTCAACTATTAGTTCAAATCAATTACTTTTATGTAACAATCCGTCCAGTGGGATCATCCGCCATGTACCACACCCCGCCACATGGTATCCTTACAGCGTTGCAGCGCATCGACCCTAAGCTCTATCATGTGGGCCCAAACTGCGCAGCCCACTGCTCGCAGCCTCCTGACCCACCAAGTAGGTTATTGGTGCGCTTTGCGTTCTTCGAACCCAGGTCATCACCATTTAACAACCTTCCCACCGGACAAGCTGTTACCAACTGATCACCGACTCATAACGTTACTCATTTAAGAAAATGACAAGTGTGACTTTAACGTTTCTCATTTCAGAAATGTTATTCATTTCAGAAAATTACAAATGCTCATTAAATTTTATAAACGTTTCTCGTTTTAGAAACGTTAGTCATTTCAGTAATGTTTCGATGATTCCAATAACGTTTCTCTTTTACCTTTGCTTATGCTTATTATTATTTTAATAAGAATTTCTTTTTCAAAAATCTCTATAAATGCTCTAAGACAATAGGCCCTTCTCACACTCCATCAGAACAATTATTCCAAAGTTGTGGTTGTCCAGTCACAATACCAAGTGCATTGGTTTAGTCATCTACAAAACAGCTAGAAATGAAGATCAAAGATCTTTGCCAATGTGCTTTGTATTGTAAGTGCAATAATCACGCTTAGGATTTGTCGTCTCGGGGAACCAAATTTTGGATATTTGTCTATCTCTTACATTCTCAGACGGGATGATGCTTCCAAAGAACTCAAGAGCTGCAATGCATCATTCAAATCCATAGCTGAATTTAAATCATGGTAAGCACGTACTGAATCAAACACTTGATGATCCAAATCTCAGTGATCAAAATGGGGAAGCAGGGTTCTGATGGAAGAGAACACATTTTTACAGAGGAACCAAAATTCTCACCAACAGAATTGAAAAAGGAACGTTTTTAGTGTTTTTTAGTTACTAATTAAACTTCAACCCACAAGAATCTTCTAATCTGTCCTACACATCTAGGCTACAAACCTCAGAAATATATCGAAAAAGCATAAAGAGGGAAAGGATTCAGTGCCTTATGATCTATGAAGCAAGATAGATAGCCATCAACTGATCAACCAGCTGCTTATCCTCGTGCTTCTTCACATACCGTCTTAAGAACTCCTGATTGGTATATGCCAAGACGGACGACATTGGAGGGACTTTACTTCCAATCAGTCCTTTGGATATAAGAACTTTGATTACATTACATCTTGGCACAATCCTCTTCTCTAGGCTGTATCCAAGTACTGAAGGGTTTGAGACCAGAGCCTTTAGTGTCCAATTCATCTTCTTCACAAGAAAGTCAGCCTTCCTCTTCACCATCTCTGCAGATAACCCAATGCACGGAGGAAAGTTCTTAACCATCATCGCAAACTCATCTCTGCTGAATCCTAAGCCAAGAAATGTTTTTATGGAGTCCGACATCTTCTTCTCCGTCACTCTCAGAGCGACTGGACACTTCTTAAAACTTGCCCATACATCTCCCACATCAAAGCCTAACCTTTTATAGAGATTGACTTTTTCTTCGATTGTTTTCTCGCTCATCCCGTAAATAACTTGTAGAGCTTCCACAAACTTTCCGGTGGTTGGATCAAAACCCATCTCAACAACTTTCTTGAGTGTTTCTTCAAATTTTTCTTTTCCACATACAGGTTGGCGATCCGAGAGGAGCAAGGAGAATAAAGACCTATGAGGCACACCTAACTCTCTCAGAACCGAAACATTTCTGATTTTATTCTCCAGATTACCCTGTGGAAAAGAATGACATAACTTTTCATACTTAGAACTCTTATCTAGTAAAGTTTCCTTGACGAAATCATAGTATACACTAATAGTTTTGTGCCCTCTCTTTCCCAAGATTTCAGGAACTGACGAAACAATCTGAGTGAGCTCAGAGCTTGAAGCTCCTCTGGACTGCAAAAACTGAAGCTTGGGACCAAGTGATTTCTCAGCATCAGCTAAAAGCAATTTTGGATACTCCGTAATGATGGTAGAGATCTGAGAATCTGTGAACCCATGCTTTCTCAAAAGACTCAGAACAGAATCAGAATTGCCCTTTTCCTCGAAGCTAACTTTCTTTGAAATCGATTCAGCTATATTTGTAGTTAACCCCAATGACTTAACGAGGTAAGAGACTGTAAAGTTCTTTCCTTTCCCACCAACTCTAGGACTCAAATGTAAAGCAGAAGCAGAGGAGAACGAATTGAAAAAAGAAGATGCTTTTTGCAATGAAACTCTCAAGTTACGCCATTTATGCAACTCTACTGACCTTCTTCCGTGGAGTATCAGAGAATACATGACAAGCCAATGAGATTACCGAACCCAACAGAGAAGCCAATACAAAACCAACAAACAAAAGCCACAATCTTTGAAGCTATTCGACTATAATCAATCTGACTCAATCCAAGCAGATGAAATTCAAAGGCATAGAGGTTGAATAAATGTTTCTCCAAACAAAAGACTCATTCATCTTTCAAAGATTCAAATTTAGGGGGAAGAAGGAAAAAAAAAACGCTTTTTTAGGGTTTATGATATCAAATTGATTATGGCAGCAAGTTCCAATTTTTAGACTGATGGCTTGATTATGGCAGCAAATGAAACAAAAATCGAATCCAACGGTTACCAATTGTTTAAAGCATATTAATCTAACGGTTCCAATTGCTTATTTCTCTCCCTTTATCTTTGGCAAGCTTTTTAACCAATGCTTGAGTTGTTAATTGAACAACGGGAAGTGAATTGTTGTTTACAAAGGCTACAATTGCTGGTGTTGGTCTCTCAAATTCTAAAGCGTGTATCACAAAATCTGTTTGTTTTCCCACACACACATAGAATAGAAGCTCTTCTTCAACGACAAAAGATTCACAAAGAAAGATAAAATTAACAATTAGATCCTATGACTAGCCTTTCTGATCTATGTAGCACGATCTCCGGTGAAAATAGTCATCAGCTCAGCCACCAGCTCTTCGTCATCGTAGTTCCTCACAAACCTACTTAAAAAAACCTTATCGGTATCCTTCAAAACAAACCCAATTGGAGGGAGTTCACTTCCTGTTTCTCCGAGCAGTTTTTTGGACATGAGAGCTTTGATTACTTTACACCTTGGTACAATCCTTTTCTCTAGGCTATATCCAAGTACCGCAGGGTTTGAAACCACAGACTTTCGTGGCCAGTTCATCTTCTTCACCAGAAAGCCAGCCTTCTTCTTCACCATCTCTGAAGATAACCCGATGCACGGAGGAAAATGATTGACCATCTTCGCAAACTCATCTCTGCTGAACCCTAAGCCTAGAAATGTTTGAACGGAGTTCAATATGTTCTTCTCAGAGAGTGCCAGAAAGATTGGATACTTGTTGAAAATTTCCCATCCATCGAAGCCTAACCTTCTATAAAAATTGACTCTTTCTTCAATTTTTTTGTCACTCAATCCTTGAACAATGCGCAGAGCATCGACAAACTTTGCAGTGGTCGGATTAAAACCCATCTCAACAACCTTCTTAATGGATTCGTCAAACTTTTCTTTACCATGGACAGGTCCCCCATTAGAGATGAGCAAAGGGAACAACAACCTCTTAGGTACACCCAATTCTCTCAGAACCAAAACATTTCTGATTTTGTTCTCCTGCTTACTACCCTCTGGCAAAGAATGACATAACTTCTCGTACTTAGAACTCTTATCTGCTTCTATAACGACTTTGACAAAATCATAGTATCTACTTAGAGTTATCTCCCCTGTCTTCCCCAAGATTTTCGGAACTTCAGAAACAATCTCAGTGAACTCAGAGCTTGAAGCTCCTCTCGACTGCAAAAACTGAAGCTTAGGGCCAAGTGATTTCTTAGCATCAGCTGTTAGCAGTTTTGGATAATCCGTAATGATGCCAGATATCTGAGAATCTGTGAAACCATGGCTTCTAAAAAGATTCAGAACAGAATCAGCATTTCCCTTGACCTCGAAGCTAACCTTCCTTGAAATCGATTCTGAGAGCTTTCTAGTTAAACCCAATGTACCAACAAGATAAGAGACTGTAAAGTTCTGACCTTTTCGACCATCTCTTGAGCTCACATCAGCAGCAGCACGAACAGAGGAAAAGGGATTTGAAAAAGCAAACGCATTTTGCAAAAGGTTCACTGAATCTCTCAAATTACGCCATGTTTGTAACTCAATGGAACGTCGTCTTCCATGGAGTATCAAAGAATACATGATGATGAGATTAACCCACGAAGCACACACGATCGCTCAACTCTCTCACACGATTAGAATTGGAATCGCACAACTAAGAAACAAAAACGGAACAGAGAAGAAGAAGAAGAACTCTGCATTTTATCCGCCCGTTAAACCCTAAATCGCAGAAAAATCAAAACTTTGGTGAGGAAGAAGAAATCTGATGCTAACCCTTAAACCCTAATTTCATAAATTAGGATTCCTCGTTTCTCAAAGAACAAAGTTCAAAATATTACAACAAAAAAAGAAAAAAAAAGTAATACAAAGAGTCTGTGCGGCTGCTGCTATTCGAACCAGGGTCTTATCATTAAGGTACATCTTTTATTGTCATATGAAAAGTTTGAAAACAGAGATTTTCTTCAACTTGTTAACCCAAGCTTCTCAAAAATAGAGAATCCATCAGAACCCATTATTAAAAATCCATGTAACCAGAGAGGACAAGAGTTTTTATTGTAATGTAGCTTCACTTCTAAAATTAAAATCACTCAGCTCTTGATACCAAACACCTTTGAAACATTTTCCGTTTCTCCTGAGCAATAGCTGCATCCTTTAAAATACATAACTTTGTGAGTTAACTGTAGAAATATCTTAGCCTGCACTTGCAGTGCCCTGATAAATATAGCCATTTCTTACGAACCTGCGATGTTATTGGAGCTGTAACTGAGAAAGATCTTCTTACAAGGAGTAGCCAAAAGCAAAACTAGGAAGACAAAAGATCCACTAATACATTTAAAAGGGACAAAGGTCATATATTAGTTAAGGACTATGTAAAGATTGAACTAAACAACTTCTTCTCCTTGGCTGCAACCTTAACAGAATGATATAACAGGGTTTTATATTATATAAAATCTGGAATGACACTACTATCTTCGAAGACTTGCTCGTAGGATTGATCAATATATTTCAAGTTACCTGACCAACAAAGTTGCCTTGTTTCTGCATTTCGGATAAGAATGTGAATGCAAAGCAACACATATCTCCATGTTTCTAGACCGCTAAAAGAGTTCAAGGACTCAGAAAAGATTGTAACATTATTATTGGTTATCTTTCATATTGGATTGCTATTGCATATTAAAATGAGTCAAATCCACATCAAACTGAGATTACAGAAGTCAAAAGTAAAGCTCCTGTTTTTACTTCTCATTTGAGGTCAAGAGGTTCATGGACGAATCTAAACTAACACAACAATACAAACCTTAATGCTACTCATTATTGTGGGGTAAGCCTTCTGATCTATAAATATAAGCTCCACTTTTCACTTCCCATTGAAGATAGTCATCAACTCAGGCGCAAGCTTGTCGTGCTTCATCACATACCTCCTTAAAAACGCCTGATCCGTACTTGTCAAAACAGATGACATTGGAGGGGTTTCACTTCCGTCTCCCATCAGTCCTTTTGACATGAGAGTCTTGATTACATTACACCTTGGGGCAGTCCTCTTCTCCAGGCTGTATCCATATACCTGAGGGATCGAAACCAAAGCCCCTAGTGGCCAATTCATCTTCCTCACAATAAACTCAGTTTTCTTCTTCACTGTCTCGGCAGTATAGTCAATGCACTGAGGATAACGCTTGATCATCATCGCAAACTCGTCTCTAGTGAATCCTAGTCCTAAAAATGTTTCAATGGAGTTCACAATCTTCTGCTCTGAAGTACAAATGCATTTCGGATGCTTCTTCAACAATGACAGGACCTCGTGTTTGAGCAAACCGCACCCCATAAGGGTTTCAAACGCATGAGTTATCTTCTTCTCTGAGTATGACAAAAAAGAAGGCCATTTCTTGAAGATTCCCCATACATCAGCCACACCAAAGCCTAACCTTTTATAGACATTGACTTTTTCTTCTATCGTTTTCTCGCTCATTCTGTAAATAACGCGCAAGGCTTCAACAAACTTTGAGGTCTCCGGATCAAAACCCATCTCAACAACTTTCTTGAGTGACTCTTCAAATCTCTGTTTCCCACAGACAGGTTGGCTATCAGAGATGAGCAAAGGGAACAACAAACGCTGAGCCACTCCCAATTCTCTCAAAACCGAAATATTTCTGATCTTATTCTCCTTGTTACCCTGTGGAAACGAATGACATAACTTCTCGTCACTGGAACTCTTATCCGCTTCTATAATGTCTTTGACGAAATCATAGTATACACTGATACCTTTGTGCCCTCTCTTTCCCAAGATTTTAGGAACTGTGGAAACAATCTCAGTGAGCTCAGTGGTTGAAGCTCCTCTAGACTTCAAAGACTGAAGCTTTGGAGCAATAGATTTCTCAGCATCTAATATAAGCAATCGTGGATAAATAGTAACGATGCTTGAGATCTGAGACTTCGTGAACCCATAACTTCTAAGAAGACTCAGAACAGAATCAGGATTGCCCTTATCCTCGAAACTGACTTTGTTTGAGATGGATTCAGCGTGTTTTGTAGTGAAACCCAATGAGTCAACTAGGTACGAGACTGTAAAGTTGTCACCTTTATAACCATCTCTAAGGCTCGCATCAGCAGAAGCACTAGCAGAAGAGAAGAGATTGGAAAAAGCAAACGAATTTTGCAAAAGCTTCACTGAATATCTAAAATTAAGCGATCTCTGCAACTCGGATAACCTTTTTCCATGGAGAATCAGAGGATACATGATCAAAGAAATCTATTACCGAACAAAAAATTGCGAACTAAGAAATGCAACTGTTCGAAGTAGTTTGATCAAATCTACCTCTGCTTCAATCTCAAAGCTTTTCTGAACGTATCAGCGTGAGGGGAAGAAGAAAAAGACTCGCGAGTGCCGCTATAAGATCGGTGAGTGTTCAAGTTCTCCCATTTATGCCATTGTGAAACGCAAAAAATCAAATTTTGGATTTGGAACTAGTAAAACAAAAACTAGGGTTTATGAGTGAGTTACAGAGTTGTCCGAATCTAGCCCTGGACAGTGGACTTACAATTTACACGGACAACTCAGCTTGTTACAAATGTTTAAGTGAGCTTACAATTTACAAATGAATTAAATCTGAAGATTGAACATATGAAATAATAACCAAACTTGCACGAACTTTTCTGAGTGTGGCTTCGTGTTCTAAATTAAAGAGCCATGTACGAGGCTAAAACGCTTTATCTGTAAAGGTCTTACTGAATGACTGCTATATGTTATCAATCTGGAATTCACATCTCTATGAATCACTGTCTTCAAAGCTCCTTTCCTTTATCAAATCAACCAAACTTGAACATACGATGTATATTGTAAAAGCTACCTAGCTAACCAAAACATCACATGTCTCCATGTTTCCAGGCTAGTAACGTTAAAGAAGTCAGGGGCTCTAAATAGACATTCAATATTACAATTTCCTTTTTGCCAAGACAGACTCTGATTCCGGTTAAGCTTAGACTGAAAAAAACGATAAATTGGGTTTCAGAGATTGTAGACAACATCTAAATTTACTGAAAAAGACATTCCTTGACAAGCCTTAATCTATGAAGCATCATCTCCAGTGAGCATAGCCATCAACTCACCCACAAGGTCTTTGTCATCTTGCTTCCTCACATATCTATCTAAAAAATCATGATCGCCAATCTTCAAAACATAATGCATTGGAGGTAGTTTGCTTCCTTTGTCTCCGAGCAATCCTTTCGACATGAGAGCTTTGATTACTTTACACCTTGGTAAAATCCTCTTCTCCAAACTGTATCCAAGTACCTGAGGGCTCGAAACCAAGGCCTCTACACGCCAATTCATCTCCTTCACCAAAAACTCTATCTTCTTCTTTACCGTTTCTACAGATAAATTAAGACACGATGGCTGGCGTTTGACCATCAGCACAAACTCATCTCTGGTGAATCCTAGCTCTACGAAAGTTTCAAATAAGCTGGATATCTTCTTCTCCGAGTGTGTAAGAGATATTGGCCACTTCTTGAACATTGCCCATACATCGCTCACAGTCAAGCCTAACCTTTTATAAACATTAACTTTCTCCTCAATTGCTTTCTCTGTCGATTCGTAAAACACACGCAGAGCTTCAACAAACTTTGAGGTGGTCGGATCAAAACCCATCTCAACAACCTTCTTGAGGGATTCTTCAAATCTTTCTTTCCCACAGACAGGTTGGTTATCAGAGATGAGCAAGGGGAATAACAACCTCTGAGGCACTCCCAATTCTCTCAAAACCAATATATTCCTAATCTTGTTCTCCTGCCTACTACCCTCAGGCAAAGAATGACACAACTTTGTGTACTTAGAACTCTTATCAGCTTCTACAATCACTCTGACGAAATCAAAGTATACACTAATCGTTTGGTCCCCTTTCATCCTCAAGATTTTAGGAATTTTAGAAATAGTCTCAGTTAACTCAGAGCTTGAAGCTACTCTGGACTGCAAAAACTTAAGCTTTGGACCAAGTGATTCCTCAGCATCTGCTATAAGCAATGTTGGATAACCCGTAACGATGCTTGAGATCTGAGAATCTGTGAACCCATGACTCCTTAGAAGACCCAAAACAGAATCCGGATTACTCTTGTCCTCAAAGCTAACCTTCTTAGAGATCGATTCTGCGAGCTTTGTAGTTAAACCCAATGAACCAACGAGGTAAGAGACGGTAAAGTTCTGACCTTTTCTACTATCTCTAATAATACTCACATCAGCAGCAACAGTACTAGCAATAGAAGAGAACGAATTGGTAAAAGCAGATCCATTTTGAACAAGCTTCTCTGAAACACTCAAATGAAGCCATTTCTGCAACTGGACTAACCTTCTTCCATGGAGAATCATCGACCTTCTTCTATCTGATTCGATCCGACAAAATGATTCGCCGATAAATCTCAAAACCTTGTTTAGCGATTGAGGAAGACGAACTCACTCGCGAAACCCTTATTAAATTGCAATAACAAATCGGTTATATGTTAACCGAAATTGGTTTACAACACAATCTATGGTATTTGCTTAATTTTGGGAAAAAAAACCAAAAATTATTGTAAAGTATCAAAAATTACACTGGAAAATTTTATATACTTGAAAACATTTATAATCATTTCCCACAAAAGAAAAATAAAGATTTTGTAACGAAACCAAAAAAAAAAAAAATCGAAGTCTATGGTCAATCATCAACTTGATTGAACCAATTTCGATTTATGTGATTGTGAGCAGCTCTTCATCATATTGCAAAACTCTTGATAATTAATACTTCCATCCTATTTAGAAAAAAAAATGAATTAGAAATTTCTTGTAAGAAATTATCATTAACTTTAATCAGATTATATTTATATATTTTCATAAATTAACTTACATTATCAGCATCAACTTCTGAGATAATCTCTTTGATCATTGCATCATCTCCCATATTATACTCTTTCATAGCTGTTTCTAATTCGAGTCTCGATATAAACCTACAAACACACATAAAATTGGTTATCGAGTCCGGTTTAATCCTGGTTTATCAGTTTGGTATAGATCGGTTTACGACACATACCCGCTGTTATCTTTGTCGAAATGTTGAAAAGCTTTGAACAGATTCTCTTCTCTTTCTACTCTGTACCGGTTCATCGTAGCTGAGATGAACTCAATGTAATCAATCGTACCGTTCCCATCGACATCAGCCTAAACCGAACAACATTAACCAAACTAATCCAAACCGGTTAATTTAAGTAACATTAAACAGCACAAAACTTACATCTTCCAAGAGTTGCTTAACTTCGGTTTCGGTTAACCTCGAACCGAGTTTTTCAAGTCCGGATTTTAATTCTTCGTATGTGATTGTACCGCTCTTATCAGTGTCCATGTTTGCAAACATTGTCTTGAGACCCTTTAGTTCCTCTTCTTTTAGATTTTGCGCGATAAACTAAACCAAAACCAAATCAAACCGATGAATTAGAAACCAATCTAACCTCAATACTAAACTGAATCCTCAAAAGATGTACTTACTTTTAGTGCAAGCTTCTTAAGCTTATTCATAGCTCGGAGTTGCTTCATCCGCGACAAAACCGCGCTATCAATTGGCTTATCAGAAGCTTCTCCACCTTCTCGTATCCACGGATGTTCTAAAAAAGAAACCAAAACCGGTTCAAATTCCCCGATTTTAAACATTTAACCGAAACAAACCCAAGTATATACTAGTAACCCTTTTACCTAGGACTTGAGCTGCAGTGAACCGTTTCTTTGGATCATGCTTTAACATGTTCATTACCAAATCTTTAGCACTCTCGGAAATCGATGGCCATGGTTCCGACTCAAAATCAATCTCTCCTCTCAATATCTCCTCAAATATTCCCTTATCAGTCTCTGCACGCAATAACCAAGAACTAGTTAACTAGAGAAACTACAAAAACCAAACCAAGTGGTTCAGTTTCGTTGTTAGGGCACAAAGGTAAACATTTCACCGGCCCAAAATGGAGGAGTGCCACAGAGAAGGATGTAGAGAATAACTCCGGCGCTCCAAATATCTATTGCTTTGCCGTAATTTCTCTTCAGAACTTCTGGTGCAACGTAATATGCACTTCCCACAATGTCTTCATACACTTTCCCTGGTAAAGAATGGATCGATTTAGTCAATAAAATAGTTTCTTGAGTTGCAAGAAACAGGGTAAAGATCGTTTCTTAGGTTGCAAGAAAGAAAGTTTCTCATTTTGACTATATATATATACCTTCTTCGATGAAAACTGAAACACCGAAATCAGTAGCCTTGAGCATTGAGGAAGCTTCATCTTTACCATATAACAAGAAGTTTTCGGGTTTAAGGTCGCGATGAATCACACCCATGAAATGACAAATCTGTACTACTTTAACCACACTTCTAATGATCTCTGCGGCTGCTTTCTCTGAGTAATGTCCTTGTTTTGTGATCTTATCAAAGAGCTCGCCGCCTTCGCAAAGCTCCATTACAAGATGAACACTTTGTCTGTCTTCATAAGCTCCTTTGATCTCCACAATGTTTGGTTGTCCTGATAAGTAATGCATTATCTGTATCTCCCTTCTTACATCCTCTCTGTCCTGTCACGTCAAAAATTTTAATCAAGTATCAGGAGATAAATGCTCTAATTGGTAACATTTAATAATAGCTGATCATTGCATAATCAGCAATAATGCGGATTACTAAATCATAACCTAAAAGTCAAACCAAAGCAATATAAAAATGTGAGGGGTGTATAAGGTTCTTGCCTGAGTTCTGATGAGTTTTCTCTTCAAGATGGATTTACAAGCAAAGTTCTTGCCTGAAGAGATCTCTGTACATATATACGTTATACCAAACTGGCCACGACCTAATTCGCGACCGAGACTGTACTTCTCCTTAATGTCTTCAAACGGTTTCCCTAAGATCGGTTCTGGTTGTTGCAGGTTGCTCTGTTTTGGATTATTCATTATTACCTTTTGTTTTTCTTGAGGCTGAGGAATTGGAAGTGGTAGTTTATGAGGTTGCACCACGATTTGGAAGTTGGCTCTCGGAGCTGTTTGTCTTTGACGAGGGTTTTGTTTTGGTGTTGTCTCTCTGTTCTGTTCTTCGGTGTTGTTTGGTTTTGGTTTCTTGAGCTTCTTCTTCAGATTGATGCAGAGACATGCCATTTTGTTTTTGTATTGAAGAAGTAATTGTTATGACATAGCCTTCGATGATGCTTACGTTTAAGGTATTTGTTGGATTTCATAACGACACCTAAGCACGTTAAGTGATATATATGTGCTAAGTCAAATGTGAGATACAAATTTTATAAAACCAAAGAGAAATATAAAATTTCAGCAACTTGCGATCCATTATTATTATTTGTAATTTCTCTACATTAATAATACATACTCAAATGTTTTATACAAAACTAACAATGTGATAACATTTTAAGTGGCAGGCATGTTATAAAATGGCTGAGAAATGAAACTAGCTGTATCCCCCAAAAACAAATATCTCAATTTTCATTATATGTAATCACAGCTATGACATTTACTGTTATATAATATTTTCAGCTGTGCTACCTTCTCTTACAAATAGTGGGTTTAGATTAAGCATATACATTATAGGTTTGTACTAAAGTTCAAGTGACCACTTTAGCTCCTCCAAAGCTAGAACGAACCAAATCCAAAATATGAAGATTTTGGTTCAACTTTTTGTCAAGTCTAGTTCCTATTTCTATTTTCTTAAGTTATAGGGATCAGTTGAGAGATCTCAAAGTTACTTTGTTTTCTTGTAAGTGTTCTCTAAAAGTCAGGAACTTAAGATGTATAAGATGCGTTACAAGGGACTGCTTAGAAAGGGTGTGAAGATCCATATCATGCATGATGCATGCAAGAGACTAGTTCATTATTTCTTCCGTAAACCTGAGAACGAAAATTTGATTTTCCAGTTTGCCAAAGTGGGCAAAGATGTGTACATAATGGATTATTAGTACCCTTATCTCTGCTTTCAAGGTCTTCGCCGCCTAAACAGATTTCGATACCAACCTTTCTGGATAAGGTTCATCTTTAGGGCGGTAGTGTGATGGAGTAGAACACAAGAATCAGCGGCAAAAAGGGCTAAGAAACCACACAATCTAGGGTCCTCCATGATAGATATTAAAAAATGTGGTCAAGATGTCTTCAAGGTATTGAACATTCAGACACGAAAAAACAAAAATCAGAGGAGTCTTCTTGTGGTGGGGATTAGCCTTGAACTATAGCTTGGAAATGTAAACATACTCATGTCCACAAATCTTTACAACATGTTCAAATCCAAATATGTAACATCAAAATTTAACACTTAACAAGCAAAAAGAAAAATCCAATTCAGATTCATATTTGAAAAAATGATATAGTCTTGTGATTGTTTGCACAGAAGGATTCATATTCATATTTTAACACACGGGAAATGCTATAATATCAGTTTACATAGAAGATTTGTAAACGATGTGTTTGCCAGAACCATCTTAAGGTGGTCAGATTCATAAAACGTTGTTGCTGCTCAAGACCACTACTTTGTCATAGAATCATCTGTAGACATGTTAATCGAGCACAAGGGTTCACTTGTATTGTGTCTTGATCCGCTCTAGGCACGAGAGAAGTGTATGTTGTTTGAAACCCTCTTTACCTTCTCAAGACAACCAATAAATTAGGTTTGGTGAAAAGAATATAATTTTTTTTTTATTAATAATACTGAAAAAAAAAATGATATAGAATTTAAAGCATAAGGCATAAGCTTTGTTGAAGCTTTAGGTGACAATATTTGATGATTGAAAACCATTGGCTCTCTGCAGAATAATGTTTCATTTTTTTTTATAATTCTGATGTATAAATGTATCTTTAGAATAAACTTTTGCCTACAAGATGTAGATTAAGTAACTATGTATAGTTTCTTCGAGAAGCTCTAACTATATAGCATCAGGTCAATGAACTTGTAATTGTTATAATAGAGAATCATATCAAACACTAATATATCTTTGCTATATTTATAAATGTGCAATACCATCTCTTAACTATGCAAGTAATGTAATAGTCAATTATTATTACTATATTCTCTAGGGAGTTGATATGTTAAAGAATATATATTCTAAAGTTGAAACTTAAAAATATAGAACTATATATATTTATCAGATTCATGCTAAAAAAATTATATATTATTAATTAAGAAATGGCTGCTGCTATAGTAATTTCTTGGTCCTAACACTTGTCAAGAAGAAAAAGATCTATCTAATTTTCCAATGGATGTAATTGATCTCATATCAATTTTATTTTCTAAAAGAACATTTATATTTTTAATTGCATAGAACATGTCGGCAAAAATTAAAGAATTAAAGATTCTAAATTATTAATAAATGAACGGTGAATATAGATTTGGGAAGAGAGACATGAGAGCATGAAGAGAACTCGATCTCTAAATTCATTTTTCAAAGAAACTTTTTTTCTGAATAAAGGCAAAGGCACAAAGGAGCCAAAAAGACCCCCAAAACATTTTTGACAAATTTGCCTCTATTATATAATATGCTTTGACATAACACTCTCCAAACTTATGTCACTCTCTTTGATCACTACTATACCCATTACTTCATTGTCTTCCATATTTGTACATTATTAGTTATTGATATACAATTTGATAAGACTTCGATTTTTTTTAACAATTGTTTAGAAAAAGAAATGAGTATCTATTATAGTTCCAATATATTTGCATTTCACATATATTGGTAAGTCTTGAATCTATAAAGACTATAATTACTTGGAACTTATGATAGACAAAACTACGTTGTAGGAGCAAATGACCATCTGATATGGTTTTGGGGCATCGACCTACACTTGTAAACGTAATTTTTATAAGCATAAATATTTATTTTCTAACTCCTATTAGCTAACAAAAATTCAAGAAAATGTTATCTTCTTATTGGAATATTAAAAGAATCATTTGAACTTAATGGCTATTGAGTTTTAGGTCATTTTTGTTTTTAATTATAGGGATAAATGGAATATTCCCAATATGTTGGTGTCTTGTCATAATCAAACCATGTATGTTGGTATTACTTTATATATGCATCTCACTAAAATGTTTAAAGATTCTAAATTACCTGATTGGATAATTATGCTTCCATTCATTTGTGTATATAAAGCATTTGACTAAATCTTTATACATTGTAGTAAGATTGCATATATATTGTTTCAACAATGCTCATTCACATGCTTCGCATTAATCTATTCGTTACAATATCACCAATATTTTTGTATCATTATTTCTTACAACTATTTGGATAAATGATGTAAATAAATAAATATAGATAATAATACTAAAAGTTTTTAAATTCGTTAATTAGTGACCCATTAAAAATTATTTTAATTTAAAGATCCTCTGTATATACTACACCTTTGATTTACCATCATGGTCTTTGCTGATAAAAAAAAACGTAAAACTAAAAAAAAATGTCTTCTTCTTGCTCGTGAGTGCCCACTTTGAAGTGGATTCTTTGGACTGTTTACATAAATTATATGTTTAAAGGACACATCTCTTCTTGTTTGTTAGTGTTATAAAACTTCCCTTTCACAAGATCATATCAATTACCTTAATTTAGAAGCTCATTAATACTCTAACATTCACTAATTAGATTATTAAATCTATTTTCTTAGTAAACCTGACCTATGAACGGTTCTTAATATTTTTTAAAAAAATTGATGACACAGCATCTGATCTTCGTAAATCTGAATTAAGTCATATAATAATTGTGGAAATAAATAAAAATACTTACTAGTATTACTTTAGTCTAGATGATTTCATCTTCTATGTCGTTTTCTACTAATTCTTTTTAATTATCATATAAAAATTAATATTCGACCGTTTCAGTAAAAAATATTTAATAAACTTATAACTTAAAAATTGTAAATATAGTTTATTTTAAATCAGAAAGATAAATTAGTTGAGTTTAAAACTGAAAAATTAATATCGTCTAAATCATATCACCTTGAATTATTTTAGACCTGAATACTCATGTTACACTTATAACTCCCAGCTAGTTAAACTAATTAACGTAAGACAAAATTATTTTTTTGAATTTAGAAATATACTTATAGACAAAACAACAACATACGAGGAAATTGAAATTTTTGTCCTCGTTCATAATTAAAAAAAAATGCGAAAATTACAAAATTACTTCTATACTGACAAAAACAAGTAATTTTTAATTGAAAGTCTAAAATTTTATTAGTTTAATTTGTACTTAACCGTAGAAACCAGTTTGGCTCCAAATTGCGTCGCGAACGCGTCTTAGTTCTCTGCCTTTGAGAGTCCTTCCGACGCCTTCAAACACCGACGCGCCGCCGTCTACACCTCCGATCTTCCTGCTCCGCCGTGCTTGACTCTTAGCAACGTACTCGTGCGGCGGCATCATCATCCTAGACTCCTCATCATCCTCCTCATCATCGTCGCCGTTCATCTCGTGTACCGACTCAACCGAGTTGACTCGGTATATCTTACTCCAGTCCGGTACGTTCACCGGCGCCGAAGACGCCAGTTTTCTCCGGTTTTCATCTCCTCCGTCGTTTATCTGCTGTAAGATGATCGGAGACGACTGCTGCGGCGGCGCGACCAGAGAGCCTTCGAAAGCCAGCGACAATCCTCCCACGCGCCCGTTTTTTCCCAAGGTAGCGCGTAAGTTCCACGCTCGGTATGATTCGTCTGTCTCGGCGGAGGTGTCGTGAATGACGGGCGGTGACCAGATATCTTCCTCGGCGAGTTCCAACTCGTCGGTTACGGAAGTACCGTGACTGCCACCGTAGCCGTAGCTTCCAAGGTATCGATCGCTTCGGTTCATCGTCGTCGTCGTCGGCTTTAGACCTTTTGCCATGCAACAACTACTTCACCGTTCCTCTTAATCTCTAAGCTTAATCACTGATTAGTTTCAGCTTAATTACTTATAAACAAAAATTTAATCATTAGTTTAGGTATGAATAATTAGAGATTTTGCTATAAGGTTCACATTGAGTGAAATGGAGGAGTATATATAGCATCTTTGAGCGAAAGAGTACAAAAGAATGTGATACAATATAATCAAGAAAATTTAAATTGTTGAATTTGGCACCTATATTATGTGTTCCTTACAAGAGGATCCCTATATTTATTATAGAGTTTTATACCCCAAACTTCGTCTTTTTCCAAAACAACAAATATAATATTCTTGGATGATTCACAACCAGTAAAATACAAAAATATATATAATTTAGTTGGAATGCAAATAGTTTCTTTTTTAATGATGGAGATTCATTTCAACTCTAAATGTTTCACATTCAGTATGTGTGTGTATATTGTATTCTATATGTTTAAATTCGGTGTTGTTTTGACATTTTCACACAAATTAATAAATATAGTTAAAAATAATAAAGTTATTATATATGCGCTCTATCAAAAATGATATTGAAAATCGAAAACTACAACTAAATTAGAACAAAAGATTAAGCTAGAATAGAATGATATTTATTTTGAAACGAAGAACATTTTGCCTAAAATGCATGTATAGCACTGGCGAATTTAAGGAACTACTTATATTTAAGTGTAACAAAATAAATGAAAAAGGTGACAGTTGCATATATATAATAAAACTTATAAATCACTTTCTGATAAATAAACAAACCTTCAAGCAGAAGGAATATGTTTGCTCAATAATAAATGTCCTTAATATTCGGTCATCTTACAACAAAAATCGAATTTTAATATCAACCATCTGTTTTTTTTTTTTTTTTTTTTTTTTTGTATTTTGGTCAAATTCAAAAGTGTGGAATCTATATATCACTTTGATATGAAGGTGAAGCACCTTTCACATAACACATAACTTCTTACAAATTACAAACCTACATTTTAACATTTCACATAACACAACTTACAAATTACAAACCTACATTTACATTTCACATAACACCAAAACTCAGAGTATAATGGTTAATCAAAAGCAAGATATACTCTTCCACTTGTAAGCTTCTGCGACGTACTTTGTACATTATATAGACCTTGTGGTCACATTGAACGGCTGAGAATGATCAGACAAGAGTATCAGGACAGGTTCTATCTAGTAAAAATAGCAGTTACAACAACAACAAAAATTCAGTTTTTATTACATTGGGATAAATTTGTATTTAAATAGTAACAACAAAAATACTTAAGACAAACAACTAGACTACAAATGTTAATCAATTAGACAATTATCTATATGGTCTGTTCATTTCTTTTATAGTAATATTTATTTCATTAATTATATCATCAATTACAGTATTGTGGCCAGTAATCTTGTAATACACAAACCGAAGAACAATGATCTATTGACATATGTGCAATATTACGTAAAACACGACGAACCATTCGATTTGCATGATTGAATTTGTTTCTTTTTGCAACAACTTAATTTGTGTGGATCTTTCTTTTGTTTATATATATCCTTATTTAGATACTTCCACAAATGTAATATTTATTTAAACATAAAAAATAAGAGAGAAGAAGAATTTATAACAAAATAATCATATCAATGTAATAATAATTAATTTATCAAATTACTAAACACGATAGAAATTATCAAATTGTTTATTTTGATATAAATAAATTTTAAATTTCTAAGACCTATATTATTTTGGATGATAACACATGAATTTACAACTATTGCATACATTTTTTTTTATTGTGAAGTATATTCCAAAAAGTTTGATGAAAATTACAACAAAAGCTTATAAAGAAAAGGAAGCTTTATAATTTTGTTTGTTTTCGACAACAACAACAACAAAAGAAAAAAAAAATCACATATCTAATGGAATGCCTAAAACATTTTATTTATATTATGCTTTAACTTTGAAGAGGACTACTTTCTAAAACATTTCTTATATACTTAATATAATTTCTTGTATACTGAATATATATATATATATATGTATATATATATATTTTAACATCACATAATATTTCTATATTTTGTTTATATAAAGCTCTACTTTTTAATGTGATATTTTGGTGTCAGTGTGTTACTTGTCTTTTTGTTAGATGAAACGGTCAGTGTGTTGTTATCACTCACAGTGTCCCACGATAATAAACCCTACCACAAATTATAGTGTATTTTGTTTTCATCTTCATAGTTCATATTTCATATTTGTATCGATAATCTATCCATTATATTTCTTATAGAATGTAAAAGATATTAAAATGCTTTCAACAAAGATAGTCCGTAGGCATGTAAGTGGAAATGATCGTATTCATCCCTTTGTTTCTACACGTACCAACCAAACAATGGAATTGATCTTGAATTCTTGATCATGAATATTTTTACGAAGAGAAAACCATAAATCATTTGAATTATACGTTTCACTTTTTCATTTTTTCAAAGAAAAGAAATCATATTGTATTTGCTTTATTCTATTCATTAATAGTCGTAAATTTAAAGTACTAAAGTAGTTGCAACTAATTCTTTTTCAAAAACACCATTTTCTATAAAATAATTTTCACGTACTGACCTACAAAAATTCTATATGAACTTTATTTATAGAGTTGTATCTTCATGTTAATAGTAATTAATACCATCAAGAGTGACTTGCATACGTAAGTATAGTTTTCTTTTCTCATGCACTTAAAAGAATTTGATATCTAACTATAGTAAGTGAGAACAGAGAACAACGTATAATAAACAATATGAAAGTGCTTTACGCAGACACGAATCTTATATTAGTTTACAAATGTTAGCTAATTTAGGTGGCCAAAATATAAAGCTCACACTAATCCCACTATTTTAGTTCAATGAATGAATGATTCCTGTTAATGATTGCAACTTATAAATTAAACTTTTATCATCAAATAACGAATCTTACTTACTTGATATTATTAGCTATTATTCAACACTAAATTTTAAAAGAAGACCCATGTTAAACTTGTGATATGTTTCAGCTTCTACCATTACCATTAACAATGGTAAAAGTTACAGTTAGAAGTTTCAACTCTCGACTAGTATTTCATTTTAATGAATTAAATTACCATGAATTATTAGTTTTTGATAACTTTGAAGCTTATAAAACATTGGTTGTCAATAACTATAAATGAGAAAATGATTAGCCATGTGCAAAGCCAAGATTGGATCTGTAGATTCTCCATCGATCATTCGCCAACCAATGCACAAACAAACTTAGAGATTTACATAAACATGAGAGAACACATACAAAAGAAAGAAATAATAGAGATGAATAATTTTTTTTTTTTAATAAAGAGATACTCCACTAATAATTTATATAAAAGAGAAGACATCCAACAAAGTTGGAAAACCCATGAGACTGATCAATAATTTGCGATTTTCTAGCTCTCTAATTGACAACATTTTTCAAATATGAAGTCTTAAAATAAAGTCTAAAACCTGTCCTAAGCATTTTTATTTCACTGATTGATCACATTCATAGCAATGTACTTGACTCCATCAGTATTGGGATTGTTTCCTCTTAACGGATCTGAAAACCTATACTGAACTTTTGTCACTCATCGTCAGCCCAAATCTTAATAATGTTACTACTAGAAGTTTGGGCCATGTAAGCCCGTTAAAAGTCCAGCTCCAGCATAATGGTCTTATCTTATTATCTATCGAACCAAAAGCACGGCTCCACTCACGTGCCATACCCTACGCCTTAAGCACAGTCACATGCCATTAGTGTTCCATTTCTTCAGCACGACGATACTCTCACAAAAGTAAAAACATATGAAAAAGAAAGCTATTTATTAATTTACTGTTTTTAAATAAAAAAACATTGTGTTAATTTTAATTTACCAATTATAGGATGTTTTCTATATTGTTTTCTACGTATATAATAAGCCTAAAACGACCTATTTAAATTTATTTCCGTTTTTAAAAAGTTGACTTTTGATTAAGCTTGTGATACAAACTAACTCTAGATAATCGTGTATGACTTTTTGCCCATAACTCTAGTATTTTTACACACTAGATGTGGATCCTAAAATGTATTAAATCAATCCAATTTCATATAGTACTGATTCACTTTTGTACTTTATTGAATCAATTAATTTATTATATACAAAGCTATGTTACCAAAAAAAGTTTTAATTTATAGACAAAAAAAAAACTGAAAATTATGGGCAAGAATGTAAAAAAATAATAAATTTAATGTAACAACATATTTAGTTGAATTAAATACGACCACAATAATAGCCTTACTATCACATATCTGGTTGAGAAATTAAAAATAAAAATTGTATCACATATCTTTCATGTCCCAAGTCACGAAGTTATAAATGCTATATCCAAATTTTTATTATCTCACACAAAACCAGTTTTTGAACCGGTCTAAACCAACAGGTTTAATAACCCCTTCAAATCTAACGGTTTGATGTCATTTACAATTCTCCCGTTACGATGAACATTAAATTGATCATCGATCCGGTTAAGATTCCGGTTCAGGTTTAATAAGTTCCGGTTAAGAAAAGGTAGAGGGGAGAATTAAATGGGAGGAGTAAGAATAATAAATGCTCTCAAGCGCTCTCTCTACTCTTTCTTCTCTCTTCCGTCTTCCACAACAGACTGTGTTCATTGCTTGTGGGGTCTCTCTCTCTCTCTCTCTTTCTCTGTGAGAAGACGAAGACAGCTGTTTCTATTGTTCCACTTTGGTTTTGTGTTTATCTTCTTTTAGTTCCGAGTTTTTTTTCTTCTGTGTCCAAAATCGAAAGGAACGTCTTTTTTTCTTTTCCTTTCAATTCTTCTTCTTTGTTCTGTTTCTCGGACTTTCTCACTAGTGGGAAAAAGACAGAATCTTTGTTAAAAGTCGTGGCTTGTCCAAATTCCGAAGCTTTTTTTCTGTAAGAGAACAATAAAAGACAGTGCTTGATCTCTTCTGTCTCTCTCTCTCTTTTGGGTGGCTCGGAGAAGAGAGAAAATGACGAGAAGAGGTGAATTTGAGATGGGTTTGTTCGTGATTCTTCTTCAATGCGTGTTCCTGTTCTCTCTTTGTGAGTTTTTGATTCCTCTTGTTTCTAAATCTTTCAATTTGGGGGTTTTAGAATTATCCGTTTCTGATTGTTAAAGAAAGAAAGTTTGTATTTTTGGCTCTGATTCGAATGAGATATCGCTTGTTTTAGAACAATCTACTAGTTTATTGTGATGGGTCATTGTAAATTTACCTTCTTTATGTAGAAATTGGTTGGAATTTGTGGTGAAATGTTGAACTTAGCTGGGGTTTAGAAGCTTCATGGTGTTTAGGTTACTTAGATTAGGGTTTATAGAAGCTCTAGTTCTTCAGAGTGTTGATCTAGTTAGATTGAGTTTGTAGCCTTATAAACACTGATCCTGTAGAAGAAGTGTAATGATTTGATTATTTTTTCTTGGTTTAGGTTTATCTGAGAAATCTGAGGAGTTCTTACCACAGATATCACCAGATACTTCTCCCCAACCATTTCTTCCTTTCATTGCACCTTCTCCAATGGTTCCATACATAAACAGTACCATGCCCAAATTATCAGGTTTGTTGTTTTTTAAACCTGATCTTATTCATCTGTTGTAATTGTCTCTGCTGTATGATGTCTAAAGCTCTGTACTAACTGGTATTAGTTTTTTTCTACGGGTTTGGATATCTACAGGGCTTTGCTCGCTGAATTTCACTGATTCCGAGAGTTTGATTCAGACAACTTCACACAACTGTTGGACTGTGTTTGCTCCGTTGTTAGCCAATGTGATGTGTTGTCCTCAGCTAGATGCTACACTCACGATAATCCTTGGTAAAGCGAGCAAAGAAACCGGTCTGCTTGCTCTAAACAGAACCCAGTCTAAGCACTGTATATCGGATTTAGAGCAAATCTTGGTGGGCAAAGGCGCATCAACTCAGCTTAATAAGATCTGTTCTGTTCACTCATCGAATCTCACTTCTTCTTCGTGCCCTGTAATCAATGTCGATGAGTTTGAAAGCACGGTGGATACAGCAAAACTTCTTTTGGCTTGTGAAAAAGTTGATCCTGTGAAGGAATGTTGCGAAGAGGTTTGCCAAAATGCGATACTCGATGCTGCTACAAATATCTCTCTTAAAGCTTCTGAACCTCTAACCGATAACTCAGAAAGGATCAATGATTGCAAGAACATAGTAAACCGCTGGCTCGCTACTAAAATTGACCCTTCTAGGGCTAAGGAAACTCTCAGAGGATTAGCAAACTGCAAAATCAATAGAGGTAAAAGCAATCTGATTTTACTTTTAACTTTTGATTTTGGGGGAACATTTTCACATATTTGTGTCTATTGTTTTCAGTTTGTCCTCTCGTCTTTCCTCACATGAGGCATATTGGAGGTAACTGCAGTAACGAGTTGAGTAACCTAACTGGTTGTTGCCGTGCAATGGAGAGTTATGTGTCTCACTTGCAAAAGCAAACACTTATGACCAATTTGCAAGCTTTAGATTGTGCAACAAGCCTTGGGATAAAGCTACAGAAGCTTAACATCACTAAAAATATATTCAGCGTTTGTCATATCAGTCTCAAGGACTTCTCTCTTCAAGGTTCTTACTTCATTCCTCAACTTCCCTCTTTTTCACACTCCTTACAGTTCGAGATATATCTTTAACCCGTTTTGTTTTAATTTCTGTGCTTGATGATGCATCATGGTTGGATACAAACAGTTGGAAACCAAGGTGTGAAATTGATTTCCTAGATTTTTATTTACTTATTCATCATCTTAAAAACCTGAAAACGATTTTTTAACTTGAATATTTTTGTTATTTTTGGTATAAAGAATCTGGTTGTTTATTACCGAGCTTACCATCCGATGCGATATTTGATCAAGACACTGGAATAAGCTTTACCTGTGACCTTAATGACAACATTCCTGCTCCGTGGCCTTCATCTTCTCAATCCTCAGCCTCAACCTGTAAAAAGAGTGCGTAGTAATAATATTAGCTTCTTGATTTTCTGACGTTTGGCTCTCTGTCTTTTTCTAAGCTTACATTCATTTTTGTTTGGTTCTTTCGCAGCTGTTAGAATCCCAGCTCTTCCGGCTGCTGCATCCTCGCAACCTCGTAAGTATTTCCCCTCTTACATTCCGCAAAAAGAGAACTTTATCGGTTCTTTCGCGTAATCTGAGATGTGTTTTGGCTTTATGATCTCTCAGGTCTCTATGATGAGGGAGTTAAACATATGGTGATCTTTGTGTTGTCTATGGTTTTTCTGATGCTTTTGTCATAGTACTAGTACCAGAACCAAACCGGATCCAATCCTATATCAGACCGGTTTACTAGTCAGTCAATAGCTGTTTCTTTTGTAGATCAAACCGGTATAGTCACTGCGGAAGTCGTATGTTGACATGACCCGGTTCACGTGTTTGGTTTGTTGAGGTATAAGTTTCGGAAAGTCTTTTTTATCTTTTATTGATTCAATGATTCTTGAAAAAAACCTTTTCTAATGTAAAGAAAAAGGTCTTGTAGGGTTTATGGTAAGCTTATAATATATTTATTTTCTCTGCATTGTAGTTTTTATCTATTTATAGACTCTGGTCTCGTTATTCAAAAGTGTTACTTGAATAATTTTGTTTACTAGTGTTCTAAGAATTTGTCTATGCAGCCGTTTAGATTATCTAAATAGTGGTAAGTCTTCTCGGCAATGATACACATAAATGATCTCACTCGTACGAGTATCGACCATTCATGTTTCTAGCATCTTACAAGACCCACACAATTCAAATGTTTGAGTGTTAGGTGTTGTGGTTCTCCTGCAACCGTAACCGCTGCGTTTAAACAAGTTAGACCCTAAAATTCAATTGGTACAGTTACGTTTCCGTTCGGAGTCTTTTGAAATAGGGTATTTTTTGGATTCGGGCCGGGTTTTTTTTAATCCTTGACAACATTCCTACCTACAAAGACGGACCCAAAAAAGTGGTTCTCCTTGATTAAACAGGTCTCACATGGAATCTTACAAACCACCAATCAATCAGTCATCGTAAGGGACTGTGAAAGCACCATAATGCACAAACCCTATAGATGCACGTACTGACATACCGTTAGTTTCGGGACGGTGATGAATGAATGTATCATTAAATCAACCATCATGTCTTAATACGAACTCTCAATGTGAATGCTATCTTCTAGATGGAAGCATTGGTCAAAAGGCCCATAGTGTAGACTCTAGAGTAAATATGGGGCTATGTGGTGTGGGCATCTTTTTGTCTTTGATTATTGGCATGCAAATTATTGGTTTAGTCGTGTTTTTATTGGTTAGATTTATGAGAATATTAGTATGATCTTTTTCCCTTTAAACTTCACACATTTTTGATGAATTTCAAAAATAAAAAATATCATCTACATATATGTGCATCGATAGGGTTACTTTTCATAAGCATTGTAGTTACTATATATTCATAAGCATTCCTAGTTACTTTTCATGAAAAGATTATGAAAAACTCATTAAAGTAAATACAAATGCTTTTTTTATGAAATTTAACTAATTGGTTTATCTTTGTCTATGTTTTGGGGGACTTGGAGTATAATATAAGGTGAGGTGGCAGAAAAAGAAATAAAAAGAACTCTCAACCACTTCTTATAAACGTCGACGATACAAAGTTCCAATCTTTTTCTACTCGAGACTTATCCACATTAGCAGAACAAAACCAACTCGATTACTTATAATAGACGATAAAAAGTTCAACTTTCCCACTCGGAAACTTATCCATACTCATTCATAAACAATAGACGTGGACACAAGAACGCCACGAGGTTCTCGAGTTCTAGCTTGGTCCCTTACACGAACATATATATAATTATATGAAAATACAACTTACATATAATTCCAAAGTCGGCATATGTGAGCATTTACAACAACGTATAGCTAGCTAGCCTACTAAATATAGCAAACCTACAATGTCAGAACGTTACATTGTTTTTATCTATGGAGAGAAATGAATCAATAATATTGGTAGAAAACAGTTCAGCTATATCGTGACCTATCTGTCAATTTCACTATAAATTTTTGTAATGCAAGCAGACGAATCCAAGATTCTGTTTATAAATAATCATGATTAAGTTATTCATCCTTTTTCCTCTAATTAGATACAAGGTTGGACTAGACTCTTGATAAGGCAAAGTTAATCTTATCTTAATTAACTCATGTTTATATAATTAATTCCTTTAAATAATCTTTGATCTAGACAAAATTTATAGCACATAAAAGAAAAGGGAGAGTTTATAATCGTAAAGTTCTAAATCTTCATTGCATGTGATTTTCATCGTGTTAGTCAAGATATATATGATCGAGTTGACTCTTATAAGAGATCTCTTTGGATAATATGCAACTTTAGATTAGTAGTAATAATAAATTACTTAGGATCGATATAGTATTAAAAATAAGATTTAAAAATATATGATTTGAGAGTATAAAAGTGATCAGTCTCCATGTGGCATGTCAGATATAGAATTGAACTTATCTCCATTTATGCATCTTGATGTTTCAATATCAAACACCTGTTCTGTTCATAGGAACGATGACGAATTGGAGTTGCACCAAAAAAAAAAAAAATATCTAGCATTTTTGTTTTGTATTTGGAGTGTTTCGATGCGTACAAAGTACAAACTCATCAATGATATTTTTTTTTGGTTTCCACAGTGATACACATAATTTGTTTGTCAGAAATATTATTCGACAAATTATTAGCATGCACTGATTAAATTTGTTTTGTGGTATTGTTGTAGAAAAAAGTAAATTATTTACGTAAATGAGTACTTGCAGTGATGTAAATAATTGATGATGATGTGAGACAAATATCAAAGTATGGGAGTAGTGAAGTGTAGTTCATATATTAAAGTCATATAGGTATTGTTCAAAGTCATAAAATACTGCATAATTTGTGGACTTTCGTGAGACTTCATCTGTTTACAGCTTAGGCAATCATCACTGTGGACGGAAATAAAAATCACCTGACATGTCCAAACTCATTAGAGAAAAGAATATAAATAATTTCTTGAAGAAGACATTCAAATACTACAAAAATAGTAATGAAACTTTTTTTGTGCTGATCACGGAAGTATTATTATTAGATCAATAATAAATAAATAAAAAAGCTATTAAAAACTATAAAAAGTACTAATTAACCTCTCTCGAAATGATCAAAATGTCGGTTTTGGTTAATTTGTTAAGATTAATAAAAGTGATTTGAAAAAACTTTTCCTTTCAATGAAATTTTGTTTTGAAATTGTGGTTTAACAAAATTCAAATGAAGCACTACACTTGATTAAATCAATTTATGAATTTGTCGTTGTTCTCAAATTAGTAAGCAGATGATATTAAATTATTAAACTGTATAGATTTCGAAAGTATCCTTAATTATTATTGTTTTTTAATAGATTGGCGTTTAGTAAATCACCGCGTTTGCAGTTAGAAAGGGTTTTGACCAAATGAGTCTCTTCTTTTTTCTTTTTTGTCATCACCAAATGAGTCTCTTCTCTCAACGTGATTTGACTAATGAAGCACGAGTTTCTCGTGGTTTTAATATTTTATTATCCGACGTGTCATTCTTACTGAAAGTAAAGCTAACTAAACTAACTTTACAACTCATCTTCTTTACGTGTTTTTTTTTTTTCCTTCTAAGAGCATGAGCATTGGAGGGTTTATGGCAGTCCCCCAACCAAAAAAAATAAAAGAAAATTGAAAAGGAAAAAAAATATAAGGAGGACGTATCTCCAAACGTTACGGTCCCTTAGCTTTTGTCTCACCAATCGCGGGCCCCACTGACACGTGGCGGCCCACGATTGGTTCTCTCAATTTTTTTTTTTTTAAATCTAAAATCTGGAAAAGAAATAAAAAATAAAAAAAAATAAAAAAACTTGGGACGAAATGCTGTCCAAACCAATGCATTTGCTCTAAGGTAACAACTCAACTCAATGTTGTTCCCATTTATTGGTATTGTCGATAATGCCCTTTCTTTCTTTAGTTTGTACTGCTTTGGGTCAATATAATTTTTTTAATTACGTTATTTTAATTTTATTGGGTTTTGTTTTACCTTTGGTTGTATTGGTTAAAGAATTAATAATTTTAATATACGCATTACATGATTTTTTTAGAGTGTTATATCTATTTTTTTTTCGTCACAGTGCTATATCTATATAATTCTTTTTTTTTTCTAACAAAATTGTCGTTTAAATATTTTTTTATATAAAAAGTGGTGGTGTTTTATCGCTACAAACTTTCGGTTTTGCTTTAATTTTGATTTTGCTCTATTTATGCCGTGTTTTGTGACCACTTTTTGTTGAAATGTAACTCTCGGTTTCATTTATTATTTATACAAAAATTGAATTAACTAAAATATTAAATAATAAAATATCTAATATATTTATTTACGATACATATATTGTATAGAATATATATAAAAGAAAGAAAAATAATTATCAGCATTGTATAATTTTTTTTTTGGTATAAGCATTGTATAAATTTTATGAAACAAATATTTTGTTTGCAGTCAAATTTTACCCAATTTACCAACTGTTATCAACGGTCTAACTAATATATGATATATGATATATGATATAACTTTTGAGCAAACTAATAATCTTAATGACCACCTTTAACATATTTTGAAGTTGAGGTAAGTATAACTCAGTTTTATGTTTTGCTTTTCTGCAACATGGAAGAAGATTCAGTGGTTTGAATCATACTTTTCATATGTTGGACTAATCATCAATAATATAAACAGTTAGAAAATTAAGAAAAAATAAAACATTTTCCATATAACAAATAGTAATACGAATATTTAAATTACATTTTCTTTGTTAAACATGAAAACTCAGATTTGAGATCTAAATTTCTGTGTAAACGATTAGTCGTCGTTCACCTATATCTCTGCTTGGCCGAAGAGACGTTTTTGATTACATAAATTGAACTTAAAGCATATTATCATATTACTGGTTAGGTTTGAGATCGATATTGCCGATCATAGAAGAGTTAGGTACAAGTTCAGTTTTATTACTTTATAGGTGTCATGAACTAGACCATATACAATTTTATAATCTGGTCATTTTAGATATCGATAAGTTCGATAAACTTTTTTGACATTGATATACATAATACGTTAAACACTATTTTATAAACATGGACACATGTCTCCTGGATACACAAATCGAAATACAACTCGCAATGATCACAGATCGAATGATTCGGTGATTGACACGTAGTCACGTATCAGTATCTTTGAGCCATACCAAACATAAATATGCATGTATTCTTTACATCTATTTATTTGTGGTTGGGGAGATACAAAATAAATATTTTAGGGCAAAGAATAAAAGTAAAATTTCAACATTTGTATTTTAAGAGACCAGATTCAGAATCTTTATGAATGTTCCGTGCGAGTAACGGTGTAGGTTTCTAGAATCTTATATACAGTCACTGTAATATTCCATAACCTTTGTCATCGATCGATAGAACAGAACTATACAAAAATTTTGTAGTGGTGTTGCTTAAAAGTTATCTTGGATTGTAG